GGGAAAAGGCTGGATAAGGTCTGGAGAAATTCAGACAAGTCTGCGTAAGGTCTGGAAAAGTGTATTTGAAGTCGGGAAAGTGTTTGGAAGAAGTCCGGAGAGGTCAAAGGGCTAGATAAGGTCTGGAGAAATCTAGACAAGTCTGGATAAAGTCTGGATAAGTCTGGATAAAGTCTAGCTAAGTCTGGAAAAGTCTGGATAAGTTTGGATAAAGTCTGGAAAAGAGCGAGAAAATTTCTGGAAACGTCTGGAAAAGGCTCTATTAGGTCTGGAGAAATCTAGAAAAGTCTGGATAAAGTCTGGAAAAATCTAGCCAAGTCTAGAAAAGTCTGGATAAAGTCTGGAAAAGCCTGGAAATTTCTGGAAACGTCTGGAAAAGGCTTAATAAGGTCTGGAGAAATTCAGACAAGTCTGGATAAAGTCAGGATTAGTCTGGATAAAGTCTAGCTAAGTCTGGAAAAGTCTGGATAAGTTTGGATAAAGTCTGGAAAAGAGAAAAAAAATTTCTGGAAACGTCTGGAAAAGGCTCTATTAGGTCTGGAGAAATCTAGACAAGTCTGAATAAAGTCTGGAAAAATCCAGCCAAGTCTACAAAAGTCTGGATAAAGTCTGGAAAAGCCTGGAAATTTCTGGTAACGTCTGGAAAAGGCTTGATAAGGTCTGGAGAAATTCAGACAAGTCTGGATAAAGTAAGGAAAAGTGTATTTGAAGTCGGGAAATTGTTTGGAAGAAGTCGGAGAGGTCAGGAAAGGGCTGGATAAGGTCTGGAGAAATCTAGACAAGTCTGGATAAAGTCTAGCTTAATCTGGAAAAGTCTGGATACGTTTGGATATAGTCTGGAAAAGCCAGAAAATTTCTAGAAACGTCTGGAAAAGGCTCTATTAGGTCTGGAGAAATCTAGACAAGTCTGGATAAAGTTTGGAAAAATCCAGCTAAGTCTATAAAAGTCTGGATAAAGTCTGGGAAAGCCTGGAAATTTCTGGAAACGTCTGGAAAAAGGTTGATACGGTCTGGAGAAATTTAAACAAGTCTGAATAAAGTCTAGCTAAGTCTGGAAAAATCTGGATAAAGTCTGGAAATTTCTGGAAACGTCTGGAAAACGCATGGAAATTTCTGGATTGGGTCGGAAAAATTCTGGAAAATCTGGAAAGGGTTGAATTTTAGCGGATCTCAAAGCTCACAATAATCACAAGCATTAGCGTTGAAGTTTGCTTCGGCATTTTCAATGTTCTCCTCGGTTGCATTTTTGCGAAGGACTGTGAATTTTTTATTTATGTGACAATTCTCTGACAATATGTCTATTAGCTGTGCTATTAGATATTGCTCTGTAGATGGTTGTTTTTCAAAGATTCAAAGCAAGGAAGTGGTTTAATATTTTTTCGAGGTCCAATAAAAGAATCTAGGTATGTATGTAACTTCATGAAAATGTAAAAAAAAAAATTAAGACTCGATATCTCGTATTATACCACAGCACACAAATAGTTAATAACTCGGTTTATAATAACACCTTGATTATGGTTATGATTATTCTGTTTTAATTAAACCACTTCGAAAAATGTATACCTACGAGTTCCATAAAACAGAATGAGATAAGTAGACATACGCACACCGTACATTCAAGAAATGTGATCGATTTAAAATCATTATGATATACCATACAAAAATAATTCGTCACCAACTCCATCCATCGCATTTGAAATTTCTTCACTAAAATAACATCTATACAACTTATCTCACTGTTACATTTAATGTATAGTGTACATTTAAAACAAAAATTATGCTGTTTTTTGTACAACACCTAATAAATATTTTCCATTTTATAATTATTTTGATGGACTTGATTTAAAAAAAAGAGCGCGAAGCGCGCTCGTGACCTAGTTATAATAAAATTCAATAGTATAAGTTCAAGGCGCACTGAATGTATTTTTGTCCTTTACTACTAGTATGTAAAAGAAAGTGACGGAAATACATATTTTTTATATATGCGAGTCTGGCCCGAAGGGCCGGTTATATGCGAATCCGGCCCGAAGGGCCGGAGTTATATACGAGCCCGAAGAACCGGAGTTATATGAAAGCCTAAAAGGCCGGACTTATTTTTATCACGAGCCTTATTGGTTAGCTAATAATTTGGAGCCAATGAAAAAACTAGGAATATTCAAAAACTTTAGTTTTATCAAATTGATTTTGGAATGTTGGTTTTATTAAGATTTTTACTTTTTTCAGAAAACAGTGGTTTTTGCAAACATATACCAGTTTATTGTTGTCTTTGTCTTACTCACTGTAATCAACAACTGTAAGCGAAAGATTTATCAAACCAAGTAGGCCTTGAAAATGTATATTGTATTGCGATATCGGTATTACAGAGTATCAAATTTTCCAAAGCTTACTTTGTCAGTTATCGAATAGTGCTGTCTACTTCAACTTACAACAATCATTGTTTCAATTACTGATGAGGCTTAAAGATTTAGAAAAAAAACAAAGCCCAATTAAGTAGGCCTTGTAAATTTTAAATTTTTCATAGCGACTATTTTTTAAACATCGACAAAATGTCAAACATCAAATTATTGACAAGCAACAAAATAAATAACGTAGTAGGCCTTGAAAACTACACTGATTTTAATCGATGTCGGTAATACAAATAACTGTCAAATCAAACCAAGTAGGCCTTGAAAACAAACCAACCATTTAGAATTAATTGTCAAAAGATTACAAGGCCTACTTTGAAATGTCAAATTACGTATAGGGTAGCTACATTATGATAGTTCCTGTTATTGGGCCTTATAAAGATAAGAGCGATTTTTATAATGAAATTCATTAGTAGGTAAGTTCAGTCCGTCCCAAGTGTATTCTTCTTGTCCTTTTTTACTAGCATGTAAAAGAAAGTGATGGAAATAGATATCTTTTACACTAATTTTACCAATGGTTTTCGCCATTAAAAAAGTTGGTACCATTGACTTGACATTATACACAATATGAAAAAGTCGACATTTTATTGAATTTTGACGTTTGACATTTGTTGTTTAAATTATTAGGTATATAAAAAATTAAAATTTATTGTTTATTTATTGCTAATTTGATTATCATTATTGTTTTGAAATAGTGATGTGGCAACACTGCAAAAACGCGTAAGTAGGCTTTGGATTTTTTTTTTTTTTTTTGGCAGTTGGTACTGTCATGGCGTCTTTTGTTGTTGTTTGGGGCCCACGTTTCGGGTTTTTTTGCATCATTTCGGGGTTTTTTGACTAAATAAGGACTGAAAAGTGTTTTGAAGTCTTCTTTGGACTGTTTTACATCGAAAATACACAAAATTCCAGGCCGCGCGATTGATTTTCATTAAAAACTGGTAAGTTACAAAATTGAATGTAAAAATCTTTTAAAAATTGTTTTTTTTTGGTATTTCACGTTGGTATTGGGGCCAAATAAAAGTCATGTATCTGTAGATAATTTAATTGGCTTTATTTTGAGCCAATTTACGTCAAAATCGGTTGAAAATTGGCAAAATTATGAACAAAAATGTAAATTCATGTCAAAACTTTAAAAAAATCGCCTTTTATTGGATTTTGACACTTGACATTTGACAGTTGACTTGATATTATGGAATATGGCGTTGAATAAATTGTTTTGTTTACGTTTTCTATAGTTTTTGATCAAATTAAGTGGTTTTTCAATGTGGAAAAATGTCAATTAAAGTTCCTGTCATTGGGCCTTATAGAGGTAAGAGCGATTTTTATAATGAAATTCATTAGTAGGTAAGTTCAGTCCGTCCCAAGTGTATTCTTGTCCTTTTTTACTAGCATGTAAAAAAAGGGACGGAAATACATATTTTTTACACTAATTTTACCAATGGTTTTTGCCATTAAAGCAGTTGGTACCATTGACTTAACATTGTACACAATATGAAAAAGTCGACATTTTATTGAATTTTGACGTTTGACATTTGTTGTTTAAATTATTATATAAAAAATAAAAATTTATTGATATTTATTTATTGCTAATTTGATTTTCATTATTGTTTTGAAATAAATGGTTTGGTAACACTGGAAACTTTGGATTTTTTGGCAGTTGGTAGTGTCATGGCGTCTTTTATGGTTGTTTGGGTCCCATGTCCTGTTTTTTTGCATAATTTCGGGGTTTTCCGGATTATTAAAGAACCAAAAAGTGTTTTAAAGTTTTCTTTGGACTGTTTTGCATCGAAAATATACAGTTGGACTGTTTTACAGTATTGAAAGGAAAGAAACTCCAATTGCCAGCATAAAATTATCATGATCTTACCAAAAAAAACAAAGAGTTACAGTTTCCTGTAATTAATGCTTTTATTTTTGAAGCCTGTTGCAGCACTCAATTGAGGTGCCATATTACCAAAGCAGGCGTGAAAAAAATTACTAATTTTTCCTGTTTATATCGTTTTTAAGGCTAGCGTTACGATTTTATAGTAATAAAATAAAAGCATTCTTTTAAATATGAAATAGCTACAAGGTAAAATGATAGATGGCGCCAGTGTAGTTTAGAGGACAATGTTTTGACTTTGAGTGTCAATATCTTCAAAACTATTTAAGATAAAGAATTAAGTCTTAGAGATAATTTAATTCTGATTCAAAATATACAATTCTACATCATATTTGTTGCTATAATAACCAAAAATTCGAATTTTTCCAAAAGCCATATGTATGACGTAATTGATAGATGGCGCCACTGTAGAACTAGAATTTAGTGCAGATCGAACAAGGTTAGTGCAAAATTGGTGCAATTCGAACACAATTTTAATAATAATTCACACATTAATTATAATCTAAAGTTCATCTATTGATAATACAACTTCTAATGTAGGTATTTCACAGTAGTTGTGGCGCCATCTGTTTCAGTTCCTTGCCCCATGTGTCCACGATCCACCAGCTGTGAAAATCAAAAAATTTACCCCAAACAAAAACAAACCTTTATGTATTTCGGTCTTTAATTACCTTGTTCACAAGGGTATAACATTTCCAAACAGTAAAACCACAATGAAACTAAAACGTGCAGTAGTGATTTTCGGCTCGATAATCGTCCTACTTATAATTTTCACCATTTATTCCGCCAAAGATTTACCAATGTCGACTAAAAACGCGCACGCGCAAGAATTGAAAGACGTAAGTGTGTAAACACCCTAACTAGTTTTGAATTATTTGCCGCCTTTTTCTTGTAGAACCAATGGCTGCACTTTGAAGACCGCATTAAGCAACTTGAAAGCGACTTAAGCCAGCACCACAATGCTGTAGCTGAAATAAAAGTAGCTATGCAAAATATGCTCAAACCACCTACCAATAATCGCACTATTATAACTGAAATTGTTTATAATAATAATTGTCCTTTTCAAATCAACCAAAAACCTTTTAGTAATGTGCAAATGCTTGATTTATATAAGACTTTGCAGTTTGATAATCCTGATGGAGGGGCTTGGAAGCAAGGCTGGCGCATAGAAGTAGATGAAAAAGACTTCAACAGGCAAAACAAGCTAAAAGTCTTTGTGGTACCGCACTCGCACAACGACCCAGGTTGGATTAGGACCTTGGACGAGTACTACACCACTCAAACCAAACACATTTTAAACAATATGCTTGTAAAATTACCAGAAGACACAAGACGCAAATTCATTTGGGCTGAAATTTCGTTTTTCTCAATGTGGTGGGAGGATTTAGATGAAACAGGCAAAGATACAGTAAAGCGCCTTATTAAAAACAATCAACTAGAAATTGTCACAGGAGGCTGGGTAATGAACGACGAAGCCAATTCGCATTATATTTCAATAATACATCAACTAACCGAAGGCCATGAATGGCTCAAAAAACACTTAAACTACACACCTGTTAGCCATTGGTCAATAGACCCATTTGGTTTAAGTCTGACTCAACCAGCAATTCTTAAAGCAGCCGGTTTGCAAAACATGCTCATACAGCGCGTTCACTATTCTGTCAAGAAAGCCCTTGCACGCGAGCGGCAATTGGAATTCAAATGGCGACAACTTTGGGACAACAACGGCCAAAGCGACATTTTTTGCCACATGATGCCTTTTTACGGCTATGATGTGCCTCACACGTGCGGCCCTGATCCAAAAATTTGCTGTCAATTTGATTTTAAACGTTTGCCCGGACATGGACTGCACTGTCCTTGGAAGGTACCACCAGTCAAGATAACTGACGACAATGTAGCTGAAAGGGCTTCTTTACTGTTAGACCAATACCGCAAAAAATCAATGCTTTATAAAACAAACATAGTACTAGTCCCTTTGGGGGACGATTTCAGGTACGACCACGCCACTGAATGGGATGTCCAATACACAAACTACCAAAAACTTTTTGATTATATGAATTCTAAACTAGACTTAAACGTGCAAGCACAATTTGGCACCCTAACTGACTATTTTGAGGCAGTTAAAAAACAAAAATCCTTAGACAAATTCCCTGTTTTGTCTGGTGACTTTTTCACCTATGCAGACCGTGACGACCATTATTGGAGCGGCTATTATACCTCGAGGCCTTTTTACAAACGCATGGATCGCGTTTTGATTGGCTATATTCGGGCCACTGAAATGATTCATTCTTTGTCTAATCTAAAACTTGAGTCTTTGCTTAGTAGTGCTAGACAAGCTTTGGCATTGTTTCAGCACCATGACGGCATCACTGGTACTGCCAAGGATCATGTGGTAAACGACTACGGTAAACGCTTGCTGCAAGCGATTCATAATTGCCAACACATTATACAGCTTTGTGTCAATAATTTGCTCGGTGATGACGTCATTACTCATTACAATTTTGAAGATGTTTGGCATTCGCACAATAGTTTGCCAGAGAAAATGCAAATCACCATTGGACTACCTGATTTGCCTTCAAAAAAAATTGTTATTTTTAATTCTTTGGCGTTTGCCAGGCACGAAGTTGTCAGTTTTAATGTGAACACGCCTTTTGTTGAGGTATATTGTAGTGTGTGTGAGGGCCTTAAGCTTGAACAATTTCTTTTCAGGTTTTGGACTTTCAAGGCAAAAGACTCCCTTGCCAAGTATCGCCAATATTCGAATACGGTTCTGCAATGTCTCAGACCAAATACGAACTTTCATTTATCGCCAACATTCCCGCTTTGGCCACTGTAACTTTTACAATTACAGCAGTTTATGAAGAAGACAAACCTAAGTAAGTATTATAATGTAAACGGGCCTTAATTGGTGGACATTTTCTTTTTTAGGGAAACCACGTTTGCAAAAGTAAAAATCTATAATCGGTACGGGGACGCCCCTGGGCCGAAAGGTTTCAAAGCCGAAATTTTCGAAAGTCCTAGCGAATTTAGTTTTCAAAATGCCCGCGTGGCGGTTTCGTTTAACAAAATGGGCCTGTTAAAAGCGGTTAAAACCGGTACTACAACGGTACCTGTACATTTGGATTTTGCAAAGTGAGTTATAGTTGATACACAGTGTAAACGGGGCCTAATCAGGCCATTTTGATTTATCAGCTAATTCGAATCAAGGATAATGCTATATACTAGTACAAAATTACTTATCGGCATCGGCCTTGTTTTTTTTTTAATTGCATTATGTTGAAGCACCTTAGATGACGTCATAAAAGTTAGTAGCACCACTGCCAACACTTTTTTGACATTGCTTCGACAAATTGACGTTTTATGCGTCAAATTGATCCATGTGCTTCAATATGGCCGCCCCAGTCAAATATTGTGGTGGCGTTCATAAGAAAAGCATTTGTGTTTTGGCCTTGAATGTCCAAAATGTGTCAAAATAAGTAATTTTTCATCGAGTTTTATCACGTAACCAAAATGTAAACAACACGGTGTTTGTGACCCGGACGGCCATATTGAATTTTGTTTGCTCTTTGCCTGTGATCTGACAAGGATAAAATAAGAATTGATATTCAAAATGACAAAGATTGTTTTAAGTTTTTGGACAGTTTTTAATTGTAAAATACAATACGTGGTGTTTGTCCTTCTCTTTTTATCTTGTGCAAATAAGAAAAGACGGAGTGTTATTTGTCTTTAGGTACGGGGTGGCTCAGAGACAAAACGACAGAAGCGGGGCCTACTTGTTTCTACCGGACGGTGACGCCACTGAACTAAAAGTGGAAAACGCCGTTGTCAATACAATCGAGGGCCCCATTTTGTCTTCGGTCACTGTCCAGTTGCCTTACGTCCTTCACAAGGCTGTCTTGTACAATACACCCGGTAAGTATTTTTTGCTTTGTCCAATAACATATTAACACAGATAGATATATAATTTTGACAGAAAAATATAGTAGCGCCATCTATAAAAAGTGTCTCAAACTAAAAAACCTCTGATGCATCCTCAAAATGTCATTAATTTTATCACTAGATTTCATAAGGTTTACTCACTTTTATGTGTAAAAATGTGTGCGAGCAAGAGAGATAATCGCTTATTTCAGGGGCGGACGGTTTAGGAATCGAAATACAAAATGAAGTAGACATCGAAAAGACGCACAATTTCGAGCTGGTCATGCGCCTGGCCACAAATATCGAAAACAAAGACGAATTTTATACGGACGTTAATGGCTACCAAATGGTGCGCAGGCTCAGATTTAAAAAGCTGCCGTTGCAAGCCAACTATTATCCGATGCCTGCTAAGGCTTATATTGAAGATGAACACGTGCGCTTGTCGGTAACGACGGGATCTCCTTTAGGCTGTAGCTCATTGGGCAGTGGTAAACTAGAAATAATGCTTGACAGGCGTTTGGGGCAAGACGATAATTTAGGACTAGGACAAGGTGTTTTGGATAATAAGCCTACTAAACACTTATTCAGGTTGCTTGTAGAGAAACGGACTAGCGATTGTCGGGTAAGCATAGTCATTTGAGGCAGTCAAAAACTCACAAATCTATTTAGGTATTGTCACGTGATCATCCTGCAGGATTTCCCACCTTGTCAGCAGCAGTGACGTCAGACACTTTGCTTAATCCCTTAATAAAACTCGTCAAAGTACAAGATGAGGCAAATAGCAAAAGAGAAGTGTACGCCCCTGCGTTTCAATTGGGCGTGGACTTGTCTATACCCACCTTTAAAACAAACATATTAATTAACGGCTCTTTTCGTACCGGGTTGGTACTGCACCGGCAGTACTTGGACACTTGTTTTTCAGATGCGGTGTTGGCAAAGCAGTTTCCTTTAAGCGACGGTACTGTTAATTTGAAGCATTTGTTTCCAGATAGTAAGACATTATTTAAGGCGAGTTTGACGTTTTTAAAAAGCGAGGGCCGAATGGAGATCGGAGAGGATTTTCAGGTTTGTCCTATGGAGTTTAAGGCTTTTTACGTTTAAGGTTGTGATAGGTTATAGTAGGTGAGTACTGTGTACTTTGTATTGTGATGCTAGGACTGATGATGACGTCATAGCAAGGTCAACGACACGTCAATGCAAAGAAAATGTATTTCTAATTTGTTTATTTATTATTGTGAAAATATTTGATGTGTCGTTGACGTAACGTCAAGGATATTACATTATATACTTTTGAATAAATAAAAATAACATTAGTTTAATATTGTGTATTTATTATATAGAATTTGAAAACTTAAATTGAGTATACAATATATGAAAAATATAAATAAAATCAGATCCAGCAGAAGCAGCCTAAAGAATAATTACTCTAAAATCTAAAGCAGCCTTAAGAACATAAAACTTCGTAGTCGCCAAATGACATTTCCTGTCCACCATAGGGTATGTAAAGCACCCCGTGACTGGGCTGCACCTTGCCCACAGTCAAACTGCCATCGTGCACAACCCTGCCAACATACAACGCCTCCCCGTCCTCACTCTGACCAGCCGGCACGGCATTGGCGGGCAAGTTGGTACCGGAAGTGGCCAGCCATTGCCCAGGAAAGTCACATAGGACTTCGTAATCTTGTACCGGGTTTTCGGCTCCGCCCCAAGCAACATATCCTTGTCCGTGACTGGGTACCAATTTGCCCGGAATTAAACCTCCATTGAAGTTGGCACGGATGACGTAAACGGGTTCGCCGTTGTCTTCGCCGCCTGCAAACGCGCTGGGTGGTACCTGGCCGGAAGTTGCCGCCACCCAACATTGACCGCCTTGGGTACCTCTTGGCCCTCTATGTTGGTTGCCGCCATCTTGAATTAAAACATGTTGTATGGTGCTTAATAATAATAATAATTATTGTTATAATTACCTTGTGGGGGTTGTACAACCCAATTTCCAGTGGCGCCCCAGCCGGTACAAATTCCTACATATTCGATGCCGATTGTTTCATAGTCGGCCCAAGACAAAAAGGGGGCTGGTTCCCCTTCGCGCCCCACTGTTACGGTGTTGTTGTCCCACCGGATCCAAAAGCCACGAGATTCTGAATCGCTCAGTATATTTGGAGTTGGGACTTCGGCTACTTCGGGTTTTGTGCGGTTTTTGCGGATTATCTACAAATAAAATTCGCATTTATTAAAATATTTGGCGCGTTTTTATTTGTACTGATGGTGACGTCATAGCAAGGTTCATGTGTTTGTTTAACATCCAAATATAAAGTTTGGCGCTGTTTTTTATTAGGACTGATAGTGACGTCATAGCAAGATTCATGCAAAGAAAATGTATTTCTATTTGTTTCTTTAACAAGCTGAAGGAAAGAGATGCAAATACATAACTTCATCAATCGAATGTAGGAGTATTTGACGGTACAAATAGATTAGTGACGTCATCATCAGTACTCTTATAGAAATCTACTTGCCGATTTTGTGTTGCCCCATCCGCCGATGAAAATTTCGTACATAGGGTCGACTTCGGCCGCTTGACTGCAGAGGGCGATGTGGGCATCGTGCGGGGCTCTGACCCTGAACTGTAGAAATCCGGAGCTGTTCGGGAAAAAGCTGTATTCCAGCTTGTCTTCGGTGAAAAGTTCTAAAATAAAAGGAAAAACCCGTAAACTGGACTATTGATTTGACCTAAATTTAATTTTTATAAGTCAATCTGATGGTGACGTCATAGCAAACACTGTTAGTATGTTGTTTAAGGTGCAATGACGTCATTATCAGTACAAAAAGATGAGTAAACTAATCAAAAATTCAAACAACAAGTTTGTTTGACCTTATATAATGCAACGATGCCAAATTTTAAAGTGGTACCTCATCGCTAATCAAGGCAATTTATTAATTAGTACCCACTTATAAATGAGTCACGATTATTTATATCCGAAAATAGCAAATATCCGATTTTCGTGACTCCAATTTGTAATGTATCGATACACGCAAATCTGAATGTAATCAGGGTGTAATTTAAGGGCGTAAGGACGGAAAAAAAAGCCCTTTAAATCTACAAATTGGGTCGCGTGTCGTTGCGGCGTAAACACCCAAATAGGGTTTCGTGTTTATGGGTATTTTTGCTCTAATTATCTTATAATTTAGTCAATATTTCACAAAATGTAATATATAATTAGATATCCTTGATCAGAATTGAATGCTCTTTAAGATGAAATAAGATTCATTTTCGTAGCTCGAATAGTTTTTGAGCAATTGAGCCTCAAAGTTAATTTTTAGTTCAAACTCAATTTGCTCAAAAACTATAAGCCTGGGAATATTGTAAATTACAGGTCTTTTAGAGCTTGTTAAGAGCTACAAAGGCTGAAAATTTCAATGCAATTTGCTCAACGGTTCCCGAGCAATTGAGGTTTGAATATTTTGAAATCAGGAATTTATGAAAAATTCGATTTTTTTTATTTTTCAGTTTTGCTCAATTTTGACTTTACCAATCGATAGAGCGGGTCAAAATTAGTGGAAAACAACCCTAACATCATTTCCAAATGGCCATTTACAAGGGGAAAAAAAATCAAATAGGTAATCTTATTTTTGGCTCTGAAAATTTTTCAAAATCTTGACATGGTCATGAGCAATTGCCCATATCGTTCTCAAATTTTGAGCAAATCATAATAAACTATATACCATTCGAAAGAGCATTAAATTCTCTATAAATCCGTGCAAAATTGAGTTTGATTGCTCAAATAGTTTTTGAGATATTGAAGCTCAAAGTTGAAACTTTGTCTCAAATTTGGTAAAAACTTCAAAGCCGTTTTTCTCAAAAAGGAAGCCCTTGAGCTCGGAGTCTCAAATAGCCTTTTTTGTAGCCCTTATCAAGAGCTACAATTGAGCAAAAGATTCATGCCGATAGCTCCACTGGTTTCCAAAATATGGCCCTTTGAAATATTTGAAAATCAAATTTCCCTTTGGAAAAATTCGAATTTTTAAATTTTTGGATTTTGCAATTTTTGACTTTACCAATCGAAAGAGGAGGTTAAAATTAGTGGAAAAGCATTTACGCAACTTTGTTTTTTGGGTTTTAGGGCTTGTGAAAAAATAAAAACCGTTTTTCCACATTTTGGGCCCAGAAAATTTGAATAATCTGACATGGTCATGAGCAATTGCCCATATCGTTATTAAATTTTGAGCAAATTGAAATAAACTATATACCATTGGAAAGAGCATTAAATTCTCTATAAATCCGTGCAAAATTGAGCTTGATAGCTCCAATAGTTTTTGAAATATTGAAGCTCAAAGTTGAAACTTTGTCTCAAATTTGGTAAAAACTTCAAAGCCGTTTTTCTCGAAAACGAAGCCCTTGGGCTGGGAAACTCAAATAGCCTTTTTCGTAGCCCTTATCAAAAGCTACAATTGAGCAAAAGATTCATGCCGATAGCTTCACTGGTTTCCAAAATATGGCCCTTTGAAATATTTGAAAATCAAATTTCCATGCATACCCCTTTGGAAAAATTCGAATTTTTAAATTTTTGGATTTTGTAATTTTTGACTTTACCAATCGAAAGAGGAGGTTAAAATTAATGGAAAAACATTGACGCAACTTTTTTTTTTGGGTTTTAGGGCTTGTGAAAAAATAAAAACCGTTTTTCCACATTTTGGGACCAGAAAATTTGAATAATCTGACATGGTCATGAGCAATTGCCCATATCGTTATTAAATTTCGAGAAAATTGAAATAAACTATATACCATTTGAAAGAGCATTGAATTCTCTATAAATCCGTGCAAAATTGAGTTTGATAGCTCAAATGGTTTTTGAGATATTGAAGGTCAAAGTTGAAACTTTGTCTCAAATTTGGTAAAAACTTCAAAGCCGTTTTTCTCGAAAACAAAGCCCTTGGGCTGGGAGTCTTAAATAACCTTTTTTGTAGCCCTTATAGAGAGCTACAATTGAGCAAAAGATTCATGCCGATAGCTCCACTGGTTTCCAAAATATGGCCCTTTGAAATATTTGAAAATCAAATTTCCATGCATACCCCTTTGGAAAAATTCGAATTTTTAAATTTTTGGATTTTGCAATTTTTGACTTTACCAATCGAAAGAGGAGGTTAAAATTAATGGAAAAACATTGACGCAACTTTTTTTTTTGGGTTTTAGGGCTTGTGAAAAAATAAAAACCGTTTTTCCACATTTTGGGACCAGAAAATTTGAATAATCTGACATGGTCATGAGCAATTGCCCATATCGTTATTAAATTTCGAGAAAATTGAAATAAACTATATACCATTTGAAAGAGCATTGAATTCTCTATAAATCCGTGCAAAATTGAGTTTGATAGCTCAAATGGTTTTTGAGATATTGAAGCTCAAAGTTGAAACTTTGTCTCAAATTTGGTAAAAACTTCAAAGCCGTTTTTCTCGAAAACAAAGCCCTTGGGCTGGGAGTCTTAAATAACCTTTTTTGTAGCCCTTATCAAGAGCTACAATTGAGCAAAAGATTCATGCCGATAGCTTCACTGGTTTCCAAAATATGGCCCTTTGAAATATTTGAAAATCAAATTTCCATGCATACCCCTTTGGAAAAATTCGAATTTTTAAATTTTTGGATTTTGTAATTTTTGACTTTACCAATCGAAAGAGGAGATGAAAATTAGTGGAAAAGCATTTACGCAACTTTGTTTTTTGGGTTTTAGGGCTTGTGAAAAAATAAAAACCGTTTTTCCACTTTTTGGGCCCAGAAAATTTCAATAATCTGACATGGTCATGAGCAATTGCCCATATCGTTCTCAAATTTTGAGCAAATCATAATAAATTATATACCATTGGAAAGAGCATTAAATTCTCTATAAATCCGTGCAAAATTGAGTTTGATAGCTCGAATAGTTTCTGAGATATTGAAGCTCAAAGTTGAAACTTTGTCTCAAATTTGGTAAAAACTTCAAAGCCGTTTTTCTCAAAAAGGAAGCCCTTGAGCTCGGAGTCTCAAATAGCCTTTTTTGTAGCCCTTATCAAGAGCTACAATTGAGCAAAAGATTCATGCCGATAGCTCCACTGGTTTCCAAAATATGGCCCTTTGAAATATTTGAAAATCAAATTTCCATGCATACCCCTTTGGAAAAATTCGAATTTTAAAATTTTTGGATTTTGCAATTTTTGACTTTACCAATCGAAAGAGGAGGTTAAAATTAATGTAAAAACATTGACGCAACTTTTTTTTTTTGGGTTTTAGGGCTTGTGAAAAAATAAAAACCGTTTTTCCACATTTTGGGACCAGAAAATTTGAATAATCTGACATGGTCATGAGCAATTGCCCATATCGTTATTAAATTTCGAGAAAATTGAAATAAACTATATACCATTTGAAAGAGCATTGAATTCTCTATAAATCCGTGCAAAATTGAGTTTGATAGCTCAAATGGTTTTTGAGATATTGAAGCCCAAAGTTGAAACTTTGCCTCAAATTTGGTAAAAACTTCAAAGCCGTTTTTCTCGAAAACGAAGCCCTTGGGCTGGGAAACTCAAATAGCCTTTTTCGTAGCCCTTATCAAAAGCTACAATTGAGCAAAAGATTCATGCCGATAGCTTCACTGGTTTCCAAAATATGGCCCTTTGAAATATTTGAAAATCAAATTTCCATGACGTTGCCTCATAAAATTGCTCATAACTTTGTTAATATCCTGCAGATTCCTTTACAAAATGAGGTTTTTTTAATCAGAATTAAATGCTCTTTAAAATAGAACAAGATTCAATTCTTTATCTCAAATATTTCTCAAGATATTGAGGCTCAAAGTCTCAAAAACAAGAATATCTAATTATAAATAATTATTGTTTAACAATTCCGCCCATATATCATTCGAAAAGAATTCCATAGCATGATGGCACAGCTAAAAATAGTACCGTTTTTATATTATGTGGCGGTACCTGGAACGGAAACACGCTGCGTTGCCAAACTTACTTAAAAATTGTTATTTTATTTAGGATTTTTTACATAAATAAGTGAAAATACATTGACTTACCAATGTTGCTCATTTTGATGCTGAAAAAGTTGATTCTCTCACTGGAAACGTTGTAACACTACTGACCAAAATTCCTGCTGGCTTATTGGGGGAAATATAGAACTCTCCAAGGCGCCGAATTGTGGGGGGAAAAATAAGGGGGGAGAATAAATGAGCTCGAGTATCGATACATTTTGATTTGATTTTGTATTTTTCTACAGCCAAAAGTCAACTATTTGAGTTATCAAACTCATCAATTTATAGAGAATTTAATGCTCTTTCGAATGGTATATAGTTTGTGGTAATTTGCTCAAAAATTTGAGAAAGATATAATTGTTCATGATTTTTTAGCCAAATTATAATTTCAAAATCTTCAAACCTCGATTGCTCGGTAACCGTTGAGCAAATTGCATTGAAATTTTCAGCATTTGTAGCTCTTATCAGGCTCTAAATAACCTGTAAATTACAATATTTTCAGGTTTATAGTTTTTGAGCAAATTGAATTAGAAGTTTTTGACAAAATTTGGAGTTTGACGCTCAATTGCTCAGAAACTATTTGAGTTATCAAGCTTAAATCTGCACGGATTTATAGAGAATTTAATGCTCTTTCCGATGATATATGATTTATTTTCATTTGCTCAAAATTTAACAAAGATACGGGCATTTGCTCATAACCATGTCAAGATTTTGAAAATTTTCCAGAGCCAAAAATAGGATATCCTTTTTGATTTTTTTTTTCCTTGGAAATGACCATTTGGAAATGATGTTAGTGTTGTTTCCCACTAATTTGGACCCGCTCTATCGATTGGTAGAGTCAAAATTGAGCAAAACTGAAAAGTTGAAAAATCGAATTTTTCATAAGGGTAACCCCTTTGAATTCTGATTTCAAAATCTTCAAACCTTGATTGCTCAGTAATCGTTGAGCAAATTGCATTGAAATTTTCAGCATTTGTAGCTCTTATCAGGCTCTAAATAGCCTGTAAATTACAATATTCTAAGGCTTATAGTTTTTGAGCAAATTGAATTAGAAGTTTTTGACAAAATTTGGAGTAAAAGTCAACTTTGAAGCTCAATTGCTTAGAAACTATTTGAGTTATCTAGCTTAAATTTGCATGGATTTATAGAGAATTTAATGCTCTTTCCGATGATATATGATTTATTTCCATTTGCTCAAAATTTAACAAAGATATGGGCATTTGCTCATAACCATGTCAAGATTTTGAAAATTTTCCAGAGCCAAAAATAGGATATCCTTTTTGATTTTTTTTTTCCTTGGAAATGACCATTTGGAAATGATGTTAGTGTTGTTTCCCACTTATTTGGACCCGCTCTATCGATTGGTAGAGTCAAAATTGAGCAAAACTGAAAAGTTGAAAAATCGAATTTTTCATAAGGGTAACCCCTTTGAATTCTGATTTCAAAATCTTCAAACCTTGATTGCTCGGTAACCGTTGAGCAAATTGCATCGAAATTTTCAGTATTTGTAGCTCTTATCAGGCTCTAATTAGCCTGTAAATTACAATATTCCAAGGCTTATAGTTTTTGAGCAAATTGAATTAGAAGTTTTTGACAAAATTTGGAGTAAAAGTCAACTTTGAAGCTCAATTGCTCAGAAACTATTTGAGTTATCTAGCTTAAATTTGCATGGATTTATAGAGAATTTAATGCTCTTTCCGATGATATATGATTTATTTCCATTTGCTCAAAATTTAACAAAGATATGGGCATTTGCTCATGGCCATGTCAAGATTTTGAAAATTTTCCAGAGCCAAAAATAGGATATCCTTTTTGATTTTTTTTTCCTTGGAAATGACCATTTGGAAATGATGTTAGTGTTGTTTCCCACTAATTTGGACCCGCTCTATCGATTGGTAGAGTCAAAATTGAGCAAAACAGAAAAGTAGAAAAATCGAATTTTTCATAAGGGTAACCCCTTTGAATTCTGATTTCAAAATCTTCAAACCTCGATTGCTCGGTAACCGTTGAGCAAATTGCATCGAAATTTTCAGTATTTGTAGCTCTTATCAGGCTCTAATTAGCCTGTAAATTACAATATTCCAAGGCTTATAGTTTTTGAGCAAATTGAATTAGAAGTTTTTGACAAAATTTGGAGTTTGACGCTCAATTGCTGAGAAACTATTTGAGGTATCAAGCTCAAATCTGCACGGATTTATAGAGAATTTAATGCTCTTTCCGATGATATATGATTTATTTTAATTTGCTCAAAATTTAACAAAGATATGGGCATTTGCTCATAACCATGTCAAGATTTTGAAAATTTTTCAGAGCCAAAAATAGGATTTCCTTTTATGTTTATGTCTCGAACCGTTCTAGGACGATTCAAGAATCGTAAAATCATTCTCAGAACAGTTTTAAATCCACTCTCAGTACGCGCAGTTCACTCTAGAACAGTCCAGAATAAATTCTAATAAGCTTTATATTCAAAACTGTCCTTAAAAATTGTGTTCCAGAGTAGGAAAAGTATTGGAATATTTCCTTTTAATCAGAAAATAAAGATTTTTGAGACAAAATGTGATTGTATGTTCAGAGCTGTTTTTTCTTGTAAATTACGAGTCATTTTATAATGCAGACACATGTGGCAACACCGCTTATAATACAACAAACGTCAAAGAAAGTGACGTTTCAAAGTAGGCCTTATTTCCTTTGACAGTTGTGCCAAAATGACGTTTTTCCAACTCCAAATGTCACCATTTTCCGTTTTATTCGCATTAATTGCAAACGCGGCAAATGAATGTAGCAACCTTAGCGTAAACGTCAAAAAAATTTGACGTTTCAAAAAACTTCTAATTTTTGACAGTTTACAAAGAGAAATTTTAGGCCGAATTAAATCATTCCCAGAACAGTTTTAGATTCACTCTAAGTGCGCGTAAGAGTAAACTCTAGAACCATTATATTACAGTTTTTTTTCAACGTATAAAGCAGTTGGTACTAATAAAATAGTAGAGTGACGTAAGCAAAAGTGCACCCATACTAGATACATTTTACGCAACGTGTAAAGCCGCCTTAAGAAATCATTCCTATTTTTATCGCCTCTTCTAATCACCATTAATTAATTATCCTTCCTTGTCCTACACTCTTTCGCTCGCATCTTGCATCCTTGTTGCTCCAAGTGCAAAATTAGAAATGACGCGCATTTTCCTTGAACAAACAACCTTCAATATCGATATTGAATAGGAATGAGGCCTAAGTAAGTATCGATAATCAATAATAATAATAATAAAAACACAATTATTTTATTTTATTTATTAATAACAGGAATTACAATTATTATTATTTGATGACGTAATGAAGAGACTTTGGGCTTACTATTCAATGATAATTAAATTCCCTGTTTATAATTACATATTTAAAGAGCAGAAGCTCCAGAGATAATTTCAATCAACTCTCTGGTAATGACAGCCTGTCTAGTTCTGTTAAACGTCAACGTCAGCTTGTCAATCATTTCTCCGGCGTTTTTGCTGGCATTGTCCATAGCTGTCATCCTAGAAGACTGTTCGGAGCAGGCGCCCTCTTTCATCGAATAGAAAAGCAACGAGGCCAATGAAAATTCCAAGTAGGATTGAATGACTTCATCATCTAAAGAATCATAAATTGACAGTTTTGGAGATGCCGCAACCGACTGTAAGCTGTAAACAGGCAAAATCGACGTCTGATAAGACACAACAGACTTGAACCTGTTATAGACAATTTCGCCTGAGCCAAATTTGTATTCGGATTTTAATACAGCATCAGCTAGTTTGGAGGCGTCACCAAAGGTGGGAGGGAGACGGCCTATTTCATTACAGGCCAGAATGATGTTTTTGCCGTAGATTCGAGACAAAATTGCCTTTGATTTGTCACCAACGCAGACGACTTTGATGTTTTGGTCGTCTTTAGCTAATTCTGTACGGATATGCCTTGCAACTGACGTGTGCACTGCGCCACATAAACCTATAAACAAATAATGACGTCATTAAAGTTACTAGCCTTGATTATTGACATTATGACGTCATTGGTATGCAACCTACCTCTGTCTGAAGTGATAGCGATTACTAATTTCTGAGGGACATCTTCTGGAGGGGCGATTTCTGCTTGCTCGTAAAATTGTTTGGCCCCGTTTCCAATAGGTCTCACCTGTTTCAATTCCCTTTCGGCTCTGGCGTATTTGGCCGCTGACACCATTTTCATTGATTGGGTGATTTTTTGGATGTTTTTCACTGATTTTAGACGCATGGAGATTGCCTTTAGGGTGGCCATGCCCCTTTGCTGTTGCCCGAAGAAGGCATTTTGCACCACTGCTTTGCCCAACATGATTTCTGAAATTATATAAAATTGTATTATGTAATAAGTGGAAGTTGAAGTTTAGGGGCTTTTTATGTATAGAAGCGGTTTTGGCTGGGATTGGTTATTGATGGGTGCTCCTTTATGTGTTTGGTGGAGCCCTAATTTGTGGAAATAAAGTAAAATCTAACCTTTTTTGTCACCGCAGCCTTTGCCCTCCTTGCACTAGGGAAAAAGTGTCAGGTTTAGAACAGCTGATCGGTGCAGTGTTCCGTTTATTAGGTAAACGGTACATGCCCACAAAAATGTTCCGTTTTTCAGCTTGGTTATTAAGCGCTTTCAATCTCGTACATACTCCGAATTACTCTACATTTTTTTTGCAAATCCTTGTTTTTATTATTATTTTTCCTACTCTTTTTACATGATGACATCACTTGCAGACCTAACAAAACCCGTTTCAAACTAAAAATCCATCCGCAAGCCACAGTGACGGACCAATTTTGTCACTTTTGCTCAAAATTTTGAAATAAATACCCTTGTTACAAGGTTTCCTTACATGATGACGTCACTTGCAGACCACAACAAAACCCGTTTCAAACCATAATGACAGACCAATTTTGTCACTTTTGTTCAAAATTTTGAAAAGCCTAGTACTCATAACTGCGAAATTCGCATTTTTTTGACATTGCTTCGACAATTTGACGTTTGATACACTTATAAAACGTCAAATTGTCAACGCAATGTTAAAAAATTGCGAATTTCGCATTTATGAGTACTAGGCTTTATAAATATCCTTATACAAGGTTTCCTTACATGATGACGTCACTTGCAGACCACAACAAAACCCGTTTCAAACCACAGTGACAGACCAATTTTGTAACATTTGTTCAAAATTTTGAAAATCTTTGTTACAAGGTTTCCTTATATGATGACGTCACTTGCAGACCCCAACAAAACCCGTTTCAAACTAAAAATCTACCCGCAAGCTACAGTGACAAACCAATTTAGTCACTTTTGTTTAAAATTTTGAAATAAATATCTTTGTTACAAGGTTTCCTTACATGATGACGTCACTTGCAGACCACAATAAAAACCGTTTCAAATTCAAAATGCACCCGCAAAATATAGTGATTGGTCAGTTTTAATCAAAATCCACCCGCAAGCCACAGTGACAGACCAATTTTGTAACTTTAAATCAAAATTTTGAAATAAATATCCTTGTTACAAGGTTTCTTAACATGATGACATCACTTGCAGACCTAACAAAACCCGTTTCAAACCACAGTGACAGATCAGTTTTGTTACTTATGTTTTGGATTTTGAAATAAATATCCTTGTCACAAGATTTCCCCACATGACGTCATTTGCAGACCACAACAAAACCCGTTTCAAACTAAAAATCCACCCGCAAGCCACAGTGACAGACCAAAATTTTGAAATAAATATCCTTGGTACAAGGTTTCCTAACATGATGACATCACTTGCAGACCACAACAAAACCCGTTTCAAACTAAAAATCTACCCGCAAGCCACAGTGACAGACCAATTTTGTCACTTTTGCTCAAAATTTTGAAATAAATAAAGTTGTATAAGGTTTCCTTACATGATGACGTCACTTACAGACCACTGGAGAACAATGGGATCCGTTCTAGACAGACTTAGAACTCAATAAGTATTAAATTTTTTGGAACAAAGTGTGCCTGTTCTAAAATAATCTTGCACTAGGTTCAGTTGGAAACAATTTTGTAACAGTTTGGAGTTGTTCCTTTACCTAGAACAGTTCTAAATTTAGTTAGTGCACACAGTTTACTCTAGAACAGAAAATTACTCAAATAGTTTTTAGTAAACGGCACATGCCCCATTGAACCCTTTTGTAGGCTAAAACAATTCAAATTAATTTTAGGTGGGTTCGACTTGCTCACTCCGTGCACTCTGAGTGACTCCATTTGCACTCCAGGTTAAGGTTCGGGTATCGCTTTTTACCGTATTAGGGGTGACTCCATTGGCTCTGTTCAATCCACTCTAACTCCATGCTGAATAGCCGAACCTAGCTTTATAATTAAGTGTTGCGTTAACAAAAATAGAAAACGGTACATGCCCCACTGTAATCAACCAAAAACAATGCGTTTTTGGGGCCTATTTCGAGTTCTAGTGCAGCCCCAAAGGCCCCAATTAGCAAGTCAGTGTCAGTTTTGTCTCACTCGGAGTAGGTTTTTTAGCTCGCAGCCCCAACCAGACAGAAAAAACGTAAATATCGGTACCATAGGGCATGTGGACCACGGGAAAACCACCCTAACGGCCGCCATAACGAAATACTTACACAAAAAAGGCCTGGCAAAGTACGTGCCTTATGGGGAAATCGACAAAGCCCCTGAGGAAAAAGCCAGAGGTAATGTATTCATATCTTTTTCTACTAGCTTGTATAAAAAAAAGATAAAAATACTTAGGAATAACAATTAATGCCTGTCACGTGGGCTATAGCACAGAGAGGCGCACCTACGCTCACACCGACTGTCCGGGACACGCCGACTATATAAAAAACATGATTTCGGGGGCCTCGCAAATGGACGGGGCCGTTCTAGTAGTGGCCGCCACTGACGGCCAAATGCCCCAAACCCGGGAGCACTTGTTGCTGGCCAAACAAGTTGGCGTATCAAAAATCATTGTATACATTAACAAGACTGATTTGGTCGATGCTGAGGTAAGAATTTTTGAATTTGGGCGCACAATTTTAAATGTCAAATGTCAAATGAATGACGTATCGATATTCAAAAAGTCGATATTGACATGTCGATATTCAAAAAATTATTCCAGGTTCTGGAACTGGTAGAACTAGAAATCAGAGAGCTGCTGGAGGATTTCGGGTTCGACGGTGCTCATTGCCCTCTAATATTCGGTTCCGCTCTAGAAGCACTAGAGGGGCAAGATACAGAACGTGGTACCAAATCGATTCAGAAGCTTTTAGATGCTTTGGACTCCTATATACCGTATCCAGAACGAGATTGTAAATCGCCCTTTATGCTGCCAATAGATAACACCTTTTCAGTGTCAGGGCGTGGTACCGTTGTAGTTGGTACCCTAACGCGTGGCACCCTAAAAAAAAACGCCGAAGCTGAACTACTAGGATTTGATTTAAGCCTTAAAACCACTGTATCAGACATACAAGCTTTCAAACAGAGTTTGCCAGAGGTTTGTTTGTACACTTACAAACATAATATTCTAGAACCATTTTTTTATAGGTCAGGGCAGGTGATCACGTGGGAGCCCTTGTGCGAAACGTCAAATTAAAAGACATCAAAAGGGGCATGGTCTTGTGCGCCCCCAAATCTTTAAAACTAAGCAACAGATTCAAAGCGAGCATCTATTTCCTGACAAAAGGCGAAGGCGGCAGGTCTAAACCAATAGCTAACAAGTACTGTCAGCAACTGTTCAGTCAAACTTGGACAGTACCTTGCAGGATCGATTTAGGTAAATATTAAAACTCCCAATAACAAAATCGACTTTGATTGTTTTAGATGATGACGTCACAATGCTGATGCCTGGAGAATATGGCAACGTTAAGTTGACACTTCTGTGGAAAATGGTGATGAGTCCAGGTCAGCAATTCACCGTGCGGGAAAACAACTTCACAGTGGCGACTGGGATTGTAACAGAAACCATGCCTGATGTGGAAGTCAAAGGGAAATTGCATTTGGTCGATTAATTGTAAAGGACTTATGGTGACCTCATAATTTTATTGTTACAGGAATCTGTAAGTATTCGTGCCATGTATAAAGTTGCAATTTATAGAAATCTGTAATATAATGATTTGATTTTAAATGTAAATTGAAGTAATTATTATTGTTTTAGGCCATTGTTAATTAAAACTAATTAAATAATTAACAAAATTTTGGACGAAATCGTTAGGGACCAAAAGTGCAAATTACAGATTTCTGTAATAATAATCAATAAATTTATAAGAGAATAATGATTTATTTGGTGCAAGTTAATTATTAATTGTTTAAATTTATTAATAAAATACTTTTTCCAATCAAAATTACAATAATTAAAACAAATCAAATAATTATAAGAATCTGTAATTAGTAACTTTGGCCGCTCGTTGATAGATGGCGCTGACAATTTTGTTTATCAATTTTCCACAATTTTATTAATAGTTAATCAATTTCGATGAATTTTCCAATCAACAATCGCTTAAAATACCTAAAATTCTCCATTTTCATTAATTAAACTCAAATTATTTAAAAAATTCAATAATAAAATATTACAGATTCCTGTAATTTAATGACAACAAAAAAATCACTAATACAGGAATCTGTGATTCGGCAAATATGGTCGCTTGTTAATAGATGGCGCTAATATCTTTTGACAGCAAAATGGTTTCCTAACCTCAATTATTTGTTTACATCGATTCAAAACAATTAATTCTAAATACTGATTGTTCTTTGGTAATTAAAAACCGTTCAAGTTGTAACTTGTTGTCCTGGACTGGACAAAAGCAGTGGGACAAGATTTGTTGCGGAAAAAACACGTTTTAATCTGAGGTAATTTTGATTGATTTAATTAATAAAATTAACCCCAGTGAGACAAAACTTGTACCATCAAAAGGGCCTAATTTTGGTATTTTGACTACAAACATTTGTGCCAGTGGTTCAAAAACAATGAGGATTTAAGGCAGGGTATACACTTTTAAAATCCAATACAATTTACTTTATTTCTAACAAATTGATTGGTCAAAATTGGGATTTCCTGAACTGAAAGTTGATGATTCTTGGTACCAAAGGGCCCTTGTCTGCAAGGTACTGCAATTATATGGAAAAAAACTATGGCTTCTATGACTTAAGCCCTATACACACTTTCCTTTTGAACAATGGAGCATCTTTTCAAAATTCTAGAATTCTCTATACATGGTTGCCACATTGTCAAGACAATCTTAAACGAATCAAGGAAAATGTGGCAACCATTTTGATGAAACAACTTAAAATAATTAACAATTAATTTTGACTCATTAATTAATACCAATAAGGCATCAGAAGCAAGTAAAAGTAATAAAGAGTGAGAAAAAAAATCAAAAAATTATTAAAAGTGACAAGGATGCAACTATTTTTCCACTCCAATGGCTGGATTAAACTAATTATTTCAATGGGGAGGAGAAATTGACATCTACTGTCAATAATTCTAGCCAATCAAAAACTAGTTTGACTCAAATTATGAGCAATGACCTATTGAATTTGATTGCCAATATTTTTTTTGCAAATTCCTAGAAATTGAAAAATTGCAGATTTCTGTAAAAAGTTTGGTTGTTGTTTAATAGATGGCGCCACAATGTTATTCATTTTTTTAAATTTTTGTTTTCAGGTACTGTTGGCGGACTAGAAAAACTTATTGCAGGTGAGTTGTAGATGATATTTTGCTTAAAGTCAATTTTCCAAGATTTTTCCTGTAGTGATTTTCCACTGGAAAATTTTAAAATTTTCCTATAATGAGCTCCACACTTTTCTCTTTTTCTTAGAAAATTTTCAAAATTTTCCCTTTGCCAGTTTTCTAGGAAAAAATTAAAATGTAAAAGGATGAATTTTGTTTATGAAAGTCAATTTTCCGGAATTTTTCCTTAAGTGATTTTCCATTGGAAAATTTTGAAATTTTCCTATAATACGTTCCTTACTTTCCTTTTTTTCCTGGAAAATTTTCAAAATTTTTTCCTTTGCCAGTTTTCCAAGAAAAAATTAAAATGTAAAAGGGTGAATTTTGCTTAAAAAAGTCAATTTTTCGGAATTTTTCCTGGAGTGATTTTCCACTGGAAAATTTTGAAATTTTCATATAATGAACTTCTGACTTTCCTCTTTCCCCTGTAAAAATTTCACAATTTTCTCTTTGCCAGTTTTCCGGGAAAAAATTAAAATATCAGAGAGTGAATTTTCCATAATTTTGCTTATAAAAGTCAATTTTCCGGAATTTTTCCTGAAGTGATTTTTCATGGGAAAATTTTGAAATTTTCTTATAATGAGTTCCATACTTTCCTCTTTATCCTGCAAAAATTTCAAAATTTTCCCTTTGCCAGTTTTCCAGAAAAAAATTAATTTGAAAAAACTTGAAAAAGTTGTGGAAAATCGGAAAATTAAAAAAATTAAATAAATTGGTTTTGGGACTTTTTGGGATCCCCTCTACAAAATGGCTATCTTGAAATTTCGAAATTTTGACATAGGTATTCGAGGTCAAGGATTCCGAATTTGACATTATTTTTCGTCTATCATGAATTTGTACAATAAAAAATCGAGTTAGATAAAAACGAATGTCAAATTCGGAATCCTTGACCCCGAAAACCTCGAAAACGACATACTACTCGATTTTTTCCGAAATTCGCAACATTTCGCAATTTTTCGCAACATTCCGGAAATAGTCAAGTAGTATGTCGTTTTCGAGGTTTTTGGGGTCAAGGATTCCGAATTTGACATCATTTTTCGTCTATCGTGAATTTGTACAATAAAAAATCGAGTTAGACAAAAACGAATGTCAAATTCGGAATCCTTGACCCCGAAAACCTCGAAAACGACATATTACTCGATTTTTTCCGAAATTCGCAACATTTCGCAATTTTTCGCAACATTCCGGAAATAGTCAAGTAGTATGTTGTTTTCGAGGTTTTCGGGGTCAAGGATTCCGAATTTGACATTATTTTTCGTCTATCGTGAATTTGTACAATAAAAAATCGAGTTAGACATAAACGAATGTCAAATTCGGAATCCTTGACCCCGAAAACCTCAAAAACGACATACCACTCGATTTTTTCCGAAATTCGCAACATTTCGCAATTTTTCGCAACATTCCGGAAATAGTCAAGTAGTATGTCGTTTTCGAGGTTTTTGGGGTCAAGGATTCCGAATTTAACATTATTTTTCGTCTATCGTGAATTTGTAGAATAAAAAATCGAGTTAGACAAAAACGAATGTCAAATTCGGAATCCCTGACCCCGAAAACCTCAAAAACGACATACCACTCGATTTTTTCCGAAATTCGCAACATTTCGCAATTTTTCGCAACATTCCGGAAACAGTCAAGTAGTATGTTGTTTTCGAGGTTTTCGGGGTCAAGGATTCCGAATTTGACATTATTTTTCGTCTATCATGAATTTGTACAATAAAAAATCGAGTTAGACATAAACGAATGTCAAATTCGGAATCCTTGACCCCGAAAACCTCGAAAACGACATACTACTCGATTTTTTTCGAAATTCGCAACATTTCGCAATTTTTCGCAACATTCCGGAAATAGTCAAGTAGTATGTCGTTTTCGAGGTTTTCGGGGTCAAGGATTCCGAATTTGACATTATTTTTCGTCTATCATGAATTTGTACAATAAGAAATCGAGTTAGACATAAACGAATGTCAAATTCGGAATCCTTGACCCCGAAAACCTCGAAAACGACATACTACTCGATTTTTTCCGAAATTCGCAACATTTCGCAATTTTTCGCAACATTCCGGAAACAGTCAAGTAGTATGTCGTTTTCGAGGTTTTCGGGGTCAAGGATTCCGAATTTGACATTATTTTTCGTCTATCATGAATTTGTACAATAAAAAATCGAGTTAGACATAAACGAATGTCAAATTCGGAATCCTTGACCCCGAAAACCTCGAAAACGACATACTACTCGATTTTTTCCGAAATTCGCAACATTTCGCAATTTTTCGCAACATTCCGGAAATAGTCAAGTAGTATGTCGTTTTCGAGGTTTTCGAGGTCAAGGATTCCGAATTTGACATTATTTTTCGTCTATCGTGAATTTGTTTTTGTTATTAATAAAGAAAATAAACAATGAAACTTTTGGTAATATTTTTTCCCCCAATTTCGTAGCGCTTTCGACATTTTGTGAGGAAAATTTTCCTGTGTTTCTTTTTCTGATGCAAAATGGCAAAATTTTCTGAAAAAAAAGGGAAAATTAAACAAAAGAATTAAAAAAAAAAAACATTCGTTTGTTTAAAATAATATCAACGTCATCGTTTGGCTGAAATGCGATATGAAATCAACTAAAAATTATAGATATCTGTAATAATTATTCCAATTTTTGCTTGCTAGATGTCACTGCAAAAATTACAGATTGCTGTAATAAATACTTTGCGTATTGTCTGATAGATGGCATCACTTTTAAAAATTACAGTTTTCTTTTTAAAATAGCTTTGGCTTTTGTTTGATAGATGGCGCTAGTAATGTAATTTTTATTTTGCATGTCTAGAGGTAGGATTTAGGTGCAGAATAATTACGTCATCATAGATGCTTGCAGTTCCAAAAAATATTCATTGTTTTCTAGGTCCAATTGGAGTCCAAGATTGCAAGGAAAATCAGGCCAATGAGGGAACAGGTTGCAGAGATTTTTTGATGGGTGAGTCATAGTCGTAGATAATTTTTTTTATTTATATAAGTTATTTTTCATTGGAAAGAATGTAGCTAATTTTCCAGAATTTTTCCTGGAGTCATTTTTCATTGGAAAATTTTGAAATTTTTCTATAATGAGCTTCACACTTTCCTCTCTCTCCTGGAAAAAATTTCAAAATTTTCCCTTTGCCAGTTTTCCAGGAAAAAATTAAAATGCAAGAGGTGAATTTTGTTTAAATAAGTCCATTTTCCAGAATTTTTCCTGGAGTCATTTTCCATTGAAAAATTTTGAAATTTTCCTATAATGAGCTCCTGACTTTCCTCTTTCTCCTGTAAAAATTTCGAAATTTTCCCTTTGCCAGTTTTCCAGGAAAAAATTAAAATGCAACAGGTGAATTTTGCTTAAATAAGTCCATTTTCCAGAATTTTTCCTGGAGTTATTTTCCATTGAAAAATTTTGAAATTTTCCTATAATGAGCTCCTGACTTTCCTCTTTCTCCTGTAAAAATTTCGAAATTTTCCCTTTGCCAGTTTTCCAGGAAAAAATTAAAATGCAACAGGTGAATTTTGCTTAAATAAGTCCATTTTCCAGAATTTTTCCTGGAGTTATTTTCCATTGAAAAATTTTGAAATTTTCCTATAATGAGCTCCTGACTTTCCTCTTTCTCCTGTAAAAATTTCGAAATTTTCCCTTTGCCAGTTTTCCAGAAAAAAATTAAAATGCAAGAGGTGAATTTTGTTTAAATAAGTCCATTTTCCAGAATTTTTCCTGGAGTCATTTTTCATCGGAAAATTTTGAAATTTTCCTATAATGAGCTTTACACTTTCCTCTCTTTCCTGGAAAAATTTCATAATTTTCCTTTTGCCAGTTTCCCAGAAAAAAATTAAAATGCAAGAGGTGAATGTTCCTTAATTTTGCTTAAATAAGTCAATTTTCTGGAATTTTTCCTGGAGTCATTTTCAATTGGAAAATTTTGAAATTTTTTTATAATGAGATCCACACTTTCTTCTCTGTCCTGGAAAAATTTTGAATTTTTCTCTTTGCCAGTTTTCCAGGAAAAAATTAAAGTGTAAGAGGATGAATTTTGCTTAAAAAAGTCAATTTTCCGGAATTTTTCCTTAAGTGATTTTCCACTAGAGAATTTTGAAATTTTCTTATAATGAACTCCTGACTTTCCTTTTTCTCTTGTGAAAATTTCACAATTTTCTCTTTGTCAGTTTTCCAGGAAAAAATTAAAGTGTAAGAGGATGAATTTTGCTTAATAAAGTCAATTTTCTGAAATTTTTCTTGAAGTGATTTTTCACTGGAAAATTTTGAAATTTTCCTATAATGAGCTCTATAGTTTCCTCTTTTTCCTGAAAAATTTTCAAAATTTTCTCTTTGCCAGTTTTCCAGAAAAAAAATAATTTAAAAGAGGCTTCATTTAATTTGAAAAACACTGGAAAAGTCTAGGAAAATCGGAAAATTGAGGGAAAAAAGTTGGTTTTGGGACTTTTTGGGATCCCCTCTACAAAACGGCTATCTTGAAATTTCGAAATTTTGACTTCGATTTTTGGGCCTATACCTATAACACAGGAGACGCTGGAAAATGACAAAAATCTCAACTTCAACCGGCCGTAACTCCGTAATGGTAAATCCTAGAGGAAAACCATTCATGGCTACATTGTAGAGCTCGTTGAGATCTACAAAAAAACCTCAGTGAGTTTTCCCTCTAGGACTTACCATTTCCAAGATATTCCACTTGGAAATTTTAAAATCGATGGGTTTAACTCTTCCTTTTTTTTTCGGCCAAAAAATCAAAGTCAAAATTTCCCGGATTTTCTTTGATGACGTCATAGAGGACATCCAAAGAAATGTCGGAACCCACTTTGTCCCCCTTAATTTCCCGTTTTTCCAGGATTTTCCGAGCCTTTTCTATACCCCACAAAATGGAAAATCGAAATTTTCGGAATTTTGAAAAAATAAAAATTGCAGTATATAGAGGAAGTCAAAACAAGCAGAAAAGCTATATAGCATTTTCCCGTACGATGTTTCCTAAGCCTGGAAAAAAATAAAAAATAAAATCTATAGTGGGGCTTTTCCAGCCTGACATGGTCCCATTAAATCGGTTATAACTCTGGAACGCCTGGACCGATTTTAATGAATCAAGTTTCATTCGAAAGAGAATTAAATTTGCTACAAAATGGCCTTATCCAGAATTTCCAGAATTATCCAGTTCCAAGTTATAGGCCTTCAAAGTTGAAATTTCCCTGAAAATTAACTTTAACTTTGTTTCAGATGGAGTTCCACTTTCCAGAACAACTCCTAGTGCCCTTTTGTCCATTTATTGTTGTTAATTATGGAAGAAAATAAATAATTTTTCCAAAATTTTTCGTTTTATTTTTCCCCAAATTCAATTTCAGAGCGCTTTCGCCATTTTGTGAGGAAAATTTTACCTCTTCGCGTTCCTGTGTTCCTGATACAAAATCCAATTTTTGACGAATTTTCCTTAAAATCCGACTTTGTATCAGGAACACAGAGACGTGAAGAGATGAAATTTCCCAAATTTTCCTGAAATTTTACCAAAAAATCGTATCGGGAGCGCAGAAACGTCAGGAGGTAATTTCTGAGCAAAAAAAATTGAATTTCTGAGCAAACAATGTAAAAAATAAACGAAATAAAACTCTGTAATTAATTAAAATCGTGTTTATTTATTTTTTCAGTCACGTTAATTGCTACTTACAAGAGTACAAAATACAAAAAACTCGGGTATTTTTATAAAATAGCTTTTTTCCCTTAATTAATTAATTAATTAAACCTAATCAATTAGTACCATTAATTAATTTGTTAAATACATACAATAAATATCGATAAATAAAATTATTATTCTTAGAATATTGAGGGCGGGTTGTTTTTTTTTTTTAGAATTTGTGCTAAAAAAACCAGCCCCCAGTGGCGTACACAACAAATACGATTACAATAATAATGTACAAATTTTTCTCGTTTGCTATTTACATTAAAAATTATTTACAAAAAATTAAATAAATAAATATTTTTCAAGCTGCCACTGGCAAGAGAGAGAGAGAGTGCGTTCGGAAATTAACTAGAACGGTAATTTTCCTCTAATAAAATGGCGTCTATGAATATTCTAAAATATAAAGTTTTTCAAACTGAAACTAAAACTACTTTTTTCTGAGTAAAAAAAAAATGTTTTCTGAGTCAAAATGTATTTTCTGAGTCAAAAATGTATTTTCTATGTAATTTTTATTTTTTTTTCAAAATGCATTTTCTGAGTCATAATGTATTTTCTGAGTCCAAATGTATTTTCTGAGTTAAAAATGTATTTTCTATGTAATTTTTTTTTTTTTTTCAAAATGCATTTTCTGAGTCAAAATGTATTTTCTGAGTCAAAATGTATTTTTCTGAGTAACAATATATTTTCTGAGTCGAGACTTAACTAAACTAAAAAAAATTCAACTCAGAAATTTTATTTAGACTCAAATTCATTTTGATCCAAAAATTACATATTTGCTCAGAAATTACATTTTGACTCAGAAATTACATTTGGACTCAGAAATTACATTCCGACTCAGAAATTACACTTTTAGCATTCGAACTCGTTGGCGGTGATGGCGTTGAGGGTCAACATCAGACCCTCGAGATTCGCCATCTCTTGGTTGAGCTCCTCGGTAGAGTGAGACGGCTGCAAGCGCTGCACCTCGTCGGCGGTGTGAGGCGGAGGGTTGGCGGCGCTGATGCGCGACGCCTGCGCACTCGGGCTGCCCGAAGCCGCCAGAGGCGGCGTCGCCTTTTTGAACGGCGATGACGTCGGTCTGACAGTGACAATGTGTTTGGCTTGGGGCGTGCCGGGGGCGGAGACTGGAGGCGGCGCCGGCACGGTGAAACTTTTCAGCGGGTGGCCTTGGATCCGTTTGGCCGCCTGCGATTCCGCCAACACGTTCATGCCAGGGGCGTAGGTGCTGCCCGGGGGCGGCTGACTAAAGAATTTTTTCAAATTTACGAAAAATTACGGAAATTACGAAAATTATAGAAAAATTACGAGAATTACGAAAATTATGGAAAAATTACGGAAATAACAAAAAGATACGAAAAATTACGGATATTACGAAAATTATAGAAAAATTACGAAAATTACGAAAATTATAGAAAAATTACAGAAATTACGAAAATTATGGAAAAATTACGGAAATTACGAAAAGTTACAGAAATTACGGAAATTATGAAAAATTACGAATAATTACGAAAATTTGAAAATTATAAAAAAATTACGGAAATTACGAAAATAATGAAAAAATTTACGAAAATTACAGAAATTACGAAAACTATGGAAAAATTACAGAAATTACAAAAAATTACAAAAATTACGGAAATTATAAAAATTTACGAAAAATTACAAAAAACTGCGAATAATTACGGAAATTATAAAAAAATTACAAAAATTAATAAAATTCCTACCTCAAGTAACCGGGATTAGACCCGACGCCACTGACGCCGTCGTACCCGCCGCTCGGGTGCGCCGAATACAAATTCTCGACCGCCGCGCCAGTAGTGGGCGGAGCCTCCAGGCCCACGTGACTGCGCGGCACTTGGTAATTGGTGCGCGGGTAAGCGGGCCGGGCCGACGGCGTCGAGTCGGAACTCGATTGGCTGGGAGGGGCGTGGTTCAGGGGCGTGGCTATAGCTGGAAAAAAAATTCAACATTGTTTTTCTGAATTGTACTAAATTTAGTACAATTTCAAATGTCAAATTCTTACCGTAATTTGGTACGTAGGTGCGTTTATCCAAAGAGTTCGCGTGTAGATTTTCGTGATTTTCGTAGTCGTTGCCGACGCTGCGCGGTAGCGTGAGCGCGCCGCTGCTCGACGCGCCGTCGTTGGCCGAGTGACGTTTCTCCATCGCTTTCAGCTCCATCTGGTCGTGGTGGATCCACAAGTCGGGCGGTTTGACGGCTTGATTTCCTGCAAAGAAAATCGGAATTGTACTAGATTTCGTACATTTTGAATTTCTAGTACATTTCAGCGGTTTTTTTTCGGCGTTAATTTTCTTAGATAATTTTTTTTAAATATTTTTTTCCCTTTTATAATTATTTTTTTCCGGCGTTTTTCATCTTAGAAAATTTTTTTCCGGCGTTATTTTTCTTAGAAAAATTTTTTCCGCCGTTAATTTTCTTAGATAATTTTTTTTAAATATTTTTTTCCCTTTTATAATTATTTTTTTCCGGCGTTTTTTATCTTAGAAAATTTTTTTCCGGCGTTATTTTTCTTAGAAAAATTTTTTCCACCGTTAATTTTCTTAGATAATTTTTTTTAAATATTTTTTTCCCTTTTATAATTAATTTTTTCCGGCGTTTTTTATCTTAGAATTTTTTTTTCCGGCGTTATTTTTCTTAGAAAATTTTTTTCCGGCGTTATTTTTCTTAGAAAATTTTTTTCCGCCGTTAATTTTCTTAGATAATTTTTTTTAAATATTTTTTTTCCTTTTATAATTATTTTTTTTCGGCGTTTTTTATCTTAGAAAATTTTTTTCCGGCGTTATTTTTCTTAGAAAATTTTTTTCCGCCGTTAATTTTCTTAGATAATTTTTTTTAAATATTTTTTTCCCTTTTATAATTATTTTTTTCGGCGTTTTTTATCTTAGAAAATTTTTTTCCGGCGTTATTTTTCTTAGAAAAATTTTTTCCGGCGTTAATTTTCTTAGATAATTTTTTTTTAATATTTTTTTTCCTTTAATAATTATTTTTTTTCGGCGTTTTTTATCTTGGAAAATTTTTTTCCGGCGTTATTTTTCTTAGAAAAATTTTTCCCGGCGTTAATTTTCTTAGATAATTTTTTTTTAATATTTTTTTTCCTTTAATAATTATTTTTTTTCGGTGTTTTTTATCTTAGAAAATTTTTTTCCGGCGTTATTTTTCTTAGAAAAATTTTTTCCGCCGTTAATTTTCTTAGATAATTTTTTTTAAATATTTTTTTCCCTTTTATAATTATTTTTTTCGGCGTTTTTTATCTTAGAAAATTTTTTTCCGGCGTTATTTTTCTTAGAAAAATTTTTTCCGGCGTTAATTTTCTTAGATAATTTTTTTTAAATATTTTTTTCCCTTTTATAATTATTTTTTTCCGGCGTTTTTTATCTTAGAATTTTTTTTTCCGGCGTTATTTTTCTTAGAAAATTTTTTTCCGGCGTTATTTTTCTTAGAAAAATTTTTTCCGCCGTTAATTTTCTTAGATAATTTTTTTTAAATATTTTTTTCCCTTTTATAATTATTTTTTTCGGCGTTTTTTATCTTGGAAAATTTTTTTCCGGCGTTATTTTTCTTAGAAAAATTTTTTCCGGCGTTAATTTTCTTAGATAATTTTTTTTTAATATTTTTTTTCCTTTAATAATTATTTTTTTTCGGCGTTTTTTATCTTGGAAAATTTTTTTCCGGCGTTATTTTTCTTAGAAAAATTTTTCCCGGCGTTAATTTTCTTAGATAATTTTTTTTTAATATTTTTTTTCCTTTAATAATTATTTTTTTTCGGCGTTTTTTATCTTGGAAAATTTTTTTCCGGCGTTATTTTTCTTAGAAAAATTTTTCCCGGCGTTAATTTTCTTAGATAATTTTTTTTTAATATTTTTTTTCCTTTAATAATTATTTTTTTTCGGTGTTTTTTATCTTAGAAAATTTTTTTCCGGCGTTATTTTTCTTAGAAAAATTTTTTCCGCCGTTAATTTTCTTAGATAATTTTTTTTAAATATTTTTTTTCCTTTTATAATTATTTTTTTTCGGCGTTTTTTATCTTAGAAAAATTTTTTCCGGCGTTATTTTTCTTAGAAAATTTTTTTCCGCCGTTAATTTTCTTAGATAATTTTTTTTAAATATTTTTTTCCCTTTTATAATTATTTTTTTCGGCGTTTTTTATCTTAGAAAATTTTTTTCCGGCGTTATTTTTCTTAGAAAAATTTTTCCCGGCGTTAATTTTCTTAGATAATTTTTTTTAAATATTTTTTTCCCTTTTATAATTATTTTTTTTCGGCGTTTTTTATCTTAGAAATTTTTTTTCCGGCGTTATTTTTCTTAGAAAAGTTTTTTCCGACATTTTTTTTTTTTTAGAAAAATTTCTCCCGGCGTTAATTTTCTTAGAATTTTTTCTTACCTTTTTGGTATCCTTTTTTGTCTCTGTTTGGCGAAGCCAAATCGGTGCCCTCTTTGCGCTTGCAACAAAGATAGCCGACGACAAGGGCGACTGTCATCATGGCCAATAGGCAACCGCCAATGGTCGTGTATAGGAGGACGCCACTGGAAAAGATACTACCGTTTTCTGAAAAAAATTTGAAAAGTTATTAATTTATTATGAAATTAAAAATTAAGAATTAAAAAATTATAAAATTAAAAAATTAAAAAATTGAAAAATTAAAAAAATTAAAAAATTTTAAAAATTAAAAAATTAAAAAATTGAAAAATTAAAAAATTAAAAAATTAGAAAATAAAAAAAAACAAATTAAAAAATTGAAAAATTAAAAAAATTAAAAAATTGAAAAATTAAACATTTTAAAAATTGAAAAATTAGAAAATTAAACACTTTAAAAAATAAATCAAAAAATTTAAAAAATAAAAAATTATTAATTAAAAAATTTAAAAATTAAAAAATTTGAAAATTAAAAAATTTAAAAAATTAAAAATTAAAAAATTTAAAAATTAAAAAATTAAAAAATTAGAAAATAAAAAAAAAAAAATATTAAAAAATTGAAAAATTAAAAAAATTAAAAAATTTAAAAAATTAAAAATTTTAAAAATTAAAAAATTGAAAAATTGAAAATTTTAAAAATTGAAAAATTAAAAAAATAAAAAATTATTAATTAAAAAATTTAAAAATAAAAAAATTTAAAAATTAAAAAATTTGAAAATAAAAAAATTAAAAAATTTAAAAAATTAAAAATTTTAAAAATTGAAAAATTAAAAAATTAAAAACTTTAAAAAATTTAATAATTTAAAAATTGAGAAAAAAAAAAAAAAAAAAAAGATTTAAAAAAAAAAATACCTGCGATTCCTTGAACAGAGGCGTGGCGTGCAACATCTAATAAAAAAAATTAAAAAAATAAATAAAATATTAACTGAAAAATTTAAAAAAAAAAAAATTAAAAAATGGAAAAAATTGAAAATAATTTTAAAAAAAATTGGGAAAATAGTAAAATTAAAAAAAAAAGTCGATTTTTACTCACTCTGTCCCGTTCTGAAAGTGGCTATATTCGAAAAAGGGCCGTACCCCCGACTATTTCTAGCTTGCACTTTGAAAAAATAAACAGTGAAGGGTTTAAGGTCGTAGATAATACTGGAATGGTTGTCGCCCTTTACCGCTAACGCCTGCCATTGGGCGTCCGTTTTCGTTTTGTTGTCGGTGAACAGAATGACGTAACCTGAAAAAAATAAAAATAAATAAATAAATAAATAAATAATAAAAAAAATAAAAAAAAATAAATAAAAAATAAATAAAAAATAAAAAATAAAAATAATAAAAATCTACAACTCACCCGTAATCCTTCCGGTGGTAGTTTTGGGCGGCAACCACGTGATCTCCACTTCCTCCTCGGTCCGCAAATGAACATCGACATTTCTCGGAGCGACATCTGGCGGCAATTCCCACGTCCGATTTTGCACGACCATGCTCCAAGCGCTCTCCCTTCTACCTTTGACAAGTTTGACAGCGAATTCGTAAAGCGTATTCGGTTTCAGGTCGTCGATCATAATGTTCAGATCAGTGACGTTTAGGATTTTTGTTTTCAAGGAATTGTCCGCCGTGTATTTGACTTTGTAGTAGCGGCTATCACGGACGTACTGGAAAAAAATAATTGTACCAAGTTTAGTACAATTATTGTGGTATTTGCATTAGTGAGTTGTAACTCACCTGACTCTGCTTCAGCGTCGGATCCGTCCAGTACAACACCACCGATGTTGTACTGAGCACCTGCGCCTTGAGCCCCATCGGCGGCATCAGCGCCGCCGTCTGCTCGGGCGGCGGCTCGTCTTGCGTCTTGACAGTGGCGTAGATCGACGGCCCCGGCCCCACATTATTACTCGCCCGAATACTCAAAACGTACTCCGAATTCGGCTCTAAACCTTCAATAATAAAAGTGCGATTTTTCTCATCTAATTCGTTCGAGTAAATGTCCGGCACGCCTTTGCCCCACCCGATAAAGTAGCTGCGCACGCGCACGTTTTGGTTCAGTGGCGGCGACCACATTAAATACAATTTATCGAAAGTTGCCCTGTATTTTAAGCCCGATGGTTCCCCCGGCACTGAACTTTCGTCTAAATCGTTTTGGAAAGTTTCGATTTCCGTCCAATCAGAGGCCGGCCCGGTACCGTTTACGTTCATCGCCCAGAGGCGTATCTGGTAGGCGGCCCCCCGTTCCAGGTCTTTGATGACGTAATGACGGTCACCAGCGGTGGTTGTAAAGGTGGTACCTTTACCTTTCCCGGATTTGCGGTACTTGATTTTGTAGCCCAGGATGATGCCGTTTTGGGCCTCGGGCGGAGGCGGTTCCCAGCGCACGACTATGCTCTGAGAAAAAGAAAGTCAAGGTCGTAGATAAAACTGTCAATTGTACATGTCAAATAATGCAGATACGAGTCAAAACACAATTGTACTAGATTTAGTAAAAAACCTACCACCAATGACATTTTTTGACACTGATGACATTTATGACACTTGTGATTTTTTTTTGACACGTATGACATTTTTTTGATACACGTGAAATTTTTGACACTTGATATTTTTTGACACCTGTGAAATTTTTTGACACCTATGATATTTTTTGACACTTGTGAAATTTTTTGACACTGATGACATTTTTTGCACTTTTTTTTGACACTTACCGTACTTGAGGGCTCCACAGTGACGTTACCGGGAGCGTCGGAAGGTGGCGCGCTAAAGGTGCGCGCCATTTTTTCTTCAGTGGCGGCACCTGCGCCGTTCTCGTTGACCGCCACCACCCACACGCTGTACTCCGTGTACGGATTCAGGCCGGTTAATTCATATGAGGTGTCAGGAGTGTCCACGTTGTGCTCCACCGACGATGTCGTCTTGAAAAAAAAAATTATGACATTTTTTGACATTAATGACAATTTTTGAGAGGTGACAATAACTGTCAATGACAAATCATTTCAAAAAAAAAAGTCGAGTCGTATGTCGTTTTCGAGGCTTTTGGGGTCGAGGATTCCGAATTTGACATTATTTTTTTGTCCATCTCAATTTTTCACCTTTAAAATTCACAATAGACGAAAACTAATGGCAAATTCGGAATCCTTGACCCCGAAAACGACATACTACTTGATTGTTTCCGGAATGTTGCGAATTGTTGCGAATTTCGGAAAAAATCGAGTTGTATGTCATTTTCAACGTTTTCGGGGTCAAGGATTCCGAATTTGACATTCGTTTTTGTCCATCTCAATTTTTCACCTTTAAAATTCACAATAGACGAAAAATAATGCCAAATTCGGAATCCTTGTCCCCGAAAACCTCGAAAACGACATACTACTTGACTGTTTCCGGAATGTTGCGAAATGTTGCGAATTTCGGAAAAAATCGAGTTGTATGTCGTATTCGAGGTTTTCGGGGTCAAAGATTCCGAATTTGACATTCGTTTCTGTCTAACTCGATTTTTTATTGTACAAATTCACGATGGACGAAAAATAATGTCAAATTCGGAATCCTTGACCCCGAAAACCTCGAAAACGACATACTACTTGACTGTTTCCGGAATGTTGCGAAATGTTGCGAATTTCGGAAAAAATCGAGTTGTATGTCGTTTTCGAGGTTTTCAAGGGTCAAGGATTAAGTTTTTGCGTATCTCAAAAATGACAGATGACAATTGTAGTTTGACAAAAAATTAGATGACAATAATTTACACCGACACTATTGACAATTATTGAGAAATTACAATAATTGTCAATGACAATCCTTTCAAAAAAGTTTCCGAATTTGACATTAATTTTTGTCTATCTCAAAATTGACAGCTGACAATTTTGACACTAATGACATTTCAGTTGTAGTTTGACAAAAAATTAGATAACAATAATTGACACAAATGACATTTATGACACTAATGACAATTATTGACAACTGACTTACCTCCATATAGTAGACGGTGTACCGGGATATTTTGCCGTTGGCGACTTCGGGAGGGCGCCACCCGATGTGGAGGCTCCTCGGCGACGTGGCGTAGACGTCCAAATGTTGCGGAGCCGTCGCGACGTGCTCCTCCGCCTGCGTCGTCACCGTCAGGACGTCGGACGAGGCGCCGGGGCCGTCGGCGCCGATCGGAACCACTCGGAAGTGGTAGACTTTGCCCGGCCACAGGCCGCCGATGTTGATCTCTTCGAGTTTTGATCGGGAGGTGTTCTGGTACCGCTCCCTGGTGACGAATTTTTGTTTAATTTGAGAATAAGTTTCTCAGAATAGTGGCGTGTTGTATGTCGTTTTCGAGGTTTCCGGGGTCAAGGATTCCGAATTTGACATACGTTTTTGTCTAACTCGATTTTTTATTGAACAAATTCACGATAGACGAAAAATAATGTCAAATTCGGAATCCTTGACCCCGAAAACCTCGAAAACAATATACTACTTGACTGTTTCCGAAATGTTGCAAAATGTTGCGAAATTTTGCGAAATGTTGCGAATTACGGAAAAAATCGAGTAGTATGTCGTTTTCAAGGTTTTCGAGGTCAAGGATTCTGAATGTGACATTCGTTTCTGTCTAACTCGATTTTTTATTGTACAAATTCACGATAGACGAAAAATAATGTCAAATTCGGAATCCTTGACCCCGAAAACCTCGAAAACGATATACTACTTGACTGTTTCCGGAATGTTGCGAAATTTTGCGAAATGTTGCGAATTACGGAAAAAATCGAGTAGTATGTCGTTTACGAGGTTTTCGGGGTCAAGGATTCCGAATGTGACATTCGTTTCTGTCTAACTCAATTTTTTAATGTACAAATTCACGATAGACGAAAAATAATGTCAAATTCGGAATCCTTGACCCCGAAAACCTCGAAAACGACATACTACTTGACTGTTTCCGGAATGTTGCGAAATGTTACGAAATTTTGCGAAATGTTGCGAATTTCGGAAAAAGTCGAGTAATATGTCGTTTTCGAGGTTTTCGGGGTCAAGGATTCCGAATGTGACATTCGTTTCTGTCTAACTCGATTTTTCATTGTACAAATTCACGATAGACCAAAAATAATGTCAAATTCGGAATCCTTGACCCCGAAAACCTCGAAAACGACATACTACTTGACTGTTTCCGGAATGTTGCGAAATTTTGCGAAATGTTGCGAATTACGGAAAAAATCGAGTAGTATGTCGTTTTCGAGGTTTTCGGGGTCAAGGATTCCGAATTTGACATTCGTTTCTGTCTAACTCGATTTTTTATTGTACAAATTCACGATAGACGAAAAATAATGTCAAATTCGGAATCCTTGACCCCGAAAACCTCGAAAACGACATACTACTCGATTTTTTCCGAAATTCTCAACATTTCGCAAAATATCGCAACATTCCGGAAACAGTCAAGTAGTATGTCGTTTTCGAGGTTTTCGGGGTCAAGTATTGCGAATTTGATGTTAATTTTGCCATATCTCCACCCACAACTAGTAAATCGACTCACCTTTCGCTGCCTTCTTGCCGAAAATAAATCGAATACGCTTCGACTTCGTTCCCGTTTTCCTGAGGCGGTTTCCAGCTCAGAATGACGAACCGAGCTTTGACGATGACCGCTCGGAGATCCGTCGGCGGTCCGGGCAGGTGGGCGGAAACTTTCGATGAGGCGGCGGCTGAAAGGGCGGGTTTGAGGGAGGAAAAAGCGGATTGGACGTCGCCCAAATCGTCGCCGCTACTTTTCAGACTGGAAAAGGCGCCGTGCGGGTCGATGGGGGCGGCGCCGGGTTGCCGGCGGAAAAAATGGCCGAAATCGACGTCGCCCAATTTGCCGCCCTCTTCCGATTTTAATGAGGTGAAAAGAGACATCGAATGGTGTTTTAAGTCGATGGATTTTGATTGGGCGACCACTTTTTTCGGACGTTTTTTTTTGTCTTTTTTCGTGCAAAAATAAAGTGAGACGGACATAGGGAGGAGGCGAGGGTGGAAGGGAGAAAAAATAAAAAATAATAATAAATAAATAAAATAAAAAAAATTAAATAAAATAAAAAAATTAATCAACACACCTTAAATATTCATAAAAAAAAAGGGAGAAAAAAAAGAAGAAAAGGAAAAAAAATAAAAAACATGTTTCCACTCTCTTATACACATTTTATTAAATATATACTCTGCTCTCTCTCTTTTATGTAGAAATCTAACTTACCGGCAGAGGTTAGGACTTTCAGGCTGGCGGCGGCTTGAATGTTGCCGGCCGGGTTGGCGGCGAAACACTGGAAAATTCCGGAATCGGTCGCCATCAGGCCCATGATTTTCAAATTGTTCCTGCGAAAAATCGGAAAAGTGAGGTTAGACTCGCGGAAAAACGAGGACGAAATTACGGATTAGTGGGTTAAGAATCGCAAAAAAAGTGGATCAAAAATGAAAAAAACTCACCCGTTGACCAGCTTGTAGTACTCGGAGTACTTGACCAGCTCGCCGTTCTTGAACCACTGGACGCGTGGCTCCGGCACGCCGTATACGTCGCACTCGAGCTCAGTATCTTTCGTCGAGTACTCGGTCCGGTCCTGCGGTTTTTTCAAAAATCTCGGCGGGACCTGGACAAAAAAAAAAAAAATTGAAATTTTAGTATGATACGCCCCTGACTTTCTTCTTTTTGTCCAGAAAATTTCAAGAGAAAATTATGAAAGTCAGAGGCGTATCATATTTAAATTTCATCACAATAAAATTTCAGAAATTCCTTTTTTCCTCACCTGGATCTGGACGAGGGCGGACGCGTCCAGACTGTCCTCCCGGTTTTCAGCGCGGCACTGATACGTGCCGCCATCTTGTTCCTGGATCCTGGTAATCCTTAGGGAGCTCGTCGAACCGACCAAGCTGAATCTGCTGTCCAGATCGCTGAAAAAAATTAACTTATGACGCAAATGTAACCTTCATGACGTAAAATGTAACCGACAAAAAATTGATAAAAATGATTATATGAGGTCAAAGGATGCTTCAAGTGATGTATGACGCAAATGTAACCTTCATGACGCAAATGTAACTTTTAAAATGTGAATGTAACCAACCAAAAATGGATAAACATGATCATGACAGTTGAATTAATGCAAACAACAACTTATGACGCAAATGTATTTTTTTTGACGCGAATGTAACCAATCAAAAAATTGATAAAAATGACCACAAAGGTTAAATAAATGCCCAAAAACAACTTATGACGCAAATGTATTTCTTATGACGCGAATGTAACCAATCAAAAATTGATAAAAACAACCACAAAACCTGAATACACGCTCAAAAACAACTTATGACGCAAATGTAACCATCAAAATCGACAAAATATCTACGACTTACTTCATATCGATAGCGAATCCGTCCTTGAGCCACGTGACGGTCGGATTCGGGTTGCCGTTAGCCGCACAATCCAACGACAAATTGCGACCTTCGACGACTACGGCGGCCCGAGGCCGCGCTATGAAAGTAGGCGGCGCGACGTGCGCCGCCTGCTCCTGGTCGCCGTTTATGTACAAAATCGCCTTGTTGCTCAACTTGTACGAGTTCAGTCCGGACGCGTTGCACCTGAAAAACGACCGAAAAATGACGTCGGGGTCGGAAAAAGGTCGCGAAATTGTTACCTGTAGGATCCCTGGTCGCTTTCGACGACCTCGTCGATTTCGAGCGAGCCGGCCGGGGAAACGGTCATGCGCAGGTCGTCGATCTGGAGCGGCCGCTCGTCCTTGAGCCAGCGGATGCGCGGCGCCGGCGACGCGTCGACGTAGCAAGCGAAGTGCGCCTTTTGGCCGACGTACACTGTGACGTCAGCGGGTTCTTCGAGAATTCCATTTAACCCTGGAAAAATTTTTTTTGAGGTTTTTGACGCAAATGTAACCGTCATGACGTGAATGTAACTTAGAAAAAATTGATAAAAGAAGGTCATAAGCGATGTTTGACGCGAATGTAACCTTTAAAATGCAAATGTAACCAACCAAAAATTGATAAACACGGTCATGTGAGTTGAACAAATGCACTTAACGATTTTTAATACAAATGTAACCATCATGACGTGGATGTAACCTATAAAAAATTGATAAAAAAGGTCGAAATGGGCAACAGACAATGTTTTGACGTAAATGTAACCTTCAAAATGTGAATGTAACCCACCAAAAATTGATAAAAACGGCCACAAAATTTAAATAAATGCCCAAAAACAACTTATGACGCAAATGTATTTATTATGTCGCAAATGTAACCAATTAAAAATTGATGAAAACGACTACAAAAGTCAAATAAATGCCCAAAAACAACTTATGACGCAAATGTATTTCTTATGATGCAAATGTCACTAATTAAAATTTGATAAAAACGACCACAAAAGTCAAATAAATGCCCAAAAACAACTTATGACGCAAATGTATTTGTTATGACACGAATGTAACCAATAAAAAATTGATAAAAACGACCACAAAAGATGAATAAATGACCAAAAACAACTTATGACGCAAATGTATTTGTTATGACGCGAATGTAACCAATAAAAAATTGATAAAAACGACCACAAAATTTGAATAAATGCCCAAAAACAACTTATGACGCAAATGTCACCATCAAAATGTGAATGTAACTGACCAAAAATTGATAAAAACGGCCACAAAATTTAAATAAATGCCCAAAAACAACTTATGACGCAAATGTAACCATCAAAAATAAAATGTAACCAACCAAAACTAGTCATTTAAGTCCAATAATTGTAACAAACACAATATATGACGCAAATGTAACTGTCATAATGTAAATGTAACTAAACAAAAACTTACTTGCAATGCTGAGCTTTGCCGTCCTGCTGACTATCGACCCAATATTGGGCAAAGTGGCCATACACTGATAATTTCCGGTCAGTCTTTGTTCCTCTATGACGCTGTTTATGTATAGAGAACCGTTTGTCAGTTGAGATCTGGAAGAAATCAAATTTCCCCTTTAAAATCAATATAAAGTCACCTGGCCTAAGATCCGGTTACCCGATCGGCCATCATCTAATAATACCCACTGTAATGAATACGCTTTTAAAATTAACACCGCATGTGACAGCTGTCAAGTAACGGCAAAGTAAACAGATTAATTTAGAAAGCGGAAAATGTATCGGATTTCTCGGCTATTTTCGGCCGACACCTCGGAAATTAATTTTTTCGCCCCATTTAGATTTATAGAAAATTCATTGCGCTTCAATTTGAAACAAATTACGTTGAAATCGGATCGAAATTGACAGGTGTCAAATGTCAAAAGTGTCAAATATAGAAAATTCGATCGGCTTCAATTTGAACCAAGTTACGTTGAAATCGGAAAAAAATTGACAGAGTTATGAATGAAAACGATTTTTTTTTTTTGTCAAATGTCAAAAGTGTCAAATATATATCAAATGTGTCAAAGATGTCAAATGTATCAAAGATTTCAAATTTATCAAAAATGTCAAATGTGTCAAAGATGTCAAGTGTGTCAAAAAATGTCGAATATGTCCAAAATGTCAAAAAAATGTCAAAAAAATTCTTACCTGTACAAATCTGTCATGAATGTCAGTCGGGAGCCGTCCTCGTCGAGCCACGTGATCAAGACGCTCTGCTGGTGGTGCGACGCGCGCACCACGCAGTCGAGCACCGCCGACTGTCCGGATTCCACGACCGTGTCGGCGGGTTCCACGGAAAATTCGAGAACGGCATGACCTGGAACCAAAAAAAAAAAAATTACAACCCACATTTTGCCTCACAACTCCGTTAATTTCCGAAATTCGCAACATTTCGGTGAAAGTCAAGTAGTATGTCGTTTTCGAGGTTTTCGGGGTCAAGGCTTCCGAATTTGCCATTATTTTTCGTCTATCGTGAATTTTCACAATAAAAAATCGAGTTAGACAAAAACGAATGTCAAATTCGGAATCCTTGACCCTGAAAACCTCGAAAACGACATACAACTCGATTTTTTCCGAAATTCGCAACATTTCGCAACATTTCGGAAATAGTCAAGTAGTATGTCGTTTTCGAGGTTTTCGGGGTCAAGGATTCCGAATTTGCCATTATTTTTCGTCTATCGTAAATTTTCACAATAAAAAATCGAGTTAGACAAAAACGAATGTCAAATTCGGAATCCTTGACCCCGAAAACCTCGAAAACGACATACAACTCGATTTTTTCCGAAATTCGCAACATTTCGCAACATTTCGGAAATAGTCAAGTAGTATGTCGTTTTCGAGGTTTTCGGGGTCAAGGATTCCGAATTTGCCATTATTTTTCGTCTATCGTGAATTTTCACAATAAAAAATCGAGTTAGACAAAAACGAATGTCAAATTCGGAATCCTTGACCCTGAAAACCTCGAAAACGACATACAACTCGATTTTTTCCGAAATTCGCAACATTTCGCAACATTTCGGAAATAGTCAAGTAGTATGCCGTTTTCGAGGTTTTCGGGGTCAAGGATTCCGAATTTGCCATTATTTTTCGTCTATCGTGAATTTTCACAATAAAAAATCGAGTTAGACAAAAACGAATGTCAAATTCGGAATCCTTGACCCTGAAAACCTCGAAAATGACATACAACTCGATTTTTTCCGAAATTCGCAACATTTCGCAACATTTCGGAAATAGTCAAGTAGTATGTCGTTTTCGAGATTTTCGGGGTCAAGGATTCCGAATTTGCCATTATTTTTCGTCTATCGTGAATTTTCACAATAAAAAATCGAGTTAGACAAAAACGAATGTCAAATTCGGAATCCTTGACCCTGAAAACCTCGAAAACGACATACAACTCGATTTTTTCCGAAATTCGCAACATTTCGCAACATTTCGGAAATAGTCAAGTAGTATGTCGTTTTCGAGGTTTTCGGGGTCAAGGATTCCGAATTTGCCATTATTTTTCGTCTACCGTGAATTTTATGGATAAAAAATTGAGATAGATAAAAAATAATGTCAAATTCGGAATCCTTGACCTCGATAACTTCAAAAACGACATACAACTCGATTGCCTACAGGACCGGCCTTATGGGTTTTAAGCCTGAAAATAGATAGATTTCTCATTTCGTTATTTTTCACTGGATAAATTTAAAATTTTAATATGATACGTCCCTGACATTCCTTTTTTTCTTGTAAAAATTTCAGAATTTTCTCTTTGTCAGTTTTCCAGGAAAAAATTAAAATGTAAGAGTGAATTTTCCATAATTTTGTTTATATAAAAGTCAATTTTCTGGAATTTTTCCTGGAGTGATTTTCCCCTGGAAAATTTTGGAATTTTTCTATATTGAGCTTCTAATTTTCCTCTTTCTTCTGTGAAAATTTCACAATTTTCTCTCTGCCAGTTTTTCAGGAAAAAATTAAAATGTAAGAGAGTGAATTTTCCATAACTTTGTTTATATAAAAGTCAATTTTCTGGAATTTTTCCTGGAGTGATTTTCTACTGGAAAATTTTGGAATTTTCCCATAATGAGCTTCTAACTTTCCTCTTTCTCCTGTAAAAATTTAACAATTTTCTCTCTGCCAATTTTCCAGGAAAAAGTTAAAATGTAAGAGGGTGAATTTTCCATAATTTTGCTTATAAAAGTCAATTTTCTGGAATTTTTCCTGGAATGATTTTTCACAGGAAAATTTTTGAATTTTTCTATAATGAGCTTCTAATTTTCCTCTTGCTTCTGTGAAAATTTCACAATTTTCTCTATGCCAGTTTTTCAGGAAAAAATTAAAATGTAAGAGAGTGAATTTTCCATAATTTTGTTTATATAAAAGTCAATTTTCTGGAATTTTTCCTGGAGTGATTTTCCATTGGAAAATTTTGAAATTTTCCTATAATGAGCTTCTAACATTCCTCTTTCTCCTGTAAAAATTTAACAATTTTCTCTCTGTCAGTTTTCTAGGAAAAAATTAAAATGCAAGAGAGTGAATTTTCCATAATTTTGCTTATTAAAATCAATTTTCTGGAATTTTTCCTGGAGTGATTTTCCACTAGAAAATTTTAAAATTTTCTTATAATAAACTCCTGACTTTCCTCTTTCTCCTGTAAAAATTTCACAATTTTCTCTATGCCAGTTTTCCAGGAAAATATTAATACGTAAGAGAGTGAATTTTCCATAATTTTGCTTATAAAAGTCAATTTTCTGGAATTTTTCCTGGAGTGATTTTCCACTGGAAAATTTTGAAAGTTTCCTATAATGAGCTGCCGATTTTCCTCTTTCTCCTGTAAAAATTTCAAAATTTTCCCTTTGCCAGTTTCCCCAAAAAAAAAGAGTGTTCAAAAATTGGTTAAAAAGTGTTTAGAGAGTTTTTAAAAAGTTGTCAGAAAGTATATAAAAATAACCTGAGTTTCCAAAAAGTGTCCAGACTCCAGGAATTGCCCACTAAGTGAGTTTTAAGTAGAAAAATCAACAAAAAAAAATTGAGAAATAAGAGGAAATTTAAGACAAATATGAAGTTTTTAAAAACTCAAGAGCCAAGAATAGACAAAAAATTCAGACAAAAAAAAAATATGAGAAATAAAAGACAAAAATTTAAGACAAAAAAATGTATAGTTTTCCTATTCAAGGGCTCTCATATTTTGTCTGAATAGATGAAAAGACAAATTCAAGAGCCAGAAATAGACAAAAAAAAGACATAGTTTTTCTATTCTTGGCTCTCATAATTTGTCTATTTTTGTCTAAAAAAGACAAAAATTCAAGAGCCAAGAATAAACAAAAATTCAGACAAAAAAGCCTCAATTTATCAGCGATTTTCCCTCGAAGCAAAATAATATCTCAGCAAACAGGGCATCAATTCTCAGAACAAGACCTCAGATATTGAAAAAACTGCTCAGAAATTAATTTTTAAGAGATTTTATTGAACATTTGGCCTTCAGGTCCAGCTTACCTCGGACAGCAGCAGCCAACAGGGAAAAACACAATGTTGTCCGCAGAATGGACATTTTCGGACACCAAACACTACCCGAAATTGTTTATAATTAATTAGACATTTGTTTATTGTTTATTTTCCACTTAAAATAACAACAAATAATTTAATCCAGGGACAACAATAAATAAAACATCCTTCCCTTTCGACGCCATTTTATACACTAGTGACATCTGTCAAAGGTGTCATGTCAAAGGAATTTATTTTTCAATTTATAATATTTTTATTTATTTATTTATTGTTTTTTATCAATTGTTATTAATAATAATTGTTTAATTTATTGAAAATTGATTGTTTTAATAGGAAACTTATCCAAAAATTAACAGTACGTCGGTTGAATGCACTCGAATAATTGACGGCATTTTAATATTGCTGCTTGTCAATAGATGGCGCCACCTAACTAAAACCAATTAATGTGTAATTTTTGCAATAAAAACTCATTGTTTATTTATAAAAATGTTTTTAAAAACAAAATTTGTTTAAATTATTTGGAAATTTCCTCTAAAAGTTTAATTTTTTCAAATCAAACTGACTGACAAATTGCGTCATTTAATCAAGCAGAGTCAACATAACCTCACTTTATTGTTTATATTTATATTTTGTTTATTTATATAAATTTTCCGTTTTTTCAGGTAAAGAAAAGCCAAAGAAGTGCCTTTCAATTAATAAAATAATCCAGCAAAGGATTTTGAAGAATTTTTTCATCCATATTAATAATAACTGTAATATTTATAAGGTTGAAAAATTAAAACATTTTGACATTATGGTGAAGGAATTTTCAATTGGATATTTATTAGTTCTTGACATATTGGCGAAGGAGTTTTTAATTTATTGATACATTGGCGAAAGAAATACTTTAAATCATTTAAAATTTTGAGGATTTATTCATAGGTACTAAAAACTCGAATCAAGGAAATTTCAAATAACAATAATAAATAATTGCGGTTTTGTTGTGTGTATTATTTGTTCACAGGTACAGGTAAAATTGTATCACCTTTCAATGCTATTTAATAGGGAAAGTTATTGAATTTACCTGCACCTGTGGACATAGGATATATGTGCGTATTTTTTCGAGTGGAACAAAAATTCGTCGTAGACCCACTTTCGTTTTAAATGGGAAATTTTGTCTTCAAGATTTTGTCACGCGCCGAAGGGCCCGAATAACTGCATAAAAATAATTGAGTCACGGTTTTTTACATAGAAAAATTCAGTTTTTCAAAGATGTTTGTTGGAAAAGTGCTGATTTTTGTTGGAATTTTTCCATTAATTTGGACTCAGGTGAGTCAATTTACTTAATTCCAAAGAGGTTTGAAATAGAGGACTTTTTTCCTAATGATTCAATGTAAAAAATACCAAAAATTCAAAGCCATTGAGTTATTATTAATGGAGTTACGATTTTTTGAATTTAACAATGTTTTGTAAAGTAAGACTTTACAAACAATTTTTTTACTCAAAAACTAAAGTAAGTGAAAAGCTGAAATTTTGGGGACTTTTTCCTAATAATTCAATGTAAAAAATACCAAAAACTCAAAGCCATTGAGTTATTATTAATGGAGTTACGATTTTTTGAAAATAATGATGTTTTGTACAGTAAGACTTTACAAACAATTTTTTTACTCAAAAACTAAAGTAAGTGAAAAGCTGAAATTTTGGGGACTTTTTCCTAATAATTCAATGTAAAAAATACCAAAAACTCAAAGCCATTGAGTTATTATTAATGGAGTTACGATTTTTTGAAAATAATGATGTTTTGTACAGTAAGACTTTACAAACAATTTTTTTACTCAAAAACTAAAGTAAGTGAAAAGCTGAAATTTTGGGGACTTTTTCCTAATAATTCAATGTAAAAAATACCAAAAACTCAAAGCCATTGAGTTATTATTAATGGAGTTACGATTTTTTGAAAATAATGATGTTTTGTACAGTAAGACTTTACAAACAATTTTTTTACTCAAAAACTAAAGTAAGTGAAAAGCTGAAATTTTGGGGACTTTTTCCTAATAATTCAATGTAAAAAATACCAAAAACTCAAAGCCATTGAGTTATTATTAATGGAGTTACGATTTTTTGAATTTAACAATGTTTTGTAAAGTAAGACTTTACAAACAATTTTTTTACTCAAAAACTAAGGGGAGTGGAAAGTTGAAATTTTGGGAACTTTTTCCTAATAATTCAATGTAAAAAATACCAAAAACTCAAAGCCATTGAGTTATTATTAATGGAGTTACGATTTTTTGAATTTAACAATGTTTTGTAAAGTAAGACTTTACAAACAATTTTTTTACTCAAAAACTAAAGTAAGTGAAAAGCTGAAATTTTGGGGACTTTTTCCTAATAATTCAATGTAAAAAATACCAAAAACTCAAAGCCATTGAGTTATTATTAATGGAGTTACGATTTTTTGAATTTAACAATGTTTTGTAAAGTAAGACTTTACAAACAATTTTTTTACTCAAAAACTAAAGTAAGTGAAAAGCTGAAATTTTGGGGACTTTTTCCTAATAATTCAATGTAAAAAATACCAAAAACTCAAAGCCATTGAGTTATTATTAATGGAGTTACGATTTTTTGAATTTAACAATGTTTTGTAAAGTAAGACTTTACAAACAATTTTTTTACTCAAAAACTAAAGTAAGTGAAAAGCTGAAATTTTGGGGACTTTTTCCTAATAATTCAATGTAAAAAATACCAAAAACTCAAAGCCATTGAGTTATTATTAATGGAGTTACGATTTTTTGAATTTAACAATGTTTTGTAAAGTAAGACTTTACAAACAATTTTTTTACTCAAAAACTAAGGGGAGTGGAAAGTTGAAATTTTGGGAACTTTTTCCTAATAATTCAATGTAAAAAATACCAAAAACTCAAAGCCATTGAGTTATTATTAATGGAGTTACGATTTTTTGAATTTAACAATGTTTTGTAAAGTAAGACTTTACAAACAATTTTTTTACTCAAAAACTAAAGTAAGTGAAAAGCTGAAATTTTGGGGACTTTTTCCTAATAATTCAATGTAAAAAATACCAAAAACTCAAAGCCATTGAGTTATTATTAATGGAGTTACGATTTTTTGAATTTAACAATGTTTTGTAAAGTAAGACTTTACAAACAATTTTTTTACTCAAAAACTAAAGTAAGTGAAAAGCTGAAATTTTGGGGACTTTTTCCTAATAATTCAATGTAAAAAATACCAAAAACTCAAAGCCATTGAGTTATTATTAATGGAGTTACGATTTTTTGAAAATAATGATGTTTTGTACAGTAAGACTTTACAAACAATTTTTTTACTCAAAAACTAAAGTAAGTGAAAAGCTGAAATTTTGGGGACTTTTTCCTAATAATTCAATGTAAAAAATACCAAAAACTCAAAGCCATTGAGTTATTATTAATGGAGTTACGATTTTTTGAAAATAATGATGTTTTGTACAGTAAGACTTTACAAACAATTTTTTTACTCAAAAACTAAAGTAAGTGAAAAGCTGAAATTTTGGGGACTTTTTCCTAATAATTCAATGTAAAAAATACCAAAAACTCAAAGCCATTGAGTTATTATTAATGGAGTTACGATTTTTTGAAAATAATGATGTTTTGTACAGTAAGACTTTACAAACAATTTTTTTACTCAAAAACTAAAGTAAGTGAAAAGCTGAAATTTTGGGGACTTTTTCCTAATAATTCAATGTAAAAAATACCAAAAACTCAAAGCCATTGAGTTATTATTAATGGAGTTACGATTTTTTGAATTTAACAATGTTTTGTAAAGTAAGACTTTACAAACAATTTTTTTACTCAAAAACTAAGGGGAGTGGAAAGTTGAAATTTTGGGAACTTTTTCCTAATAATTCAATGTAAAAAATACCAAAAACTCAAAGCCATTGAGTTATTATTAATGGAGTTACGATTTTTTGAATTTAACAATGTTTTGTAAAGTAAGACTTTACAAACAATTTTTTTACTCAAAAACTAAAGTAAGTGAAAAGCTGAAATTTTGGGGACTTTTTCCTAATAATTCAATGTAAAAAATACCAAAAACTCAAAGCCATTGAGTTATTATTAATGGAGTTACGATTTTTTGAATTTAACAATGTTTTGTAAAGTAAGACTTTACAAACAATTTTTTTACTCAAAAACTAAAGTAAGTGAAAAGCTGAAATTTTGGGGACTTTTTCCTAATAATTCAATGTAAAAAATACCAAAAACTCAAAGCCATTGAGTTATTATTAATGGAGTTACGATTTTTTGAATTTAACAATGTTTTGTAAAGTAAGACTTTACTAACAATTTTTTTACTCAAAAACTAAGAGGAGTGGAAAGTTGAAATTTTGGGAACTTTTTCCTAATAATTCAATGTAAAAAATACCAAAAACTCAAAGCCATTGAGTTATTATTAATGGAGTTACGATTTTTTGAATTTAACAATGTTTTGTAAAGTAAGACTTTACAAACAATTTTTTTACTCAAAAACTAAAGTAAGTGAAAAGCTGAAATTTTGGGAACTTTTTCCTAATAATTCAATGTAAAAAATACCAAAAACTCAAAGCCATTGAGTTATTATTAATGGAGTTACGATTTTTTGAATTTAACAATGTTTTGTAAAGTAAGACTTTACAAACAATTTTTTTACTCAAAAACTAAGAGGAGTGGAAAGTTGAAATTTTGGGAACTTTTTCCTAATAATTCAATGTAAAAAATACCAAAAACTCAAAGCCCTTGAGTTATTATTGATGGAGTTACGATTTTTTGAATTTAACAATGTTTTGTAAAGTAAGACTTTACAAACAATTTTTTTACTCAAAAACTAAAGTAAGTGAAAAGCTGAAATTTTGGGGACTTTTTCCTAATAATTCAATGTAAAAAATACCAAAAACTCAAAGCCATTGAGTTATTATTAATGGAGTTACGATTTTTTGAATTTAACAATGTTTTGTAAAGTAAGACTTTACAAACAATTTTTTTACTCAAAAACTAAAGTAAGTGAAAAGCTGAAATTTTGGGGACTTTTTCCTAATAATTCAATGTAAAAAATACCAAAAACTCAAAGCCATTGAGTTATTATTAATGGAGTTACGATTTTTTGAATTTAACAATGTTTTGTAAAGTAAGACTTTACAAACAATTTTTTTACTCAAAAACTAAAGTAAGTGAAAAGCTGAAATTTTGGGGACTTTTTCCTAATAATTCAATGTAAAAAATACCAAAAACTCAAAGCCATTGAGTTATTATTAATGGAGTTACGATTTTTTGAATTTAACAATGTTTTGTAAAGTAAGACTTTACAAACAATTTTTTTACTCAAAAACTAAGGGGAGTGGAAAGTTGAAATTTTGGGAACTTTTTCCTAATAATTCAATGTAAAAAATACCAAAAACTCAAAGCCATTGAGTTATTATTAATGGAGTTACGATTTTTTGAATTTAACAATGTTTTGTAAAGTAAGACTTTACAAACAATTTTTTTACTCAAAAACTAAAGTAAGTGAAAAGCTGAAATTTTGGGGACTTTTTCCTAATAATTCAATGTAAAAAATACCAAAAACTCAAAGCCATTGAGTTATTATTAATGGAGTTACGATTTTTTGAATTTAACAATGTTTTGTAAAGTAAGACTTTACAAACAATTTTTTTACTCAAAAACTAAAGTAAGTGAAAAGCTGAAATTTTGGGGACTTTTTCCTAATAATTCAATGTAAAAAATACCAAAAACTCAAAGCCATTGAGTTATTATTAATGGAGTTACGATTTTTTGAATTTAACAATGTTTTGTAAAGTAAGACTTTACAAACAATTTTTTTACTCAAAAACTAAAGTAAGTGAAAAGCTGAAATTTTGGGGACTTTTTCCTAATAATTCAATGTAAAAAATACCAAAAACTCAAAGCCATTGAGTTATTATTAATGGAGTTACGATTTTTTGAATTTAACAATGTTTTGTAAAGTAAGACTTTACAAACAATTTTTTTACTCAAAAACTAAAGTAAGTGAAAAGCTGAAATTTTGGGGACTTTTTCCTAATGACGCAATGTAAAAAATACCAAAAACTCAAAGCCATCGAGTTATTATTAATGGAGTTACGATTTTTTGAAAATAATGATGTTTTGTAAAGTAAGACTTTACAAACAATTTTTTTACTCAAAAACTAAAGTAAGTGAAAAGCTGAAATTTTGGGGACTTTTTCCTAATAATTCAATGTAAAAAATACCAAAAACTCAAAGCCATTGAGTTATTATTAATGGAGTTACGATTTTTTGAAAATAATGATGTTTTGTACAGTAAGACTTTACAAACAATTTTTTTACTCAAAAACTAAAGTAAGTGAAAAGCTGAAATTTTGGGGACTTTTTCCTAATAATTCAATGTAAAAAATACCAAAAACTCAAAGCCATTGAGTTATTATTAATGGAGTTACGATTTTTTGAATTTAACAATGTTTTGTAAAGTAAGACTTTACAAACAATTTTTTTACTCAAAAACTAAAGTAAGTGAAAAGCTGAAATTTTGGGGACTTTTTCCTAATAATTCAATGTAAAAAATACCAAAAACTCAAAGCCATTGAGTTATTATTAATGGAGTTACGATTTTTTGAATTTAACAATGTTTTGTAAAGTAAGACTTTACAAACAATTTTTTTACTCAAAAACTAAAGTAAGTGAAAAGCTGAAATTTTGGGGACTTTTTCCTAATAATTCAATGTAAAAAATACCAAAAACTCAAAGCCATTGAGTTATTATTAATGGAGTTACGATTTTTTGAAAATAATGATGTTTTGTACAGTAAGACTTTACAAACAATTTTTTTACTCAAAAACTAAAGTAAGTGAAAAGCTGAAATTTTGGGGACTTTTTCCTAATAATTCAATGTAAAAAATACCAAAAACTCAAAGCCATTGAGTTATTATTAATGGAGTTACGATTTTTTGAATTTAACAATGTTTTGTAAAGTAAGACTTTACAAACAATTTTTTTACTCAAAAACTAAAGTAAGTGAAAAGCTGAAATTTTGGGGACTTTTTCCTAATAATTCAATGTAAAAAATACCAAAAACTCAAAGCCATTGAGTTATTATTAATGGAGTTACGATTTTTTGAATTTAACAATGTTTTGTAAAGTAAGACTTTACAAACAATTTTTTTACTCAAAAACTAAAGTAAGTGAAAAGCTGAAATTTTGGGGACTTTTTCCTAATAATTCAATGTAAAAAATACCAAAAACTCAAAGCCATTGAGTTATTATTAATGGAGTTACGATTTTTTGAAAATAATGATGTTTTGTACAGTAAGACTTTACAAACAATTTTTTTACTCAAAAACTAAAGTAAGTGAAAAGCTGAAATTTTGGGGACTTTTTCCTAATAATTCAATGTAAAAAATACCAAAAACTCAAAGCCATTGAGTTATTATTAATGGAGTTACGATTTTTTGAAAATAATGATGTTTTGTACAGTAAGACTTTACAAACAATTTTTTTACTCAAAAACTAAAGTAAGTGAAAAGCTGAAATTTTGGGGACTTTTTCCTAATAATTCAATGTAAAAAATACCAAAAACTCAAAGCCATTGAGTTATTATTAATGGAGTTACGATTTTTTGAATTTAACAATGTTTTGTAAAGTAAGACTTTACAAACAATTTTTTTACTCAAAAACTAAAGTAAGTGAAAAGCTGAAATTTTGGGGACTTTTTCCTAATAATTCAATGTAAAAAATACCAAAAACTCAAAGCCATTGAGTTATTATTAATGGAGTTACGATTTTTTGAATTTAACAATGTTTTGTAAAGTAAGACTTTACAAACAATTTTTTTACTCAAAAACTAAAGTAAGTGAAAAGCTGAAATTTTGGGGACTTTTTCCTAATAATTCAATGTAAAAAATACCAAAAACTCAAAGCCATTGAGTTATTATTAATGGAGTTACGATTTTTTGAATTTAACAATGTTTTGTAAAGTAAGACTTTACAAACAATTTTTTTACTCAAAAACTAAAGTAAGTGAAAAGCTGAAATTTTGGGGACTTTTTCCTAATAATTCAATGTGAAAAATACCAAAAACTCAAAGCCATTGAGTTATTATTAATGGAGTTACGATTTTTTGAATTTAACAATGTTTTGTAAAGTAAGACTTTACAAACAATTTTTTTACTCAAAAACTAAAGTAAGTGAAAAGCTGAAATTTTGGGGACTTTTTCCTAATAATTCAATGTAAAAAATACCAAAAACTCAAAGCCATTGAGTTATTATTAATGGAGTTACGATTTTTTGAATTTAACAATGTTTTGTAAAGTAAGACTTTACAAACAATTTTTTTACTCAAAAACTAAAGTAAGTGAAAAGCTGAAATTTTGGGGACTTTTTCCTAATAATTCAATGTAAAAAATACCAAAAACTCAAAGCCATTGAGTTATTATTAATGGAGTTACGATTTTTTGAATTTAACAATGTTTTGTAAAGTAAGACTTTACAAACAATTTTTTTACTCAAAAACTAAAGTAAGTGAAAAGCTGAAATTTTGGGGACTTTTTCCTAATAATTCAATGTGAAAAATACCAAAAACTCAAAGCCATTGAGTTATTATTAATGGAGTTACGATTTTTTGAATTTAACAATGTTTTGTAAAGTAAGACTTTACAAACAATTTTTTTACTCAAAAACTAAAGTAAGTGAAAAGCTGAAATTTTGGGGACTTTTTCCTAATAATTCAATGTGAAAAATACCAAAAACTCAAAGCCATTGAGTTATTATTAATGGAGTTACGATGTTTTGAATTTAACAATGTTTTGTAAAGTAAGACTTTACAAACAATTTTTTTACTCAAAAACTAAAGTAAGTGAAAAGCTGAAATTTTGGGGACTTTTTCCTAATAATTCAATGTGAAAAATACCAAAAACTCAAAGCCATTGAGTTATTATTAATGGAGTTACGATTTTTTGAATTTAACAATGTTTTGTAAAGTAAGACTTTACAAACAATTTTTTTACTCAAAAACTAAAGTAAGTGAAAAGCTGAAATTTTGGGGACTTTTTCCTAATAATTCAATGTAAAAAATACCAAAAACTCAAAGCCATTGAGTTATTATTAATGGAGTTACGATTTTTTGAATTTAACAATGTTTTGTAAAGTAAGACTTTACAAACAATTTTTTTACTCAAAAACTAAAGTAAGTGAAAAGCTGAAATTTTGGGGACTTTTTCCTAATAATTCAATGTAAAAAATACCAAAAACTCAAAGCCATTGAGTTATTATTAATGGAGTTACGATTTTTTGAATTTAACAATGTTTTGTAAAGTAAGACTTTACAAACAATTTTTTTACTCAAAAACTAAAGTAAGTGAAAAGCTGAAATTTTGGGGACTTTTTCCTAATAATTCAATGTGAAAAATACCAAAAACTCAAAGCCATTGAGTTATTATTAATGGAGTTACGATTTTTTGAATTTAACGATGTTTTGTTAAGTAAGACTTTACAAACAATTTTTTTACTCCGACGGAGTTGTACTTGATTCCAACGAGTTTGTACTTGCAGGCTCCATCTATCAACACGAACATCGACGAAGCTGCCCGATTCCTTCGGGAATACGACGCCGAAGCTTCGAACATGTGCTTTCGGGTAAGTTCGGCCCAGTGGGCGTATTCCACGAACATGACCGACTTCAATAAAAGAAGAATGATCGAAGAACAAACTTTGAAAGTGAGTAAATTCATTAAAACTCAGAAATTTCTAAGCAACTTCGCTTCGATATTGAACTCAGAAAATGTAAGTTTTTATCTACAGGCGAAATTCGACAAGGTGTCGTGGAGAAAAGCGACGGAATTCGATTGGACGCGGATGCCGGATCCGACTGTCCGACGCCAGCTGCGCATGCTCGCCACCAAAGACCGCGTCGCTTTGTCCGACGAAAAATACAACGAAGTAAGTACGACATTTTATCTATTACGATTTTTCTTTTAATGTACAAAATTTTATTAACAACTTCTGTCGTATTTTGTTCGACTTCTATTATCGTAATTTTTTTCTAATATACGGTACGACATTTTATCTATCGTATTTTTCCTCTAACCTAAGAAATTTCGTCTACAAATGTCATTTGTGTCAATTGTCATCTGTCAATTTTGAGATATGTCAGAAACTAATGTCAAATTCGGAATCCTTGACCCCGAAAACCTCGAAAACGACATACAACTCGATTTGTTTTTTTTTAACGATATGTCATTGACAGCTATTGTCATTTCTCAGAAATTGTCAAATGTGTCGATCGTCATAAACGTAAATTATTGTCATCTAATTTTTTGTCAAACTTCAATTGAAATGTCATTAGTGTCAATTGTCATCTGTCAATTTTAAGATACACAAAAACTAATGTCAAATTCGGAATCCTTGACCCCGAAAACCTCGAAAACGACATACAACTCGATTCAATGATCCTTGAACCCTCTCCTAAAATAATGAAAAATTGTACATTTTCTAGGCGTGAATTTCTACTCCAAACAATAATTGTACGAAATTTTTAGTACAATTCAATTATTCTAGATTCACCATCTGATTTCGGAAATGAAAGACGCGTACGCGCACGTCAGAATTTGCGACGCCGCCGCGTCACGCTGCGACTTCGACCTGACGGACGCGCAGCGCTTCATGGCGCAAACGCGCGACGCTGCGTCGCTACGTCACACCTGGCTCCAATGGCACGACGCCATTGGCCCGCGCGTGCGCAACAAGTTCATGCGCTACGTCGACTTGGCCAATCAGGCGGCGCGTCTGAACGGTTTTTCAGACGCGTCCGAAGCAGCAGACACCGTCTACGAAGACGCGCGTCTGCAAGACGAGCTGGCGCAGACGTTTGGACGGATTTTGCCGCTCTATAAGGAATTGTTTGCGTATGTCCGGTCGAAGTTGTACGTAGCGTACGGGCCGGATGTTGTGCGGATTGACGGACCGTTGCCTGCGCATCTTTTAGGAAACATGTGGGCGCAGGAGTGGAGCCGGATTTACGATTTGGTCGTGCCGTATCCGGAATTTGACAAATTTGACGTCACTGGTGAATTGTTGCGGCAAGGATATACGCCTTTGAGGTATTTTTTTGAATTGTACTATAGTTTTAGTACAATTAGAATTGGGGTTTTTTTCTAGAATTTTCCAAATGGCCGAAGAATTTTACACGTCGCTCGGGCTGAAACCGATGCCGCCCGAATTTTGGCGATCGTCGATGCTCGAGAGGCCGAAGTCGAGAGAGGCGCAGTGCACGGCCAGCGCTTGGGATTTTTGCAACCGGATCGATTACAGGTAAATTTTGACATTTTTTTAATAACTGTTTAATTTGACAGACGTCAATTTGCGATGACTTTGTAAAAAAAAAATGACACCTGTCAAAATATCACATGATTTTATGTCAACTGAATGTAATTTTTTTTGTTGATTAAATCATTTCCGACAGCTGTCAAAATTTGACAGCTTGATATCAAATGACATTTACAGTTAGAGGTCATTTAAGGTCAAATTTGTGATATGTTAATGAAAAATTTATGTCCGATTAAGTTATGACAAAAAAATTGATACCTGTCAAAAGTCAAAAAAAATTATTTTGACAGATTTTTTTTTTTTGTCTCAGGATAAAACAATGCACCGAAGTCGATATGGAAAATTTCGCCACCGCCCACCACGAGATGGCGCACATCGAGTACTACTTGCACTACTCCGAACAGCCGTTTTTGTTCAGAGACGGCGCTAATCCAGGATTTCACGAAGGCTTTGCCAACTCGATCCTGCTGTCAGTTGTCAATCCGACTCATTTGTACCGAGTCGGCCTGATGAACTCGAACGGATCAGAAACGTCGTACGAGCAAAACATCAATTTTCTGATGCTGCAAGGGCTCAGAAAAATCGCCTACGCCCCTTTCGCCTACATGATGGACCAAGTAAGTTTTTTCTCATTCGAAATTTGTCGAACCTGCCAGTGGCGGCGGGTTTTTTTTTTTTTTAAATGTCATTTTTTTTTTTTTTCGAAGTTGCTCAGAAAAGTAGAATAAAAATATTATTTAAAAAAAAAAAACGAAGTACGCCACTGGTTAGTTCGGCTATTTTCGGTACGTTCTTTTTAAATTATTTAAAAAAAAAAAACGGCGTTGCTGATTTTTTTTTTATATTTTTTTTTTATTCAGTGGCGTCACCTAGTTTATTAAAAAATGTCAAAAAAAAATAATAATAATAATAAACGCCGCCACTGGTTAGTTCGGCTATTTTCGGCGTTTATTTTTTTTACAATAATTGATGAAAATTATTTAAAAAAAAAAAACGCCGTCACTGACTTTTTTTTTATTATTTATTATTATTTTTTTTGTTCAGTGGCGTCACTTAGTTTTCGGCAGTCCGGACGGTGTCGCGCGCATGAACTCCGACTGGTGGAGCCTGCGCCTGCGCCTCCAGGGCATCGTGCCGCCGTCGCGACGCCCCGAAAACGGCTTCGACGCCGCTTCAAAACGGCACGTACCTTTCGATATACCTTACGTCCAGTACTACGTGGCGCTACTGGTCGAATTTCAAATATTTAAATCGGCGTGTCGCGCCACTGACCACCGCGGCCCTTTGCACCTGTGCGACATCTACCGGTCGAGGGAGGCGGGAAGGATTTTGAGGTTAGTTTTTTTTTTGTTCTAAAAAAGTTCTAAATTGATTTTACACTTTTTTGGAACATTCTACAATATTTTGGAACATTCTAAAATGTTTCAAAATTTGATTTTCACTTTCTAAAATGTTGCGGGAAGTTGAAAAGTGTTCAAAAAAAATTATAAATTGATTCTACGATGTTTTGGAACATTCTAAAATGTTCCAAAATTTAATTTTCGCTTTCTAAAATGTTACGGGAAGTTGAAAAGTGTTCTAAAAAAAATTCTAAATTGATTTTACGATGTTTTGGAACATTCTAAAATGTTTCAAAATTTAATTTCCACTTTCTAAAATGTTGCGGGAAGTTGAAAAGTGTTCTAAAAAAAATTCTAAATTGATTCTACGATGTTTTGGAACATTCTAAAATGTGTCAAAATATAATTTTCGCTTTCTAAAATGTTGCGAGAAGTTGCAAAGTGTTCTAAAAAAATTCTAAATTGATTCTACGATGTTTTGGAACATTCTAAAATGTTTCAAAATTTAATTTCCGCTTTCTAAAATGTTGCGGGAAGTTGCAAAGTGTTCTAAAAAAATTCTAAATTGATTCTACCATGTTTTGGAACATTCTAAAATGTTCCAAAATTTAATTTCCGCTTTCTAAAATGTTGCGGGAAGTTGCAAAGTGTTCTAAAAAAATTCTAAATTGATTCTACGATGTTTTGGAACATTCTAAAATGTTTCAAAATTTAATTTCCCCTTTCTAAAATGTTGCGGGAAGTTGCAAAGTGTTCTAAAAAAATTCTAAATTGATTCTACCATGTTTTGGAACATTCTAAAATGTTCCAAAATTTAATTTTCGCTTTCTAAAATGTAGCGGGAAGTTGCAAAGTGTTCTAAAGAAATTCTAAATTGATTCTACGATGTTTTGGAACATTCTAAAATTTTCCAAAATTTAATTTCCGCTTTCTAAAATGTTGCGAGAAGTTGCAAAGTGTTCTAAAAAAATTCTAAATTGATTCTACGATGTTTTGGAACATTCTAAAATGTTTCAAAATTTAATTTTCGCTTTCTAAAATATAGCGGGAAGTTGCAAAGTGTTCTAAAAAAATTCTAAATTGATTCTACGATGTTTTGGAACATTCTAAAATGTTTCAAAATTTAATTTCCCCTTTCTAAAATGTTGCGGGAAGTTGCAAAGTGTTCTAAAAAAATTATAAATTGATTCTACGATGTTTTGGAACATTCTAAAATGTTCCAAAATTTAATTTTCGCTTTCTAAAATGTTGCGGGAAGTTGAAAAGTGTTCTAAAAAAAATTCTAAATTGATTCTACGATGTGTTGGAACATTCTAAAATGTTTCAAAATTTAATTTTCGCTTTCTAAAATGTAGCGGGAAGTTGCAAAGTGTTCTAAAAAAATTCTAAATTGATTCTACGATGTTTTGGAACATTCTAAAATGTTTCAAAATTTAATTTCCCCTTTCTAAAATGTTGCGGGAAGTTGCAAAGTGTTCTAAAAAAATTCTAAATTGATTCTACGATGTTTTGGAACATTCTAAAATGTTTCAAAATTTAATTTCCCCTTTCTAAAATGTTGCGGGAAGTTGCAAAGTGTTCTAAAAAAATTCTAAATTGATTCTACGATGTTTTGGAACATTCTAAAATGTTTCAAAATTTAATTTCCCCTTTCTAAAATGTTGCGGGAAGTTGAAAAGTGTTCAAAAAAAATTATAAATTGATTCTACGATGTTTTGGAACATTCTAAAATGTTCCAAAATTTAATTTTCGCTTTCTAAAATGTTGCGGGAAGTTGAAAAGTGTTCTATAAGAATTCTAAATTGATTTTACGATGTTTTGGAACATTCTAAAATGTAAAAAAAAATCTAAATTGATTCTACGATGTTTTGGAACATTCTAAAATGTTTCAAAATTTAATTTCCACTTTCTAAAATGTTGCGGGAAGTTGAAAAGTGTTCAAAAAAAATTCTAAATTAATTCTACGATATTTTGGAACATTCTAAAATGTTCCAAAATTTAATTTCCGCTTTCTAAAATGTTGCGGGAAGTTGAGAAGTGTTCTAAAAAAAATTCTAAATTGATTTTACGATGTTTTGGAACATTCTAAAATGTAAAAAAAAAATCTAAATTGATTCTACGATGTTTTGGAACATTCTAAAATGTTTCAAAATTTAATTTCCACTTTCTAAAATATTGCGGGAAGTTGAAAACTGTTCTAAAAAAAATTCTAAATTGATTCTACGATGTTTTGGAACATTCTAAAATGTTTCAAAATTTAATTTCCCCTTTCTAAAATGTTGCGGGAAGTTGCAAAGTGTTCTAAAAAAATTCTAAATCGATTCTACGATGTTTTGGAACATTCTAAGATGTTTCAAAATTTAATTTCCCCTTTCTAAAATGTTGCGGGAAGTTGCAAAGTGTTCTAAAAAAATTCTAAATTGATTCTACGATGTTTTGGAACATTCTAAAATGTTTCAAAATTTAATTTCCCCTTTCTAAAATGTTGCGGGAAGTTGAAAAGTGTTCAAAAAAAATTATAAATTAATTCTACGATATTTTGGAACATTCTAAAATGTTCCAAAATTTAATTTTCGCTTTCTAAAATGTTGCGGGAAGTTGAAAAGTGTTCTAAAAAAAATTCTAAATTGATTTTACGATGTTTTGGAACATTCTAAAATGTAAAAAAAAATCTAAATTGATTCTACGATGTTTTGGAACATTCTAAAATGTTTCAAAATTTAATTTCCCCTTTCTAAAATGTTGCGGGAAGTTGAAAACTGTTCTAAAAAAAATTCTAAATTGATTCTACGATGTTTTGGAACATTCTAAAATGTTTCAAAATTTAATTTTCGCTTTCTAAAATGTTGTGGAAAGTTGAAAAGTGTTCTAAAAAAAATTCTAAATTGATTTTACGATGTTTTGGAACATTCTAAAATGTAAAAAAAAATCTAAATTGATTCTACGATGTTTTGGAACATTCTAAAATGTTTCAAAATTTAATTTTCGCTTTCTAAAATGTTGTGGAAAGTTGAAAAGTGTTCTAAAAAAAATTCTAAATTGATTTTACGATGTTTTGGAAGTTTCTAAAATGTTTTGGAACATTCTAAAATAATTTTGAAAATTTTACCTCAGGTTTCTAAATTGTTGCTGAAAGTTGAAAAGTGTTCTAAGCTGTTCTAAAAAATTTCTAAATTATTATTGACATTTGACAGCGAAGTGCTGCGCATGGGCAAAGCACGCCATTGGAAAGAGGTTCTGGCAGTTTTGTCCAGAGGCGGCGCAGACGGGGAACTTTCGGCCGAGCCGCTACTGGAATATTTTGAGCCTCTCTTCGATTGGCTGCGAACGGCCAATAGGAAAGAGCCCGTCATCGGTTGGATGTCGAAAAGGGAGGATTTTGCCCTTTATCGACCCCTAGTTGGCGCCACTGGAGCGCGTATTTGGATGAATTATCGTTTTTTGTTTGTTTTATTTGTAATTTTTTTTATTATTTAGAAATAAAGAAATATCAAAATCAAAAAATTGATTACTTCATAAATTCAAAAACAGGTGTGACGTCAGGTAACCATTGGGGTGCGTTCGAAATTGTGACGTCCAGGGTGATTTCGAACGCACCCTTGGTGTTCTAATGTAGAGAGTCACCTGCTCACAATCCGTTCGAGTATCATAGTGATTTCCATTTGTCATCAGTGCCGCACTGAGTGTATCCGCATCTTTTTCTAAAAGCATGTAACATGTAAGGATAAGGATACATTTTTTTTGCTCTGATTCGACAAATGGAAAACGCTATCAGATTAAAATCCACGGACAATAGTTGTATTCCTTTTACACCTAGGAGGAGCTCCGGAACAGTTCCGGGGCTTCACGCGCTTATTCCTTTCGAAAAGTGTTTGTTGTTTGCTGTTTCCTGCAAATCGGGGGCGACTAAACACCGGAGCGAGTAGCTCGAGTGTTTCAAACTCTTGAAAGGAATACACAGTGCTCCAAGAATCATGAAAAATGTGTTCCAGAGTAGAAAAAAACCTTGAACTGGTTCACGATTGAGTAATCTTTAGTGTTCTGGATCGATTCTAATTTGAAATAGAACTACTCTTTTTATTCCTCAATATAAATTCACTCTATTTACAGAAAGTTTTCTGGATTCTGGAAAAAGGATGCATGATTTGCATGAGACACCGGCTTAAGGCCTCATGGTGACGTCATTATGTAACAAGGATACTAATTATTCGAATTTTAGATTTTGAAAGCTCCAAAATTGAATAAATAACTTATCTGGGCCTTTTTACGTTAGAAATGCACATAATTTTGTTATAAAATAAATAATTTGTTTATAATAAATTATTATATTATTAATAATAAAGCTTCACTCACCTGTTAGGAGATGGGGCTGGGAATTAACATGAGACATGAACCCATCTCTTTCTCTGGGCCTGGTAAAGAGAAAGATGAAAATACATATTTTTTTGCCTATTTTTAATACATAAAATACCATATTAAAGGCCTAAGTTTCTTCTTGCACCTATCCTTCAAAACTGCAGCCCCCACTCGAAAATTCAATTTTCTGGGGAAAATAATCACAGAATTCGAACCGCGACACTTTTCCGAACATTTTAATGTAATTTTTTCCATTGAAAAGTCCCGGGAAACTGGAAAATTCAACACTCGAAATAAAAGCGCGTAGCCATTTTGAAACAATGATGCAACTACACTTATTTGTTACGAGATGGCGCTGCAAACGCAAACCTCAAAAAACACCCAAAATCGAATAAAATAATTAATTAGGACTTAATTAAGGCCTAATTACATTAAATTACGTCCAAATTATTATAATTATAAGCCTTTATTAGGTTTTTAATTAATCCCAAGTAGGCTTTGGAATGTTTTTTGACAATGGCAACTTTGACAGTTGGCCATTATAAATAAAAAATGGCCCACGCGTTTATATTTTGTCCGCCGGTTTTTCTCGGAATTTTCCAGTTTTCAATTGGAAAAAGTACTCTAGAGTGTTCGGAAAAGTGCCCCGGTTCGAATTATGTGTTTATTTTGTCCAGGAACTTTGAGTGTTCGATGGGGGCCACAGTACAAGTGGTGAGTACAAAGATACTTGATTTCTTATGATTGTGTGTATAATTTATGGTAAAATAGGGTGTTTAGTTGTTTTTGTATCTCTCTCAATACTACGCTCAGAGAAAGAGATGGAAATATTAAATACTAATGCAGATCCCTGTAATGGTTTTAGGATAGTTTTAGTGTAGGTTCAATAGCGATCAGTAGCAATCAGAACAAAGTTAGTGCACTTGGAACAGTCAGAGTAGAATTACTAATAACGAATTACATTGTTAGAACCAGTGCAAAAATAATGTAATTTTATCTCTTTCTTATATAAGTTAAAAGAAAAAGACACGAATATACTCAGTGCGGCATATGGAAATCGCTATTAAACCTCAAAATTAAATTAGAACCTAGCGCCATCTATTGACAAACAATCATAGTCACCTATTACAGATTCCTGTTTCAAAATCCAATCAAATTATGTTCCAAAATTAAATATTTAATTAATTTTTTGATATTTTTAATCAATTAGAATAAATTATTTCACCTAATTAAGCTGATTCGATCACTTAAATCGATCCGAATTTTGAATTTGGCGCTCGAACTTCATTTTTTTTTTTGACAGTTCAACTTGACAGGCCGGGATGGTCGGCCATGTATGTTTCGGACGGTCACGTGACAGTTCAAAAGTGCGTCGCAAGCCGTGAGATACACACACTAAAATCCCCAGGTAGGGCACCGTATTTATTCGCGATGGGGCCCCCCTCGACCCGGGAAAAATAGGGCCGATCGGGCCTTGTGTTGCCCCTTTTTCAATACGCTAGAGCCTTGAGCGCGAGTGAGATGGAGGGAATGGCGGCGTCCGTCCCACATGGCCCCCATTACACACAAAGAATTATTTATTTTTGTTTTACTGTAAAAAAAAGGGGGGGCCCCACTTTTGTAGTTGTTGTTTTGTAAAATTGTAATTTGTTTTTCAGATAGTTGTAAATAGAATTACCTTGTACATATTATTGTACAAAAACAAGTTAAAAAAAGATGAGCTCCAGTGGTCGCACTGGCCCCAAGGGTGGCAAAGGGGCGAAGGCCGATAAATCTCACAAAACCGACGGAGGTAAGCGACTTTTTCTATGTAAAATAAAGCAAAATGTTTAGTTTTTTTGTTGGTTGTTCGAGTTCCAAATGAATGTAGTTTTGGGTTGAAGATTCAATATAGATTTTTGAGTTTTAGCTTTACAACATCACAAACCGGTCATTTCATTGGTTGAAAACAGTCAGAAAAAGTAAGTTTCAACCAATGAAATTCACTCTTTAATTGGTTTGTGAGTTTTGCAGCAGCAAATCTTGATTTTTGATTGGTTTGTGTTTGTATTAACAAGGTAAGTGCAGGCAAAAGGTTTCCAAATTTCTTAATCCCTTAAATATTGTTGCTATATAAAGCAAGGATAACCAAGCATTGTATCTTACTCCTCCATCATCAATCAAATTCTGGGATTCTCTAGGATCAAGAACACTAGGCTTTTCTACATTTGAAATTAACTTACCATCACGGTCTGCGGATGACGTCATCACCATAAGTTGTTAATTGGTTGTTAATAGTGACGTCACTTGCAGGCCCAGAATTTAATAGAAAGGGAATTAGGGGTTTATTTACACACTACATAACCTAACATAAGCAAATTATGCTTGATTATCCTTGCGAAAAATTGCCCATTGTAATGTTGCTACAGGAACAATGTCCACAACTGTAAACATTGGAAGTTTTTCTTTTTTATTATATTATAATAAAGGATGGAGATATTTTCTAAATGTTTAAATTTCAACCCTCAAGCATTGTTGCCACATATACAAAGGTGGCTAGTTGTCAAGAATAGTGTTGTTGCATGATGAAAGTCCAAAAAATAACAGGGTTGCCACATCTTTTAATTTTTTCCTCAAAAAATAGAGTTGGATTTAATTCTTTGGGCAATGATCGCTTCTTGTTCAAGGTAAGGACAAGGTGCAAAGTCATTTTGTTTGACGGCTCTCATGGTTGAATTTGACAGTTCGAGCTTTTTTTTAAAAAAAAAAGTTACATGTCATTATTTTGACATTAAGTGTTCTTGCATCGGATTGTTTTAGAATGTTCTACAAAGTAATTATTTGTGTCATAAAAATTGGACAGCTGTCATAGTGAAATTTGACAGTCGGATTTCGAACGTTATTATTTTGACAGTTGATTTTTAACGAGCTTCAAAATTAATTTAGACAATTTTTGACAGCTGTCATAATTAGGTTTGATAGTAACTTTTCAAAAATTGACTTTGTGTTATTTTCATAGAAACGAATTTGATCATTTTTAGACAGCTGTCAAACTTGAATTTGACAGTTGGATTTTTTTTTGGTTCTTCGAAATTCTTGATTTTGCTCTAGAATGTTAGTGGAGATTTCCTCAAAATAAATAGACGCCATTTTGTATTGACTGTCAAAAAATAATTACAAGGCCTACTTTGAAACGTCAAATTTTTTGACGTTTATGCGCCAGGGTTGCTGCATTTTTAAAACCCAATAGTTTTTTTTCATGTGGCTCCGGTTGAAACCAACCAGGATACAAAACAATTAGTAGCGATATGTCAAGTGATGACGTCATTGAAATGCCGCTTGAAAAGTTGCAATGATTGTGTCCGGACTTTTTTTTTTGTATAAAATCGAGCCTCGATGATTGACACAATATTTGTTATGAGTTGTAGTTGGCAACACTGTTTGACAAGGGACAAAGTAGGCTTTGCAAAATTTTAAAATTTAAATATGGCGCCTTGTCATACCGACATTGCAATACATACGTGTTTCCAAAGCCTACTTGGTTTTATATAAGCCTGTATAAGACGAGAATTTTCCTGAAAAATCAACTTTTAAGATTTCTGGTGAATTTAATTTTTTTTTGACCTGGCAACAGCGGCCCGAAGGACCAGAGTTATTTTAATCACGTTATTTCCAAAACAATAAGACGCCATTTTGTATCGATTGTCAAAAATATTTACAAGGCCTACTTCGAAACGTCAAATTTTTTGACGTTTATGCGCCAGGGTCAGGGTTGCCAGACGTCCCACCTTAGGAGGAACAGTCCCGCATTTTGTTAATCGGTCCCGCCTTTTCTTTATTAATTTCAGGTCCCGCTTTTCACGTGAATTGTCCCGGTTTTCCCGCTTTTTCCACCTAATCTTCACATTTAATGCAAAAAACACGCCTATTTTATTATACAACTTGTTGATAGCTATTTTTTCATTTGAAATCGACGCAAAAATCAAATAATCGCACACATTTCATCGTGGTCTGCGGGTGACGTCACCACTATTAGCTGCTGGCGTGGTGACGTCACTCGCAGACCTTGTGGACTCGAGAACCGGCCAATGTACGCCTTCTCAGGATGAGCAATCTTGTTAATTTACAATTCTTGGGTTAGTTGGGCACCTTCCCCCTTATGCTTTTGGGCGTGGCACCCGAAAAAAAATTTCGAGCTTTTCTTCCTGGATAACATCAGTCCCACTTTTTCACTTCATAGATCTGGTAACCCTGGCCCAGGGTTTTTAAAACCCAATAGTCTTTTTCACGTGGCTCTGGTTTAAACTGGTAGCAATATGTCAAGTGATGACGTCATTGGAATGCCGCTTAAAAAGTCGGAAAAATGATTGTTTTTGGTTCAGGTAAGGGCGGCGGCGACAAGGTGCACAACAAAGAAAACCACCTGTCGTCCAAAAACGAAGAACTCTCGATGAAAGACAAAGTCAAACAACTGATGGAACTGACCTGTCGTTCCGAAGACGAAGTCTGCCTGGCGCTGCACGAGAGCGACCACGACATAAACACGGCCATCAATTTGCTCTACGAAGAACCGAGCACCGGCGAGTGGGAGACAAAAGACAAAAAGAAAAAGAAGAGACAAACTTCAGCTGGCGGCAAGACGGACAAAAAGGGCGACGAAGGCGGGGCCGACGATTGGGATGACGTCATCCCACCCGCCCCAAGCGTGGGCGCGGGCGACGGCAAAGACTGGAAAGAACGCGGCGGACGCAACAACAGAAACCCGTCGCGTTCTAACAACCGCGGCTGGCGAGAAGAGGGCGGGCGCGGTAGAGGCGGTCCTAGAAGAGGCGGTCCGACTAGAGGCCGCGGGGGCGGTAGAACCGGCGGCCGGTACCCGCCGCGAGGAGGCAGGGGCGACGGCAACCGGCAACAACCTATTGACACTTGGGACAGTTCCAATACTTGGGATAATAGTGCCGCGACGCCAGCGCCACCTCCGGTCGACGACTGGGACGACTTCCACACTGACGAGTGGTCAACTGAAGAGTACACTGGTAGTCTCGTGGAAACAAAAGTCTTTACTCCCAGCGTTCAAACACCCAATGACGTTTTCGATTCTGCGCAGCAACCGCCTCAAGCCGATACTTCTTCTGTCAATAATGTCAACGCAAATGATACCAGTTACAGGTAAATAATTTGGCAAATTAAATACATTATTAAATTAATTATTTTATTAATTTAGTCAGTCTTTGGGTGGTCAAAATTACCAGCCAACGCCCAGCCAACCGAGTCCGGTACCGCCTATGGTCGGTACTTTGACTGCTGCGCAGACGCAGTACTTTTCGCAGTTGTCGCAACAGAATAGCGACACTGTCGGTAAACAGTACGTCGCCGCTAGTGGCACCGCCTATCAGGCGCAGCCCGGTGTTTTTGATGCCAAATCGAATGTCCAACAGGTGAGTGCGATTTTTTTTTTTATATATATTAAGGTCTACCGCTGACGTCATCATTAGTATGTGAATTTTAACATTTTAAATCTTAATTATGAGTGAGACTTTACAAACATTTTCATTTCGTTATTTACAGCTGTTGCCAAAATTATTGACACATGACATTTTAGTAAATTATAAGGCATTGACAACATTGTCTGTCCTTGTTGGATGACGTCATCCTAAATATAACATAAATCACGGTATTTAGAAGTGAAATAAAGATTTATTGTATGTGTTTTATTATTCCTCCTCCCCCCCCCTATAGTTTTTCAGCAATTTTTTTTCTTCTATATAGACTTACAGTAATAGTACGCAGGCGCAATCGTACAGCACGACTGCTGCGCAGCCGTACACCCAAACAACGACCAATCAAAGTTACGCAACTGCGCAACCCACTTATGCGCAGCCCACTTATGCGCAAAACAGCGCGTTCGCTTACCAGGAACCTCAGGCGCAGCCGCAACCGCAGCGGTCGAGAACGCAACGGGCCCGAGTACCCCCACCTTCCAAAGTAATTCAAGGATTATTTTGGAATTAGAAATTATCGATTTTATTTTTAGATACCGGCCAGTGCCGTAGAGATGCCGGGCGATTTAAATAATAGCAGTGGCGTCACTTATTTAGACGTACAATTCGGAGCGATGGATCTCATTGACAGCAGTTTCGATTCCAGTGTTGCCGCTGTTAGTTTAGACAATTCCACCACTACAGAAACGGATTACGGCAACGTTGCAACATCTAAAAATAGTACTAGTATTAGTACGGCGTTGTCTCAAGGGGTCAGTGTAGTGTTGCCGGTTGGGATTTAGTAATTTTTAGTTGTTTTTTTAGTTATCGAATTCTGACATTCCACAACAACAACCTGCTTCTGAACATTTGACTTATAACAATGCTAGGAATGTTGCGCAGTCGTCGACTGCGCCGGTTGAAAAACAGGATTCTTATGGTTCACAAAGTGCAGCAGGGTACAATTCCTATAATAATTCAAAGGGGGGCAACAATTACGCTTACGCCACTGCACAAGTAATAGTTGTTTTGATTGGGTTTTTAGAATTTGACGTTTATATGATCATTTGCAGACAACTACAAGTTCCTACGTCAATAATCCATCGGTTACAAGTTACGGGAATAATCAGTACGCTAGCAGCGCCTCCTATTCGAATTCCTATTCTTCGACCACTGCTCAGGTGTATCAGAACGCTTCTTATCCGGTCACTCAGAGCAATTCTTACCAAAATAATCCGTCTAGTCAGTCTGTCTATGGTGCTAATACTGGTAAGAATTATTTGGGTTTGTGTTATGTAGGTTTGTAGGTAAGAGGTAAGTATTTTCTTATAATGAACTCCCCTCCTGTTATGAACTTTCCTCCTATTATGAACTCCCCTCCTGTTATGAACTCCCCTCCTATTATGAACTCCCCTCCTGTTATGAACTCCCACTCTATTATAATGATGACAAAAAGGCCGAGTCCTATTGGGCTAAAAGTCGAGCCCCCTTTACGTGGTTCCTTTATCAGCTCAAAATGCGAATATCCTGAAGCGGTTACTGATTAGTTTACTCACACAAATTGAGTAGTTTTTCTTTGTTTGTTTTTTTTTTGGGTGAACGAGTATCTTTTGCAGGCCTGAGCAACAACTCCAACTACTCAAGTGCTCAATATAACAGCTACAATAAGCTGAAAGACAATTCTTACGACACCAGCGCCACCAGTACCACAACGGCGCTGAGTCAAACTACTTCAGTTAGTAAAACGACAAACAAAAATCCCACCAGCGTAATGAGCAACATCCCTCCCGGAGTGACACCTGTCATGAGCACTCCTTATATAATGGGGCAAATGCCTTATTTCCAACAACACCCGGCCGTTTACTCGTTTGAAGATGTGCAACTACTACAACAAAGGATGCCCCACATGGTAAGTCAAAAATATAATAGTAAATGCATATAACCCTCGCTCATTTGCTGCAAAAGAACTAACACCCTTGAAATCCCTTTTCCCACTGCTTTTCCAAATAATGTAAATCGAGCCTTAATGCGCGTGCGGTCGTGTGTATTTCTATTGGTCATTGTGTGTAGACCACGCCTTACTACGACATGGGTTACCAGACACCGACGACGCTGGCGACGGTGCGCGGCGACCCGACGGCCACCGCTTTGGGCGGCTACAGCGCCACCGACGCCCGGTTTCAAACGGCGGGACGGGCGGGCGACGGAGCCGCCTCACCCGTACCGCCCGCCTCACAACAACAGCAACAACAACAAGCTCCTATTTTGACTGCGACACCTGCACCCGGTGCGGCTACGCCCTACTTTTTCGCGGCTGCGCCTTACAACACCCTAGGGGCTCCGCCCAATTACGCCCAATTTGGAACAATGTACACGGTAAGTCATCAATCAAAATGACACACAAGAAATGTCAATTGGTTTTTGCAGCAATTACCGACAGTGACCAATGCCAATAACCAGTACGGACCGAAACCGGCTACTTACGGTTCGGCGACCGGTTACGGCGCCTACGACGCCTTAGGCCAATCGGCGCAGGACTATTCCAAGGCCTCCTACGCTGTGGGATCGGCGGCGGCGGTGGCGGCAGCGGCGGCGGCGCAGAAAAATAATTCGACCAGTGCCGGTTCGGGCGCCACTGATTTGAGCGCCATGTACGGCAAGACGCACGCCGCCTTGGGAAAAGTCAATGTAAGTACATTTTTGTTTTCAATTTGTTTTAACGAATTTTTTGGAACATTTTGAAACAATCTAAATCTGTTCCAATGAATTTTGAGAATTTTTAAATTTTTTTTGGAACATTCTAAATTTTTTTGAAACAGTTTAAATTTTTTCCTTTGCATTTTCAATTTGTTCCAACGAATTTTTAAAAGCTTTTTCAATTTTTTTGGAACATTCTAGAACGTTCCAAATTTTTTTTGAAACGACCCTATTTTTTTTTAACGAGTTTTTAATTCGTTTCAACAAATTTTGAAAATTTTTTTAAAATTTTTTGAAACATTTTAGAATGTTCCAAAATTTTTTTTAAAAAATTTAAATTTTATCCAACGATTTTTCAATCTGTTCCAACAAATTCTAAACATTTTTTTAGGAACATTTTAGAATTTTTTGGAACATTCTAGAACGTTCGACATTTTTTTTTAAACGACCTAAATTTTTTTTAACAAGGTTTTAATTTGTTGCATCAAATTTTGAAATTTTTTTAAAAATTTTTTGGAACATTTTAGAACGTTCCAAAATTTTTTAAAACGATTTAAATCTTTTCCTTTGCATTTTCAATTTGTTCCAACGAATTTTTAAAAGCTTTTTAAATTTTTTTGGAACATTCTAGAACATTTCAGAATTTTTTGAAACAATTTAAATTTTTTTTCAATCTGTTCCCACAAGTTCTGAACATTTTAAAATTTTTTGGAACATTCTAGAACGTTCCAAATTTTTTTTGAAACGACCCTATTTTTTTTTAACGAGTTTTTAATTCGTTTCAACAAATTTTGAAAATTTTTTTAAAATTTTTTGAAACATTTTAGAATGTTCCAAATTTTTTTTTAAAAAATTCAAATTTTATCCAGCGATTTTTTAATCTGTTCCAATAAGTTCTAAACATTTTTTTAGGAACATTTTAGAATTTTTTGGAACATTCTAGAACGTTCGACATTTTTTTTTAAACGACCTAAATTTTTTTTAACAAGGTTTTAATTTGTTGCAACAAATTTTGAAATTTTTTTAAAAATTTTTTGAAACATTTTAAAACGTTCCAAAATTTTTTAAAACCATTTAAATTTTTTCCTTTGCATTTTCAATTTTTTCCAACGAATTTTTATGAACTTTCTAGAATTTTTTGGAACATTCTAAAACTTTCCAAAATTTTTTGAAACAATTTAAATTTTGTCCGACAAGTTTTTAATCTGTTCCAACAAACTCGGAACATTTTTAGGAACATTTTAAAATTTTTTGGAACATTTTAAAATGTTTCAAATTTTTTTTTGAAACAATCCAAATTTTTTTAACGAGTTTTTAATATTTTTCGACGAATTTTGAAAATTTTTATGAAGTTTCTAGAATTTTTTGGAACATTCTAAAACGTTCCAAAATTTTTTGAAACGATCTAAATGTTTTCCAACAAGTTTTTAAATTTTTCCAATAGGTTTTGAGAATTTTTAGAAACTTTCTAGAATTTTTTGGAACATTCTAGAATGTTCCAAAATTTTTTCAAATCATCTAAATTTTTTCTAATAATTTTTTTAATTTGTTCCAACAAATTTTGAGAATTTTCAAGAATCAATTAAAATTTTTTGGAACATTTTAGAACGTTCGAGAACTTTTTGAAACAATCTGAATTTGTTGTTGTCAATTTGTTCCAACGAGTTTTGAAAATTTTTTGAAATCATCTAATTTTTTTAATCAATTTTTAATCTGTTCCAACGAATTGTGAGAATTTCTAGGAATTTTTTAAAATTTTTTGCAACGTTTTAGAACGTTCCAAATTTTTTTAAAAATAATCTAAATTTTTTCCAACAAGTTTTTAATTTTGTCTAATAAGTTTTGAGAATTTTTAGAAACTTTCTAGAATTTTTTGGAACATTCTAAAACGTTCCAAAATTTTTTGAAACGATCTAAATATTTTCCAACAAGTTTTTAATTTTTTCCAATAGGTTTTGAGAATTTTTAGAAACTTTCTAGAATTTTTTGGAACATTCTAGAATATTCCAAAACTTTTTAAAATCATCTAAATTTTTTCTAATTAATTTTTTAATCTGTTCCAACAACTTTTGAGAATATTTAAGAATCAATTAAAATGTTTTGGAACATTTTAAACGTTCCAGAACTTTTTGAAACAATCTGAATATTTTCCAACAACTTTTGAAAATTTTTAGGAACTTTCTAGAATTTTTTGGAACGTTCTAGAACCTTTCAAAATTTGATGAAACAATCTAAAATTTTTTAACAAATTTTCAATCTGTTTCAACGAATTTTTAAGAATTTTATAGAATTTTTTGGAACATTCTAGAACGTTTCAGAATTTTTTGAAACAATCTAAATTTTGTCAAACAAGTTTTCAATCTGTTCCAACAAGCTCGGAACATTTTTAGGAACATTTTAGAATTTTTTGGAACATTTTAAAACGTTCCAATTTTTTTTTGAAACAATCCAAATTTTTTCCATTAAGTTTTTAATTTTTTCTAATAAGTTTTCAGAATTTTTAGAAACTTTCTAGAGATTTTTGGAACATTCTAAAACGTTCCAAAATTTTTTGAAACGATCTAAATATTTTCCAACAAGTTTTTAATTTTTTGCAATAGGTTTTGAGAATTTTTAGAAAGTTTCTGGAATTTTTTGGAACATTCTAAAACGTTCCAAAATTTTTTGAAACGATCTAAATATTTTCCAACAAGTTTTTAATTTTTTGCAATAGGTTTTGAGAATTTTTAGAAAGTTTCTAGAATTTTTTGGAACATTCCAGAATGTTCCAAAATTTTTTCACATCGTCTAAATTTTTTCTAATAAATTTTTTAATTTGTTCCAACAAATTTTGAGAATTTTTAAGAATCAATTAAAATTTTTTGGAACATTTTAGAACGTTTCAGAACTTTTTGAAACAATCTGAATATTTTCCAACAAGTTGTCAATTTGTTCGAACGACTTTTGAAAATTTTAAGGATCTTTCTAGAATTTTTTGGAACGTTCTAGAACGTTTCAAAATTTTTTAAAACAATCTAAATTTTTTCCAACAAGTTGTCAATTTGTTCCAACGACTTTTGAAAATTTTTAAGAAATTTTTTAAGAAATTTTTTGGAACGTTCTAGAACGTTCCAAAATTTTTTGAAATCATCTAATTTTTTTTAATAAATTTTTAATCTGTTCCAACGAATTTTGAGAATTTTTAGAAATTTTTCAAAATTTTTGGAACGTTTCAGAACATTCCAAATTTTTTTAAAAATAATGTAAATTTTTTGCAACAAGTTTTTAATTTTTTCCAATAGGTTTTGAGAATTTTTATAAACTTTCTAGAATTTTTTGGAACGTTCTAGAACGTTTCAAAATTTTCTGAAACAATCTAAATTCTGTCCAACAAGTTGTTAATTTGTTCCAACGACTTTTGAGAATTTTTAGGAACTTTCTATAATTTTTTGAAACATTCTAGAACGTTCCAAAATTTTTTGAAACAATCTAAATTTTGTCCAACAAGTTGTCAATTTGTTCCAACGACTTTTGCGAATTTTTAGGACCTTTCTATAATTTTTTGAAATATTCTAGAACGTTCCAAAATTTTTTGAAACAATCTAAATTTTGTCCAACAAGTTGTCAATTTGTTCCAACATCTTTTGAAAATTTTTGGGAACTTTCTAGAATTTTTTGGAACATTTTAAAATTTTCTGAAACAATCTAAATGTTTTGCAACAAGTTGTCAATTTGTTCCAACGACTTTTAAGAATTTTTAGGAACTTTCTAGAATTTTTTTGGAACATTCTAGAATGTTCTAAAATGTTTTGAAACAATCTAAATTTTGTCCAACAAGTTGTCAATTTGTTCCAACGACTTTTGAGAATTTTTAGGAATTTTCTAGAATTTTTTGAAACATTCTAGAACGTTTCAAAATGTTTTGAAACAATCTAAATTTTTTCCAACAAGTTTTTAATTGTTTCGAATAAGTTTTGAGAAATTTTAGAAACTTTCTAGAATTTTGTGGAACATTCTAAAATTTTTTGAAACGATCTAAATTTTTTCTAATAAATTTTTAATTTGTTACAACAAATTTTGAGAATTTTCAAGGATTAATTAAAATTTTTTGAAACATATTAAAACGTTCCAAAATTTTTTGAAACTATAAATATTTTCCAACAAGTTGTCAATTTGTTCCAACAACTTTTGAAAATTTTTAGGAACTTTCTAGAATTTTTTGAAACGTTTCAAAATTTTTTGAAACAATCTAAAACGAATTTTCAATCTGTTTCAACGAATTTTTAGAATTTTTTGGAACATTCTAGAACGTTCCAAATTTTTTTTTTTGAAATAATCTAAATTTCAGTCATACGAGAAGCAGGGCTTCCATTCCGGAACCCCGCCTCCGTTCACTGGAACTTTGAGCCAAAGCGCCGGTGGCGCCGCCTATGCCCAGCAAGTTTACATACCCACAATGCCTCAGCACCATTCAACAATGGCCATGCACCAGCCCTTGCATCAGGTAAAAAAGAAATCTGCATTATTTATTAATCGCACGCATAGATGTCGCTAGTGTGTGTGAGGGGGCAGTTTACAGTTTCCTTTTTTTTTTTGTTTTTATTTATTTTGCTTTTTGTAGATGGATGTGAGGCACCAGGGACGGCGCGCGGTAAGTCACACGCCCCCTCCCTCCTCCACGCTTGCGACAATTTGAAATATTAAAAAATCGTTTTGCAGGATTCCAGCGGCGGCGCGCAGAGGTCGCAAGGTTCGGCCGGCCAGGCCAAAGCGGGTTCCAAACAGGGGTACGGCGCCTCCTACTGGAACCAAAATTGAATTCTCTTTTTTTTATTTGAATTAAGACGAAAAAACAGAAAACTGCTTCGCAATCACTTTGAAAGTTTTAATTAAGCTTAAGTACAATTGGTTAATTGTGCTATTTTTTTTTTAAGGGGCCGGTTTATTCACCTGTCAGGTAACAGTAACTTTATCCAAAGCTGAATAAATCAGGCCTAAGTTTTTCTTTTTTCGGTACAATTTAGTATTATTTTTATTTTTAATAATTTAAGGTTAGGTTTACACTTAGCGGAGGCTACTTTCTTTATTTAGTGCAATGCCTTTTGGTTTTCTAAGTGTTTGCGGCAGTGTTTCGAGTCAATTTACAAAGTGTAAATAATTGAATTGTACTACACACACACACACATTGCGCCATCTCTGGTTAAAATTTTCAAGTTTAAATTTTTTTTTGGGTCGCCCGAGGTTTTTGACCATAAGACGGAACGTTAAGGGCCGCCGGCTCTGGCTTTTACGTGGCGACTTTAATTTGTATAATATAATTTCGACAATTTAATTATTACTTTTTGTAGACACCCTGTATATGTGTAAGTTTTATTTTGTATTTGCGCGACTTTTTCGAGTAAAAAAAAATACACTACAACAATTGAAATAATTATATATTACGGTTTTATTAATGAGTAAACGAGTAGTTATCCCTCCTCCTCCTTCTCCGCCACTGGCCTTCTTATTACAGATTTCTGTAATATTAGTTGTTTCAACTTGTTCTGGATGAAAACTGGGTCATGCTAACAAACAAAAAAAACTACTCTTTTTACTCTAGAACAACAATATATGGAAATTCTCACCTGTAAAACGTGTATTCCGATCATGGAAGATACCACTAGTTCCTTGACTCCATCTCCCGATAAATCGCCGTAATTCAAGGACAAAACCGGTGCAGCCATGAATTTAACTTCTTCTAGGTACCACTTTGTCTCATTGTATTTGTACATAAACAACTCCTAAAATAAAAAAAAAATTAAATTGACTCCAGAGTAAAAAAATAAACTTACTCCAGAGCTGGTACCAACAATAATTTCTTTGTTACCATCAAAATCGACATCAGCAACTAAACAGGTGGTGAACACGGTACCATCGTCCAAGCGGTGCAAAGTGACGTAATCGCTGAGGCCATATTTTGAAATGTTGCTGCAATTTTTATTTTTTTTTTTAATAAATAATTTAGTGAATGAAATCGCTTATTACCGGAACAGTGCAGGAGGTAAAGTAGCGTTCACAACAACCAGATTCACGTGGTTTTTGTCCAGGTAAAGTTGCACTTTTGGTACGTGATTGGCGAATCTTGTTACGAAACTGTACAGGCGTTTGTTGGTGTTTGTGTCCACTTTGGTTACTTTGACGTAGCCGCATTCGCAACTGAACGCAGTGATTCGCCTTGAAATAGTGTAGTTAGAACAGAGTTAGTGCAGATGGAACAGGAATTGGAACACTTGGAGTAACAATGAAAAGTTGTCAAAATGGTAAACAAAAATTATCGTGGTGAATGTTAACGAACGTCCAAAATTTTTTCAGTGGTGAATATTAACAAACGCCTCAAAATTTGAAAATATCATAGTTAGATAGAGTTTCCAATTTGAGTACTAATGATGACGTCACTTAATTAAATGAGATGTGTGATTATTCCAGGCATTTGGCTATCACAATGCAAAAGGAACAGAATTAAAGTATTTGGAACAGTCAGAGTAATTCAAAATTCAAATAGAATTAGTGCAAACGGAACATCATTCAAAAATAATTTAATTGGAGTAAAATAGAGTTTCCAATTTGTGTACTAAAGATGACGTCACTAAATTGAATGGAAAATTTGATTATTCCAGGCATTTGGCTATCAAAACTACAAGAAATGTACTGATGATGACGTCACTGAGATACAATGCAAAAGGAACAGAATTAAAGTATTTGGAACAGTCAGAGTAGTAAAATTCAATTAAAATTAGTGCAAATGGAACATTCAAAAATAATTTAATTGGAGTAAGATAGAGTTTCCAATTCGTGTACTAAAGATGACGTCACTAAATTGAATGGAAAATATGATTATTCCAGGCATTTGGCTGCCAAAACTACAAGAAATGTACTGATGATGACGTCACTAAGATACAATGCAAAAGGAACAGAATTAAAGTATTTGGAACAGTCAGAGTAGTAAAATTCAATTACAATTAGTGCAAATGGAACATTCAAAAGTAATTTAATTGGAGTAAGATAGAGTTTCCAATTTTTGTACTGATGATGACGTCACTAAATTGAATAAAAAATGTGATTATTTCAGGCATTTGATTATCAAATCTACAAGAAATGTACTGATGATGACGTGCACTAAGATAGAATACTTAGAGTAAGTAAAAATGGAACAGAATTAGCTGGGTTTGACTATTCAGCGCGGAGTTGGAGTGGAGTGAGCAGAGCTAATAAGGTAAAAAGCAATACCCGAACGGCTGGAGTGCGAGTGGAGTCACTCGGAGTGAGCAAGCCGAACCCACTAGTGTGCACTAGCAGTAGATTTGAAACTGTTCTAACAATGATTTGATCGTTCCAGAACAGCTCTGAACAAATATTTTCAACCTGCACCTACTTCAGATTATTCCAGAACAGTCGCATTTTGTTTCAAAATCGTTTGAGAACTGCTCTGAACCCAAAACAAGAGTATTTAAAAGTGCTTTAGGACACCAAAAAACCTAATCTGGAAACTGTTCTGGAGTGAGTCATCTATGGGGTATCAAGAAATTTCATTATTTTTGCCTCTAGAACACTATTCTGGATCCAGTGTAGGTTTTTTTTATGTTCGAAACTAATCGGGCCACGTTAAAAGTTACTCCATTTGGTCTGAGATTCTTGTTTTAGTGTATTGTTTAACTACTCCGAAAACATTTAGATTTCACTCTACTTATTCCGAACACAAAATTCGAATTAGTGGAGTATAAAAGTTGAAGATTAGGCACTCTAGATACTTCGTAAAAAGAGTCTTCAGTAGTTCAGAACAGAACTAAAGTTGTGTTTGGTTTTTCTACTCCATGACCTTTTGGAGTAAAAAGAGTAACTAAATACATTTTGATTTACACGGAGTGGAGTGAATAAATTTTTCTTGCGGCCCATCATTTATAGATGTCAATATTGTTACTCTGCTTTATTTTCTGTTCTGGATTACTCTTTTTCACTCTAAAAACATTGTTTTGATTTTACTCTAAAATTGAACTTATCTACTCTTTTATTTGACACGCGAACACTCTGTTTACTCTGAGTTGAAAATCTGAATTGAGTACAAAAAAAAAACAGCTAATTGACATTTTTCTGTTCTTTTTACTCTAAAAACTCTGTTCTGATTTTATTCTTAAAGGAAATGGAACCTTTAGAGTAAACTTGCACTACTATTTTTTGATATGCAAACGCTTTCACTCTCTTTACTCTGAGTAGAAAACCAGATCCTGTAGAATACAAAAAAAAAACCGCTAATTAACATTTTTCTGCTCTGGGTCGCTGTTTTCACTCTAAAAATATTGTTCCGACTCTACTCCAGCATGTCATAATCTAATCACTCGAACGCCAATAATCTTACTCTATTCACTCCGAACATAAAACCCAAACCGGTGAAGTACAGAAGAATACGATTCCGAGATGCCGGTATTTTTTTTACCTCTAAAAATAATATTTCGACTCTGAGTAAACTCTTATTACTCTTTTTTTGCTGCCGAAAACCAAACATTTTACTCCAAATTATTGAAATAAAAAAAATACAAATAATCTTACTCCGAGCAAAATATCAGAATCAGAGTACAATTTTTAAAACAGTGAACTGACATATTGTTTGCTCTGAGTTAGTCAAAAACTGTTCTGAATTCGAAACGTTTAAAGTGTACTTTTATTTCTTCTTTTTCTTACTTTGATCACTCTGAATACAAAGCCTGAACAATGGAGTAAAACAAGTACAATTTTTATCATTCCTAAATGTCACTCCAACGCAAATAGAGCGTTTGGAGATTACTCTCTTTACTCTTTTTTAAGATCTTGTGTAATTATAAAATGTTAGAGTAAATATGTTTAGAGTGAGAAGAGCAAAAAAACATTCAGGATTTGTATTCGGAGTAAACAAAAAAGAGTATAATCCAAATGTTCCAATTCAATTAAAATTAAAGTCAGAACAGAGCGATCAGGAGCTGAAAAATGTCAATCAACGTTTTTTTTTGTATTCGAGAATTTGACTCCGAGTAAACGGAGTAAGATTAATATTTTCAGGAATCAATTTTCACGTGAAAATTCAAGCAATTTTCGAGATCGCTGAAAACCTAGTTCTAGACGTTCGAATTTTGACAGTTGGAGCACTTAAAATAATCGGGATTTTACTCTTTTTGCCTCTACTGATTTAGATATTATGTTTGGAGTAAAATTATTTGAAGAAAAGAGTAAAAAATGTAAATTCCAGAAGTTGCAGATCACAATTTGGAACTTTTGGAGTAAATTCCTATTACTCTACACCGTTTATTTACTCTGAAAAAGAATAATCGATCCGTTAAAGTGAATACAAAGTACTCTGGAAGGACCTGAATTGTACTCTATTTGTTTCTGGGGTAAATAGAGTAAGATTATTCGCACTCGCACTTTAAGTACTCCTATTTACACTAAAAAGTCATTTCCGAATAGTTAGAGTAGCTACTTTATCGGTTCGGATACCGTTTTAGAATAAGCGCACGTTCGGTGTAAAAAGAGTAGACTCTAAAAGTACCACTTAGCTACACTTTTTACTCTAAAATCGTTCGGATTTGAAGCCAGACTAAGATTTAAATATTTCACTCTATTTACTCTAGAAAGCCGTAATCGAATTGGTAGAGTGCCATTGATAGGGAGTAAAAAAGCCGAACACAACCCTAGTTCTGCTCTAAGCTTCTGAAGATTTTTTTCAATTGAATTAGGGCAGCTTCGACTGTTGGAGTATTTTCGGAGTACTCAAAATTGCATCCATTGCATTGGCTATTGAATTTAGAGTAAGATTGTTTGTACTCGGTTAACAAAACAAAAAAAGAGTAAAAGGAGTAGACTCCAAAAGTGGTTTTTGGAATAAGTTCTGATTAATCCATATATGGATACAAAAAAAGAAAAATCGATTAGTTAGAGTGAATACGGAGTACTCTAAAGAGACACAATTGTAGTTGGGTTTGGCTATTCGGCGCGGAGTTGGAGTAGAGTGAACAGAACTAATGGAGTCACCCCTAATACAGTAGAAAGCCTGAACGGTTGGAGTGCGAATGGAGTCACACGGAGTGAGCAAGCCGGACACGTATTATTTTATACTCCACTAATTGTTTTTGGAGTAAGTAGAGCAAAATTATTTGCATCGTTTGGTAAATTTAATGCACATTATTTGCATCTTTATCTCTCAGCTTGTTGTAGATAAAGATAGTATTTTTCTTGCACTAAATTACCGAAAAGAAAACGCTTTGACAATAATGACAGTTGACAATTGTTTAAACAAAATGGCCGTTTAAAAGAAAAGAACATTTTTCTATGCATTTTCTCAATTTTCCTCCAGTGAAAATGTTTAAATAACATAAGGTAAGTTGCCTTACTCATTATTGTAATGCAAAATGTCGATCCACACCACAGGACTGGGGGTTTTCTCGAATTCCGGAAAATGCACCTCTCTATCTTGGATTTCCTTGAACACGTGATCTTGGGGGTTTTCCCTGTACACGTGCACCAAATTGTCACTGCCTGATAATAGAAAAACCGTTTCCTCTTGGAATTTAGTGTGCATCAATTTATAAGGGATAAAATTCAATTCTACAGTCAGACAATTTTGGGCGACATTTTCAATGTCAAACTCGTCATTTTCTTCCAGTTGCGAGTAAATATTGAGGAAAGTTTCCAAACTGTCAGAATCGTTGCTGTTTTTGATTATGGTAATTCCTATTACCACTTCGTTAGTTGACAATGACTTATTGAATGCGTCTAGGGATATTATTTCAGCGCCACCTACAAATACACACATTGTGTAAAGTACAACAAATTATCTACAACTCACTCGGTATGTAAGTGAAGGGGATTTCTTTTGTGCTGGGCACTAGCCCAGCGGGGGCCTCCAAATACTCCAACGAGAAAATTTCCCGTTTCAACGAAGCGGCCAGCATTAGCAATTTGTCGTTGGCCAATTTTAATTCGGCCGTTGTGTACACGTTGCCTTGAGAAGGTATGTGGAAATAGTGAGCGTCTTTGAATTGCTCCATTGTTTTGGTGTTGTGGTGTAACATAACCTTGTTATGCTGTTACGCAGTGTTGCCAATGTGCGAATTTCTAGTAGTGTTTTGGCAACACTGCTATAGCGATTTAATTATAATGGAAAAAATGGCGTCCACACTTGTGTTCATAAAAAATATCGGAACATGGAGGAATGCGAGTGACGTCATGCGCAGTCCTTCAATTCAAATGACTTATGACAGTTTTTTGGTACGAAATCAAATTGTTGCTGTTCCCGGCTCTTGGATCGACAATTACCAGTGAACTATTAAAGTAGGCCTTGTGTTTTTTTTTCTAACAATTGGTACTGTCATGGCGTCTTTTGATGTTATTTGGGGCCCACGCCCCGGGTTTTTTGCATAATTTTGGGGTTTTTGGGGCGATTTCGATTCTAAAAAGTGTCTTACAATGTTTATTGAAGTTTTTTGCGTCGAAAATATACGAAATTCCAGGCCGAGCTTTAGATTTTGATTGAAAACTGGTAAGTTGCAAGTTTTTTCGCATTTTTTTTTTTATCAGTTGGTACTGTCATGGCCTCTTTTGATGTTATTTGGGGCCCACGTTCCTGGTTTTTTTGCACAATTTCGAGGCTTTTTGGACCAATTAAGGGTTGAAAAGTGTTTTAAAGTGCTTATTGTAGTGTTTTGCATCAAAAATACACAAAATTCAAGGCCGGGCCTTAGATTTTGCTTAAAAATTGGTAAGTTACAAAATTGATGCTGAAATCTTTTGAAAATTGTTTTTTTTTTTGCATTTTACGTTGGTATTAGGGCTAAATATAGCCATTTATTTGTAGAGAATTTCATTGGCTTCATTTTGAAGCTAATTACGTCAAAATCGGTTGAAAATTGACAAAGTTATGAGCCAAAATATGAATGCATATTAAAATTTCGAAAAAATTGAAATTTTATTGAATTTTGACACTTGACATTTGCTGTTTAAATTAATAAATAAAAAGTTGAAATTTATTAATATTTACTTGTTTGTGTTCGGAATAAGTAGAGTGGAATCCGGAGTAGTAAACAGTACACTAAAACAAGAACCTCAGACCAAATGGAGTAACTTTTAACGTGGCCCGATTAGTTTCGAACATAAAAAAAACCTACACTGGATCCAGAATAGTGTTCTAGAGGCAAAAATAATGAAATTTCTTGATACCCCATAGATGACTCACTCCAGAACAGTTTCCAGATTCGGTTTTTTGGTGTCCTAAAGCACTTTTAAATACTCTTGTTTTGGGTTCAGAGCAGTTCTCAAACGATTTTGAAACAAAATGCGACTGTTCTGGAATAATCTGAAGTAGGTGCAGGTTCGAAATATTTGTTCAGAGCAAATCATTGTTAGAACAGTTTCAAATCTACTGCTAGTGCGCACTAGTGGGTCCGGCTTGCTCACTCCGTGTGACTCCATTCGCACTCCAGCCGTTCAGGTATTGCTTTTTACTGTATTAGGAGTGACTCCATTAGTTCTGTTCACTCTACTCCAAATCCGCGGCGAATAACCAAACTTCAGCTACAATTGTGTCTCTTCAGAGTACTCCGTATTCACTCTAACTAATCGATTTTTCTTTTTTAGTATCAATATATATATATAGTATATTAGAGTAATCAGAACTCATTCCAAAAACCACTTTTGGAGTCTACTCCTTTTACTCTTTTTTTTTTGTTTGTTAACCGAGTACAAACAATCTTACTCTAAATTCAATAACCAATGCAATGGATGCAATTTTGAGTACTCAGAAAATACTCCAACAGTCAAAGCTGCCCTAATTCAATTGAAAAAAATCTTCAGAAGCTTAGAGCTTCGGCTTTTTTACTCCAAATTCTCCGTATCAATGGCACTCTAACTGTTCGATTACGGCTTTCTAGAGTAAATAGAGTGGAATATTTAAATCTTAATCTGGCTTCAAATCCGAACGATTTTAGAGTAAAAAGTGTAGCTAAGTGGTACTTTTAGAGTCTACTCTTTTTACACCGAACGTGCGCTTATTCTAAAACGGTATCCGAACCAATTAAGTAGCTACTCCAACTTTTCGGAAATGACTTTTTAGTGTAAATAGGAATACTTAAAGCGCGAGTGCGAATAATCTTACTCTATTTACCCCAGAAACAAATAGAGTACAATTCAGAGTACTTTGTATTCACTTTAACGGATCGATTATTCTTTTTCAGAGTAAATAAACGGTGTAGAGTAATAGGAATTTACTCCAAAAGTTCCAAATTGTGATCTGCAACTTCTGGAGTCTACATTTTTTACTCTTTTCTTCAAATAATTTTACTCCAAACATAATATCTAAATCAGTAGAGGCAAAAAGAGTAAAATCCCGATTATTTTAAGTACTCCCTAGTCGCTCCAACTGTCAAAATTCGAGCAAAAAGAGTAATAAGAATTAGGAGCGTCTAGAACTAGGTTTTCAGCGATCTCGAAAATTGCTTGAATTTTCACGTGAAAATTGATTCCTGAAAATATTAATCTTACTCCGTTTACTCGGAGTCAAATTCTCGAATACAAAAAAAACCGTTGATTGACATTTTTCAGCTCCTGATCGCTCTGTTCTGACTTTAATTTTAATTGAATTGGAACATTTGGATTATACTCTTTTTTGTTTACTCCGAATACAAACCCTGAATGTTTTTTTGCTCTTCTCACTCTAAACATATTTACTCTAACATTTTATAATTACACAAGATCTTAAAAAAGAGTAAAGAGAGTAATCTCCAAACGCTCTACTTGCGTTGGAGTGACATTTAGGAATGATAAAAATTGTACTCTTTTTTACTCCATTGTTCAGGCTTGTATTCAGAGTGATCAAAGTAAGAAAAAGGAGAAATAAAAGTACACTTTAAACGTTTCGAATTCAGAACAGTTTTTGACTAACTCAGAGCAAACAATATGTCAGTTCACTGTTTTAAAAATTGTACTCTGATTCTGATATTTTGTTCGGATTAAGATTATTTGTATTTTTTTTATTTCAATAATTTGCAGTAAAATGTTTGGTTTTCGACAGCAAAAAAAGAGTAATAAGAGTTTACTCCGAGTCGAAATATTATTTTTAGAGCTAAAAAAAATACCGGCATCTCGGAATCGTATTCTTCTGTACTTCACCGGTTTGGGTTTTGTGTTCGGAGTAAATAGAGTAAGATTATTGGCGTTCGAGTGAGTAGATTATGACATGCTGGAGTAGAGTCGGAACAATATTTTTAGAGTGAAAACAGCGACCCAGAGCAGAAAAATGTTAATTAGCGGTTTTTTTTTGTACTCAATTCAGATTTTCAACTCAGAGTAAACAGAGTGTTCGCATGTCAAATAAAAGAGTAGATAAGTTCAATTTTAGAGTAAAATCAAAACAATGTTTTTAGAGTGAAAAAGAGTAATCCAGAACAGAAAATAAAGCAGAGGAACAATATTAACATCTATAAATGATGGGCCGCAATAAAAATTTATTCACTCCACTCCGTGTAAATCAAAATGTATTTAGTTACTCTTTTTACTCCAAAAGGTCATGGAGTAGAAAAACCAAACACAACTTTAGTTCTGTTCTGAACTACTGAAGACTCTTTTTACGAAGTATCTAGAGTGCCTAATCTTCAACTTTTATACTCCACTAATTCGAATTTTGTGTTCGGAATAAATAGAGTGAAATCTAAATGTTTTCGGAGTAGTAAACAGTACACTAAAACAAGAATCTCAGACCAAATGGAGTAACTTTTAACGTGGCCCGATTAGTTTCGAACATAAAAAAAACCTACACTGGATCCAGAATGGTGTTCTAGAGGCAAAAATAATGAAATTTCTTGATACCCCATAGATGACTCACTCCAGAACAGTTTCCAGATTCGGTTTTTTTGGTGTCCTAAAGCACTTTTAAATACTCTTGTTTTGGGTTCAGAGCAGTTCTCAAACGATTTTGAAACAAAATGCGACTGTTCTGGAATAATCTGAAGTAGGTGCAGGTTCGAAATATTTGTTCAGAGCAAATCATTGTTAGAACAGTTTCAAATCTACTGCTAGTGCGCACTAGTGGGTTCGGCTTGCTCACTCCGTGCACTCCGAGTGCCTCCACTCGCACTCCAGCCGTTCGGGTATTGCTTTTTACCTTATTAGCTCTGTTCACTCCACTCCAACTCCGCGCTGAATAGTCGAACCCAGCTAATTCTGTTCCATTTGTACTTACTCTAAGTATTCTATCTTAGTGCACGTCATCATCAGTACATTTCTTGTAGATTTGATAATTAAATGCCTGAAATAATCACATTTTTTATTCAATTTAGTGACGTCATCATCAGTACTCAAATTGGAAACTTATTCCAAAAACCACTTTTGGAGTCTACTCCTTTTACTCTTTTTTTGTTTTGTTAACCGAGTACAAACAATCTTACTCTAAATTCAATAGCCAATGCAATGGATGCAATTTTGAGTACTCCGAAAATACTCAACAGTCGAAGCTGCCCTAATTCAATTGAAAAAAATCTTCAGAAGCTTAGAGCAGAACTAGGGTTGTGTTCGGCTTTTTTACTCCGTATCAATGGCACTCTACCTATTCGATTACGGCTTTCTAGAGTAAATAGAGTGGAATATTTAAATCTTAGTCTGGCTTCAAATCCGAACGATTTTATAGTAAAAAGTGTAGCTAAGTGGTACTTTTAGAGTCTACTCTTTTTACACCGAACGTGCGCTTATTCTAAAACGGTATCCGAACCAATTAAGTAGCTACTCCAACTTTTCGGAAATGACTTTTTAGTGTAAATAGGAGTACTTAAAGCGCGAGTGCGAATAATCTTACTCTATTTACCCCAGAAACAAATAGAGTACAATTCAGGTCCTTCCAGAGTACTTTGTATTCACTTTAACGGATCGATTATCGGTGTAGAGTAATAGGAATTTACTCCAAAAGTTCCAAATTGTGATCTGCAACTTCTGGAGTCTACATTTTTTACTCTTTTCTTCAAATAATTTTACTCCAAACATAATATCTAAATCAGTAGAGGCAAAAAGAGTAAAATCCCGATTATTTTAAGTACTCCCTAGTCGCTCCAACTGTCAAAATTCGAGCAAAAAGAGTAATAAGAATTAGGAGCGTCTAGAACTATGTTTTCAGCGATCTCGAAAATTGCTTGAATTTTCACGTGAAAATTGATTCCTGAAAATATTAATCTTAACTCCGTTTACTCGGAGTCAAATTCTCGAATACAAAAAAAACCATTGATTGACATTTTTCAGCTCCTGATCGCTCTGTTCTGACTTTAATTTTAATTGAATTGGAACATTTGGATTATATTCTTTTTTGTTTACTCCGAATACAAACCCTGAATGTTTTTTTGCTCTTCTCACTCTAAACATATTTACTCTAACATTTTATAATTACACAAGATCTTAAAAAAGAGTAAAGAGAGTAATCTCCAAACGCTCTACTTGCGTTGGAGTGACATTTAGGAATGATAAAAATTGTACTCTTTTTTACTCCATTGTTCAGGCTTTGTATTCAGAGTGATCAAAGTAAGAAAAAGGAGAAATAAAAGTACACTTTAAACGTTTCGAATTCAGAACAGTTTTTGACTAACTCAGAGCAAACAATATGTCAGTTCACTGTTTTAAAAATTGTACTCTGATTCTGATATTTTGCTCGGATTAAGATTATTTGTATTTTTTTTATTTCAATAATTTGCAGTAAAATGTTTGGTTTTCGGCAGCAAAAAAAGAGTAATAAGAGTTTACTCCGAGTCGAAATATTATTTTTAGAGCTAAAAAAAATACCGGCATCTCGGAATCGTATTCTTCTGTACTTCACCGGTTTGGGTTTTGTGTTCGGAGTAAATAGAGTAAGATTATTGGCGTTCGAGTGAGTAGATTTCGAGTGAGTAGATTATGACATGCTGGAGTAGAGTCGGAACAATATTTTTAGAGTGAAAACAGCGACCCAGAGCAGAAAAATGTTAATTAGCGGTTTTTTTTTTGTACTCAATTCAGATTTTCAACTCAGAGTAAACAGAGTGTTCGCGTGTCAAATAAAAGAGTAGATAAGTTCAATTTTAGAGTAAAATCAAAACAATGTTTTTAGAGTGAAAAAGAGTAATCCAGAACAGAAAATAAAGCAGAGGAACAATATTAACATCTATAAATGATGGGCCGCAATAAAAATTTATTCACTCCACTTCGTGTAAATCAAAATGTATTTAGTTACTCTTTTTACTCCAAAAGGTCATGGAGTAGAAAAACCAAACACAACTTTAGTTCTGTTCTGAACTACTGAAGACTCTTTTTACGAAGTATCTAGAGTGCCTAATCTTCAACTTTTATACTCCACTAATTCGAATTTTGTGTTCGGAATAAATAGAGTGAAATCTAAATGTTTTCGGAGTAGTAAACAGTACACTAAAACAAGAATCTCAGACCAAATGGAGTAACTTTTAACGTGGCCCGATTAGTTTCGAACATAAAAAAAACCTACACTGGATCCAGAATAGTGTTCTAGAGGCAAAAATAATGAAATTTCTTGATACCCCATAGATGACTCACTCCAGAACAGTTTCCAGATTCGGTTTTTTGGTGTCCTAAAGCACTTTTAAATACTCTTGTTTTGGGTTCAGAGCAGTTCTCAAACGATTTTGAAACAAAATGCGACTGTTCTGGAATAATCTGAAGTAGGTGCAGGTTCGAAATATTTGTTCAGAGCAAATCATTGTTAGAACAGTTTCAAATCTACTGCTAGTGGGTTCGGCTTGCTCACTCCGTGCACTCCGAGTGCCTCCACTCGCACTCCAGCCGTTCGGGTATTGCTTTTTACCTTATTAGCTCTGTTCACTCCACTCCAACTCCGCGCTGAATAGTCGAACCCAGCTAATTCTGTTCCATTTGTACTTACTCTAAGTATTCTATCTTAGTGCACGTCATCATCAGTACATTTCTTGTAGATTTGATAATTAAATGCCTGAAATAATCACATTTTTTATTCAATTTAGTGACGTCATCATCAGTACCAAAATTGGAAACTGTATCTTACTCCAATTAAATTACTCTTGAATATTCCATTTGCACTAATTTTAATTGAATTTTAAATTACTCTGACTGTTCCAAATACTTAAATTCTGTTCCTTTTGCATTGTATCTTAGTGATTGCTCCATTTATGTTCATAAAAATATCGGAACATAGAGGAATGCGAGTGACGTCATGCGCAGTCCTTCAATTCAAATGACTTATGACAGTTTTTTGGTACGAAATCGAATTGTTGCCATTCCCGGCTCTTGGATCGACAATTACCAGTGAACTCAAACAAGTGAGATAGCGATATTGTGGAAAATTAATATTAAAAAGATTAAGTTTAAATAATAATCAATAAAATTGACAATTTGGTAACATTGTTCTTGTTATGACATAAGTAAAAAGAACTATTAAAGTAGGCTTTGTGTTTTTTTTCTAACAATTGGTACTGTCATGGCGTTTTTTGATGTTATTTGGGGCCCACGTCCCGGGTTTTTTGCATAATTTTGGGGCGATTTCAATTCTAAAAAGTGTCTTAAAGTGTTTATTGAAGTGTTTTGCGTCGAAAATACACAAAATTCCAGGCCGGGCCTTAGATTTTTATTGAAAGCTGGTAAGTTGCAAATTTTTTCGTTTTTTTTTTTTAATCAGTTGGTAGTATCATGGCGGCCTATAATGTTTTTGGGGGGTATTTTTGCACAATTTTGAGGTTTTTTTGGACAAATTAAAAGCTAAAAAGTGTCTTAAAGTGTTTATTGAAGTGTTTTGCATTGAAAACACACAAAATCCCAGGCCGGGCGATTGATTTTTTAATCCAAAGTGGTAAGTTGCAACAATCATTGTAAAAATTTCTAATAAATTGTTGTTTTGGCCATTTTACATTGGACTTGAGGCCAAATGTGTTTGTAGGGAATTTGATTGGCTTCATTTTAAGCCTAATTTCATCAAAATCGGTTGAAAATTGAAATAGTTATGAGCCAAAATGTCAAGCCATGTCAAATTTTTTAAAAAAAATGACATTTTATTGGATTTTTACACTTGACACTTGACATTTGGTTGAAATTGAAGAAAAAAAGGTAAAATCTATCTATCTTATTCAATTTTCACTATTTTATTAAAATATTGATGTGGCAACATTGTAAAATTGTGCAAGTAGGCTTTGGAATTCTTCTTTTTTTGGCAATTGGTACTGTCATAGCGGTTTTCAATATTGTATGGGACCCACGTTCCAAGTTTTTTGCATAATTTTGGGGGTTTTTGGGTCGATTTCAATTCTAAAAAGTGTCTTACAATGCTTATTGAAGTTTTTTGCGTCAAAAATACACAAAATTCCAGGCCGGGCCTTAGATTTTGCTTAAAAATTGTAAAAAGTTACAAAATTGATTCTGAAATCTTTTAAAAATTGTTTTTTTTTGGCATTTTACGTTGGTATTAGGGCTAAATAAGCCATGCATTTGTAGAGAATTTCATTGGCTTCATTTTGAGGCTAATTACGTCAAAATCGGTTGAAAATTGACAAAGTTATGAGCCAAAATATGAATGCATGTCAAAGTTTCAAAAAAATTGACATTTTATTGAATTTTGACACTTGACATTTGCTGTTTAAATTGATAAATAAAAAGTGGAAATTTATTGATGTTTACTTGTTTATTTATTGCTAATTTAATTTTTAATTATTGTTTTGAAATAATGATGTGGTAACACTGCAAAAACGCACAAGTAGGCTTTGGACTTTTTGTTTTTTGGCAGTTGGTAGTGTCATGGCGTCTTTTGATGTTGTTTGGGGCCCACGTCTCGGGTATTTTGTATAATTTTGGAGTTTTTGGGGCGATTTCAATTCTAAAAAGTGTCTTAAAGTATTAATTGAAGTGTTTTGCATCGAAAATAGACAAAATTCCAGGCCGGGCGATTGATTTTCAAACTGGTAAGTTCAATCATTGTACAAGTAGAGCATAACTCGTGTGAGCTAACCTTGGCCCTCCGGGCCACATATGGCAAAATGATTATGACACAACAAACGTCAGAAAATTGACATTTCAGACCTTGTTTTCTTTGGACAAAATGGCGTTTTGTCTGTGGGCTCAAGATTAAAAAAACTCTCGCCCTTCGGGCTCGTGATTGAAAAAAAGACGCCATTTTGGATCATCCAGCGTCACAGTGTTGCCAAAAGCTAAAAACTCAAGTCAGCCTACTACAAGGCTTGCAATAATTAAGTAATTCTGTTTGCCATCATGAATTTGAAGCTGCGCAGCTAAGAAACTATTGAAGCTGCATCGAAACTTTAAATTAGCTTCAATTGAAGCCTAGTTACGTCAAAATCGGTTGACAATTGACAGAATTGAAACACATATAAAGACTTTAGTAGTAGAAATTTTAATAAATAAATAAATAAATAAATATAAAACTTTGGTATTAGTATTAGTAACTTAGAGAGATTATTTGACAGCTTGTCTATGTTCCTCGGTATTTTCCGGTAATTCTTTCCCAGAAGTCTCCAAGGGCAAAGCGAGACAAGCCGCGGCCGCCAAAAGAGCGGCAACAGCGTAAATCGACGTTGCCAACGTTGCAGAATTTCTCAGAAGCACCTGAAAAAAAACAACACACTTCAAATAACACGAGTAGATTTATACCTGAGCGACGTACGGTGTTGCCATCGCACCCAACCTCGCCATAGCGCTGCACGCTCCCACGCCAATCGAACGTAAAGTGGTCGGGTACACTTCCGGGGTGTAAACGTAGGCGGCCTGGAACACGCCGGCAACAACGCCTCGAGCCAAAAACAGCGTCAACGTCAAAACGCCGCGTCGTCCGGTGCAGACGGCCAACAGGCCGCAGCACACTGCGTAAGCGACAAATTGGACCGCCATTGTTTTTTTGCGGCCGAATCTTTCAATGATTGTGATCGTTATGAAAATTCCAGGGAATTCGGCTAATGTCGTCCACAACAAATCAACGTAGTCGGATGTTTGGAGTTGTTTACAATCGGCATTGCAAGTGGTGGTACTTTGCAAGGGAGTCGTGCCGCAATTTGATGACGTTTCGAATAGTTCGGTGGTCATCAGTACCAGGCCGTAGTAGCAAAAGGCGCACGACGACCTAGAGAATTTGATTAGCTTCATTTTAAGCCTAATTACGTCACGATCGGTTCGAAATTGACACAGTTATGAGGCATTGATGTCAAGGATGATCCATATCTACTGCAGAACTCGTTTTTGGTAATTGTTGACGTCACAATTAAATCGTTAGTTGCTTAAACAATCTATGTCAGGGCGAGAGATAACATGCAATCTACGTCACAAGTGGTGATTTGACATTGTTGGAAGATTTGTTACACATAGGCCTGCAGTAGTAGTATGTATCATCCTTGACAACTTTGTACTGATTCGCAATCAAATAATACAAACAAGATTATGACGTCACCACTTTGTAAAAGGTTCAGAATTCTAATTCAAAAACGTTTCAATTACACTCAATTTGACAACCTTGTACAAAGTGCATTTTCTAATGGGACTTCCAGTGACGTCATAATTTTGCAAAATGCATTTTTAATCGATTCCAGGCGCCAGAAAATTGACTCAATGGTTCTAAATTATGCAATGTTGCCAAATGCCTGGAATAATCACAATTTGGTTCAGAAATTATTGAGTCTCAAAAACATTTCAATTGACGTCATCAAGTTACCTTTCACTAGAAAACCTTGTACAAATTGCATTTTCTAATGGGTCTTCCAGTGACGTCATAATTTTGCAGAATGCATTTCTAATCGATTCCAGGCGCTTGAAAATTGACTCAATGGTTCGAAATTATGCAATGTTGCCAAACGCCTGGAATAATCACAATTTGGTTCAGAAATTAGTGACAAAATCGCCTAATTTTGATTCGGAACAGTTAAGAGTAAAGTCACGCGGATTGAAATCCCTTAAAAGTCTAGCGCCATCTATGAAAAGTGTCAGAAAGCAAAAAACACTGTTCCGGTTTGCGCCATCTATCACTTACCAAATGAACCACAAAAGTACCGAAGTCAACCTCAAAGAAGGTACCAAGAGGTCGCGGAAACGACCTCGATGAGGCGAAGACAACGTCGCATCATCAACAACCAAACGACCAAGCAGCATCGGCTTGCCATTATCCTTGGCGATTTTTTCCAGAGTTTCCAGAGCTTTGTCCGTTTGACCGCTGGCCACGTGATAGCGAGCCGATTCTGGAAGCCACTTAACAAAGACAATATTCAATAGAAACTACACATACACATACTTACGGGACAAATCAAGGCAAACGCCATAAGAGGACCGGTAGATAAGGCCAGCAACCATTGCCAGCCTAAAGTAGGCATCACAATAAGCGCAAGCGCAACTTCAAAGCATGCGCCTAAAGCCCAAAAACACTAAAACTTAAGAGTCTTAAGACGAAAAATAAATACAAATAATGCTTACATCAAGTAAAACGACGCATTTGGCACGTTGTTTTGTCGGTAAAAATTCCGCATACAACGTCACACTTTGAGGGGTGCAACCAATAGCGAACCCTACAAGGCCTCTTAATAGTAACATCCACATGAAGCTAGGCGCAATTGAGCTTAAGAGGCCATAGTAAAAAAGTAGTACCGCGCATAAGGTTAAGGCCTAAAAATAACAAAACAAATAGTACCTAAAAAATACATTATAATATTATTAAATACGTGTTTTCTTCCATAACGATCGCTTAAATTGCCCCAAAAAGTACTAGAAAGCATCATCCCTAGAAACACTACAGTAGTAGTCAAGGCTTGTTGGTACCGAGTCAAGTACCAGGTGCAATGCAAAGCGGGCGACAAAATTGACAGAATTGTCATTTCCATGCTGTCCGCCATCCAGCACAGGCCCGTCCACAAGGACAGTTTCACTTGGAACCACCCGAACCCCAATGCATTGACCGCTTGGGTAACTGTAAAGGTGTCTAAAAACAAAAACAAAAAAATATTTTGGTACTTTGCATTGCAATTGTTACCGTCTGGTACCACCGAAACTGATGCCATTTCGATTTCCTGCGGTACTGGGGTTTCATGGTTGTCGATGTCTTGGTAGCCTTTGGAGCGCTTCATTTTTTTGTTTACGTGTTTCAAGGTAACGGTACCGGTACTCCTTAACCTTTATTGCGATGGGTTTTGATGGTACCGCACAGTCTAGAACCTTTTACAGATTTCTGTAATATTCGAATTTCGATGGAATTGCTTGAAACGGAAGCATCTATAGTGACGTCATCATTTGTTTGTCGCAAAATAAAAAAATCAATATTTTACAGATTTCTTCATATTTACAATCGGTTTTATGTGTTGTTTGTTAGATGGCGCTTCATTTGGACAATTTTCCAAAAAAAAAAGAGTTTTAAAACTTTAAATAGTTCAAATGTTGTTTGATAGATGGCGCTACGCAAAAAACCCTCATATTTAATAATTACAGATTCCTGTAATAATTCCGACATTTTTAAGATGTTTGAAATAACTAATAACTTTGGCTATTATTTAATAGATGTCGCTAGTAGCCTCGTTCAGTTTTACATTATCCTCGATTTTATTTCAAGATTCAAACAATGATGACGTCATCATAGATGCTTCTTTTTTTTTTTTTTAAGAAAAATGAGTCATTGTGGCCAAGAAACTTGGAACAGTTGGGGGGGTAGGTTGAAGTAGGCTTGATCGAGTAGATGGCATTGACAGATGACTTTGACAGGTGCAATCCAGATTTTTTCCAATGAGTGTTCAATCTTTTTTAGCAACTTTTAGAAATTTCAAGCAACATTCTAGAATTTTTTGGAACTTTCTAGAACGTTCCAAAATTTTTTGGAACATTATAATTTTTTTCCAATATGTTTTTGATCTGTTTCAAGGAGTTCTGAGAGTTTTTAGGAAAATTCTAGAATATATTAGAATTTTTTTGGAACGTTCTTGAATTTTTTGAAACAATCCAGATTTTTTCCAAGGAGTATTCAATCTTTTTTAGCAACTTTTAGAAATTTTAAGCAACATTCTAGAATTTTTTGGAACTTTCTAGAACGTTCCAAAATTTTTTGGAACATTATAATTTTTTTCCAATATGTTTTTGATCTGTTTCAATGAGTTCTGAGAGTTTTTAGGAAAATTCTAGAATATATTAGAATTTTTTTGGAACGTTCCAGAACGTTCCTGAATTTTTTGAAACAATCCAGATTTTTTCCAATGAGTATTTAATCTTTTTTAGCAACTTTTAGAAATTTCAAGCAACATTCTAGAATTTTTTTGGAACGTTCTAGAACGTTCCTGAATTTTTTGAAACAATCCAGATTTTTACCAATGAGTATTCAATCTTTTTTAGCAACTTTTAGAAATTTTAAGCAACATTCTAGAATTTTTTTGGAACTTTTTAGAACTTTCCAAAATTTTTTGGAACATTATAATTTTTTTCCAATATGTTTTTGATCTGTTTCAATGAGTTCTGAGAGTTTTTAGGAAAATTCTAAAACATTTCTGAATTTTTTGGAACATTCTAGAACGTTTAAGAATTTTTTTGAAACGATCAAAATTTTTTTCAACAAGTTTTCAATCTGTTACAACGAGTTTTTAGAATTTTTAGGAAAATTCTAGAACATTTCAGAATTCTTTGGAACATTCTAAACCGTTCCAGAAATTTTTGAAACGATCTAAATTTTTTTCCAACGAGTTTCAATCTGTTTCAACGAGTTGTGAGAATTTTTAGAAACATTTTAAAATTTTTTGGAACATTTTAAAACGTTCCAGAATTTTTTAAAACAATCTAATTTTTTTTCAACAAGTTTTCATTCTGTTCCAATAAGTTTTGGAGGTTGTAAGGAACATTTTAGAATTTTTTGGAACGTTCTAGAACGTTCCAGAATGTTTAATTTGTTCCAATGACTTCTAAGAATTTTCAAAAATATTCTAGAATTTTTTGGAACATTCTAGAACGTTTTAGAATTTTTTTGAAACGATCTAAATTTTTTTCCAACGAGTTTTCAATCTGTTCCATCGAGTTCTGAGAGTTTTTAGGAAAATTCTAAATTATTTCAGAATTTTTTGGAACACTCCAGACCGTTCCAGAATTTTTTGAAACAATCTAAATTTTTTTCCAACGAGTTTTCAATCTGTTCCAATGAGTTCTGAGAATTTTTAGGGAAATTCTAGAACATTCCAGAATTTTTTGGAACATTCTAGACCGTTCCAGAATTTTTTGAAACGATCTAAATTTTTTTCCAACGAGTTTCCAATCTATTTCAACGAGTTCTAAAAAATGTTTGGAACATTCTAAAACGTTCCATTTTTTTTTTGAAACGATCTAAATTTTTTCTAGTTAGTTTTCAGTCTGTTTCAACGAGTTCTAAGAATTTTTTGAAACAATCTAAATTTTTTTTAACGAGTTTTAAATGTGTTTTAACGAGTTCTGAGAGTTTTTGAAACTATTCTAGAACATTTGAGAATTTTTTGGAACATTCTAAAATGTTTCAAAATATCTATGGAGGCTTTTCCAGCCTGACATGGTCTTATTAAATCTGCCATAACTCTGGAACGCCTGGACCGATTTCAATGAATCAAGTTTCATTTGAAAGAGGATTAAATTTGCTACAAAATGGCCTTATCCAGAATTTCCAGATTTATCCAGTTTCCTAGTTATAGGGCTTCAAAGTTGAAATTTCCCCAAAAATTAACCACAACCTTGTTTCAAGTGGAGTTTCAATTTCTGAAACAGCTCTTAGTGTCCTTTTATTTATTTATTATTGTTATTAATAAACAGAATAAACAATAAAACTTTTGGTATTATTTTTCCCCCAATTTTGTAACGCTTGCTTTGAATTTGCTTCATTTTTTTACCAAAAACTTCCATTTTTAGGCTTAAATTGTCTCCTACTTTATCTCTTTCTTTGTCTTACTCATTTAGGTTTTTCTCAAATTTTCCAATTTTCCAGGGTTTTTAGTGATAATTGCCTTATTTTACAATAAAATCAATTAATTATCATTACAGGAATCTGCAATTGGTAACTTTGGTCGCTTGTTGATAGATGGCGCTTATAGTTTTAATAATTTAATATTACAGATTTCTGTAATTTGCATCTAAAACGAAAAAAACAATTTTGTTTGTTCATTGATGCAATTTAATTAATAATTGTTTGAATTTATTAATAAAAATCGAAATTAGCAAAAATTTGCAACAAAAATGAAATAATTACTATTACAAGAATTTGTAATTAGTAACTTTGGCCACTCGTTAATAGATGGCGCTGACAATTTTGTTTATTGATATTCCACATTTTTATCAATAATTTTGATGAATTTTTCAGTCAATAATACCTATAATTCCCCATTTTTAATAATTAAACTCAAATTAACACAAAATTCCATAATTGAAAATTACAGATTCCTGTAATTTATCACTAATACAGGAATCTGTAATTCGGCAACTATGGTCGCTTGTTGATAGATGGCGCTGACACGATTTTGACAGCAAAATGGTTTCCTAACCTCAATTATTTGTTTACTTGGACTTAATAAATACTTGATTGTCCTTTGGTAATTAAAAACTGTTCAAGTTGTCCTGGACTGGACAAAAGCAGTGGGACAAGATTTGTTGCGGAAAAAAACCGGTTTTACTAAGGTAATTTTGATTAATAATTGGAAAAAAGAGCTCCAGTGGGACAAAACAAAAAAGGCCCAATTAATTTAGGGATTAGGGAAAAAAACCTATAGGAAATTTTGGTATTTTGACTACAAATATTTGTGCCAGTGGTTCAAAAAACAAAGAGGATTTAAGGCAGGTATACACATTCAATTGACTGTGTTTACACCACATTCTTTCTAGCAAATTAATTGGTCAGAATTGGGATTTCCTAAACTAAAAATTGATGACGTAGTAGATTTTCTGGAATTTTTCCTGTAAATATGTTTGTCTTTTATAGGATGGCCATTTGAGGGAAATCCTGGACTCACTACAAGGAATACTGAGTATGATTTTACTCAGTCAGGTGAGTAAAAAAGACTCACATGAGGTTTGAATAAAAAATTTATCCTTGCAGGAAACATTATGGACGAAAATCCCATCATTATTTCCTGATTTGAATAAAGGTAAGAAAACACAATTTAATTGTTTAATTAGCGACATCTATTAAGCAAACGCTGAAACTAATTATTACAGAAATCTGTAATTAGAGCTAGGTTTTCAGTTAAATGATGACGTCACCATAAGTACTTTTGTTTTGAAAACAAATGCAATTATCTCGAAAAAATACCAAGCACAAGCACTAAAAACCATATTTGATAATTACAGGCTTTTGTTTAATAGATGTCGCCAATAGTAACCTCACTTAATTTTTACATTATCCTCGATGTTATTTCAAAATGATGACGTCATCATAGATGCTTTTTTTTTTTTTAAGGAAAAATGAATCAATTAGGTGAATCGTAGATATTTTTTTTGCAAATTTTTCTTCAATGTAAATATGCAATAGGTGGCGCTCCATATTACTTCAATGGAATTATGACGTAATTGAGGAAAAATTTGCAAATTTTCATTTTGTTTTTTTGAGGGAATTTTTTTTTTCAAGAAAAATCAAAGAAAATTTTTCTGAGTTGAATTTAAGTAGAAAATATTTTTTCTGAGTCATGAAAAAAAATTCTGAGTCGAAAATTCTAGTTTTTTGGCGTTATTTTTGGATTGAGCCTTGATTAAAAATTCAAGAAAAATCAAAGAAAATTTTTCTGAGTCGATATTTAAGTAGAAAATATTTTTTCTGAGTCGTGAAAAAAAATTCTGAGTCGAAAATTCTAGTTTATTTGCGTTATTTTTGGATTAAGCCTTAATTAAAAATTCGAAAAAAATTAAATAAAATTCTTCTGAGTCAATAATTGAGTAGAAAATATTTTTTCTGAGTCGTGAAAAAAAATTCCGAGTCGGAAATTCTAGTTTTTTGGCGTTATTTTTAGATTGAGCCTTGATTAAAAATTTAAGAAAAATCAAAGAAAATTTTTCAGAGTCGATATTTAAGTAGAAAATATTTTTTCTGAGTCATGAAAAAAAATTCTGAGTCGAAAATTCTAGTTTATTTGCGTTATTTTTGGATTAAGCCTTAATTAAAAATTCGAAAAAAATTAACTAAAATTCTTCTGAATCAATAATTGAGTAGAAAATATTTTTTCTGAGTCGTGAAAAAAAATTTTGAGTCGGAAATTCTAGTTTTTTGGCGTTATTTTTAGATTGAGCCTTGATTAAAAATTTAGGAAAAATCAAAGAAAATTTTTCTGAGTCGAATTTAAGTAGAAAATATTTTTTCTGAGTCGTGAAAAAAAATTCTGAGTCGGAAATTCTTGTTTTTTGGCGTTATTTTTGGATTAAGCCTTAATTAAAAATTCGAAAAAAATTAAATAAAATTCTTCTGAGTCAATAATTGAGTAGAAAATATTTTTTCTGAGTCGTGAAAAAAAATTCTGAGTCGGAAATTCTAGTTTTTTGGCGTTATTTTTGGATTAAGCCTTAATTAAAAATTCGAAAAAAATTAACTAAAATTCTTCTGAGTCAATAATTGAGTAGAAAATATTTTTTCTGAGTCGTGAAAAAAAATTCTGAGTCGGAAATTCTAGTTTTTTGGCGTTATTTTTGGATTAAGCCTTAATTAAAAATTCGAAAAAAATTAACTAAAATTCTTCTGAGTCAATAATTGAGTAGAAAATATTTTTTCTGAGTCGTGAAAAAAAATTCTGAGTCGGAAATTCTAGTTTTTTGGCGTTATTTTTGGATTAAGCCTTAATTAAAAATTCGAAAAAAATTAACTAAAATTCTTCTGAGTCATTAATTGAGTAGAAAATATTTTTTCTGAGTCGTGAAAAAAAATTCTGAGTCGGAAATTCTAGTTTTTTGGCGTTATTTTTAGATTGAGCCTTGATTAAAAATTTAAGAAAAATCAAAGAAAATTTTTCTGAGTCGATATTTAAGTAGAAAATATTTTTTCTGAGTCGTGAAAAAAATTTCTGAGTCGGAAATTCTAGTTTTTTGGCGTTATTTTTAGATTGAGCCTTGATTAAAAATTCAAGA